CCAATCTAATACATTGATTAACTCTATTAATTGAAACGTGATGATGTTACGAATATCTTTTAAGAACATGCACTTTGGGATTTACGATTGTCATCAGTAATTTTAATGACAATTGACGACAGCCAAATGTAACCAAACGAATTTTTAGCTGTTGATAATCAATAACCAGGAAAAAGTCCGAGTGATTGATAATGATAATCGGGAAGAAATTCAGATCATTTGTGTAGATTACATTGTAATCATAATTAAATTTCTGTCGTCGATGATGGTTACCGGATTAAACTTGAAATTTATTGATCCCCGAACCTAGATCAAATGTCAGAATTAATCAAAAATTGATTAATTAATTTACTCGATGACTTTTTCTAAAAAATGGAATATTACAATTTCAGATTTCTAATTTTACTTATTAAACACTGTAAGAAGTGTTGCGCTTTATTTCTGCATATTATAATACTTGCATTCTGCATCTTTTTGCACCTTCAACTAGATCAAATGTCAGAATTAATCAAAAATTGATCAATTAATTTACTCGATGACTTTTTACAAAAAATGGAATATTACAATTTCAGATTTCTAATTCTACTTATTAAACACTGTAAGAAGTGTTGCACTTTATTTCTGCATATTATAATACTTGCATTCTGTATCTTTTTGCACCTTCAACTAGATCAAATGTCAGAATTAATCAAAAATTGATCAATTAATTTACTCGATGACTTTATCCAAAAAATGGAATATTACAATTTCAGATTTCTAATTCTACTTATTAAACACTGTAAGAAGTGTTGCGCTTTATTTCTGCATATTATAATACTTGCATTCTGCATCTTTTTGCACCTTCAACTAGATCAAATGTCAGAACTAATCAAAAATTGATCAATTAATTTACTCGATGACTTTTTACAAAAAATGGAATATTACAATTTCAGATCTCTAATTCTACTTATTAAACACTGTAAGAAGTGTTGCGCTTTATTTCTGCATATTATAATACTTGCATTCTGTATCTTTTTGCACCTTCAACTAGATCAAATGTCAGAATTAATCAAAAATTGATCAATTAATTTACTCGATGACTTTTTCCAAAAAATGGAATATTACAATTTCAGATTTCTAATTCTACTTATTAAACACTGTAAGAAGTGTTGCGCTTTATTTCTGCATATTGTAATACTTGCATTCTGCATCTTTTTGCACCTTCAACTAGATCAAATGTCAGACTTAATCAAAAATTGATCAATTAATTTACTCGATGACTTTTTCCAAAAAATGGAATATTACAATTTCAGATCTCTAATTCTACTTATTAAACACTGTAAGAAGTGTTGCGCTTTTACTCTATTTCTGCATATTATAATACTTGCACTCTATATTTTTTTGCACCTCGTGAACGCGTGAAAATCCGAAATCTGTCTATAATTCCGTGAAGATCGTCGAACTTGAAGGAGGCAAGGGGAGATTATAGCCGAAATGATGGCACGATGGCGAGACGCGGTGGAGAAAGGAGAATCGCTCGAGACACCCTCTCGACAGATCTCTAAATTTAGTCAGACGCGTTTTACCGACGGGGGAGAAGAGGACGAATCGACGTCGGCACAACGAGCGGAGAGGAAGAGGACAGACGGGGATCGGACGTGGCTCCAGATGAAACGTCGCGACGTGTCGGAAGGGACAGTGTCGCGATTTTCGCCTGGCCGACGTCCAAATTGGCGACACCTCGATCGGAGATCATGAATGGGAGGACCTGGTAAACGTCCTACTCCCCTGGTTTGATTCTCGTGAAAGAGCGAGAATCGAGCCAAGTCCCCCCACGGCTTTTGCACCTGCGGCGAAGCCTAACCGACGCTCAAGGTCGAGAAATCGTGGAATAATGCCGACTTTCTGATCACGCGGTTATTTTAACGATCTGCGTACTTTTCAGCGTGTCCAAAAAATCGTCGATATTTTAATCTGTTGTAACTTCGTAGAAGAAAAGAAAAAATCGTGACCTGGTGTCATTTTAAAAAGCAACATTTAAATACTTTGACGCTTCTGAATTCGTTTTCTTTTTATCCAGTGATGTTTCTACATTGTGTAGCGAGTGAGAAAGTGAGGATACTTTTGTTTTCGAAAGTTGTTGAAGTTACTGATATTGGAGGATTCTTTTTGCAAGCAGACTCACCATGATCTTGAAGATTGAAGTTTCCTGTTCGCAACGAACGCTTAAAGCTTGCTACATTAAACTTTGAATATTCAAAGATTCAAGAAATCCTAATTCTCAGTTTCTTGCATTTCATTTGTAATGCAGTTTCATTTAGGTTCGAAGATTATTTTTTCTTTCTGATTATCTTGTAATCTTTCTGAATCTCTACTACAGTATGTTCACAATTAAGTAAAAATTATATAGAATGTTAGATAGACGGGGAGTATTTGATAATAACAAAAAAAAATTCCTACAATTAAATGAAGCAGCACGATGCATAGGTCGTGAAGAGAGGAAAAAAAAAGATCAAAGCTCGCATGACAAATGGTATCCATGAAATTGAGTAATGGAACGTCACTAAAGATCATTTTTCAATTACAAATCTCTGAACAGCTAGTATTTTTAACGATCGAGGAAATATCTTGAGAATAGCACGTGTGTGTATAGGTGCGTTACGTTAAAAATGAAACGTTTGACTGACCAGAATAAAGAAACGACCTACTATTTACAATACAGAAATACTCTAACATAAAACTGTTAAACCTGAAAACTTGTTAGTCGACTAAAATTAATTATTTTCAATATGAGACAATTTATAACATTTTCAATGTGAATCAATTTATAAGATTAATTATTTTTAATATGAGATATTAAATTTATCACGCCATTCGAACTATTAATTAATCAGTAATAAATAAGAAAGTACAAACGATATTGCAATAATCATGTGGTACAACGATGCCGGCAATTACCTTATCTAGTAATTATAAACGTAGAAAAAATTTAGAAATAATAATTACAAGGCCGAGGCAGCTGCAGCTAGTTGCAGAAAGAAAGAAAAAAGATCCATCGACGGTCTAGTAAAAGAAAACAAAGCTTTGGTAATTAAATATTACCAGAGAGGATGGAGAAAATAAATTTCTGAAATTACACGGTTAATATCCATTAACTACGGTTAACGAGTAGACGATAGCCAAGACAAGATTCTCGTGACAACTGGTAAGCGGTTACGATCGATGGTCGATGGTCGAGAATTTCCTTGGAGGTGGAGAAAGGATGAAATTGATGGATCAACCGGTACAGGTAGGATCATGTGTAACGTATTGTAAACAAGCTTTAGAATCTAGAAGTTTCGAACGAATATTTTAATTTTTCGAAATTAATAATAAAAAAAATCCCAGAATATAAAAATAAAATTGCCTTCAGTTGTCAGGACATATAAAATGAAACAGAACGATTAAAATTCAAAAATAGATCGATAACATCCGTCGAGAAAAGATGAGACCAAAAAAGTAGTGTTTCTTAAATGAACTTGAATATTTAGAACGTGGCAACGTTGCAACGACTTCTTCTTAAAAGAACTGGTTTCGAATTGCAAAAGAAGAAAAGAAAAAGGAGAATGAAGCTTCTAATCAAGCTTCAGTCACATTGGAAAGTTTTGAAAAACATCTTATGAATCTGAAAGGAAACAGAACTAATGAACTGATATTTAAAAGTAGACTTGAATTCTGTCTTTAAATTAAACGTTCTGATTTTAAATTTTATCACGTAATTGCATTTATGAACGACACAAACCCCTCTTAAAAATGCTAATTACGATTAACTGAAAATTCAACATGAATCCCGAAAAATCCCCAAAAAAATTTAATAACATTTTCTTCATACCCAAATAATCTTCAGAATATTATTCGTGCAAAATGGAACTTTTACATTCGAATTAACTTGAATATATGTAGAAATCGATTCTATCGCTAGACGAAGTGGATTTCTATTTTTGGAAAGGTTTCACGCACTATTTGAATCCAAAAGAATCGACATGGATGATCGAATCGCGTGCAGCGATTCCCCCGTGCAATTTTAGCGGTATTTATTGCAAGCAGAATTCGTGGAAGAATCGAATTAGAAGGCGCGGTTAGCCTGCCAAGCAGCCAAAAGCTGTCGGTTTATCTTTCGGTGAACTTGCTGCTCTCAGAGAACGCGTACGTGTAAGAGATATTTCTCGTCTCTAGTACTAAACAGAATCGAAACAGAATCCCATAGATAAACTGAAACATCTATCCCCAAATAGATATTTAACAATCTCCGCATGATCGTACAGTAAACTTGCAATTTCACCATGACTTGATGAAACATTGAACTTGAAAAATTTAAATAATCAGGGAATCACTGCACCAAACGATCGTTGAAAGAACATTTTACTGCAAAACGATCCTCTAGTTTGATAATTCTAGTATGATAAAATCTTATAAGTTTGTATAAGTGATAAAAATCTTATAAATCTTTGATAATTTCTACGATACTGTAACAGAGATAAGATCAGAAAAAATGATCGTCTAATCGTTGCAGTATATTACGAATGTTTATATTTTTGTAAATAAAAAACTAAAAAAATCAAAATCTGAGTTCAGAATTTAAATAGAAATTTGTTTCATATATTAAATATTATGCTTTAAAAGTTAAACATTTGTGTGTAAAATACGTGCTCTACTTTGAATATTTTATAGTTTTATGGATCTTCTTAATGTTAAATTTTCCAAAAATGAATAAATATTCATAGCATAACTCTAGTTATATAGCACTAAAAATGAAATTATATCTACTTTGTATTCAAAATAACCTACCATATGTAACATATATATATATATCTTTTATAATATTTTATTCTTATTGACAAAATAAGAAAACAAAATCTTGATTAAAAATAAGATCTGTTTTACTCAAAATAATTTCCCAAACAATCTTCCGTAATTCTTTGCTCTCGATCTGAAATATTTACTAAATTCGTAAAAGGGAAATTGTTTGTTTGAATCTACAGATCCAGATCATCTTGACACGGTGACAGTGTCGATCGGTGACAAATTAACTCTACGATGCCTTTCAAGTTCGAACGCGGAGACCACCTGGTACAAAAGCAACGAGATCTTCGAACCATCGTCACCAAGGATACGAATAATGAAACAATCGTTGAGGTTCAAGTACATCGAGCCCGAGGATGCCGATTCGTACAGTTGTCTGATTAAGTCGAACGCGACGCTCGAATGGAGAAACGTGACGATACGAATCGAATCGTTGCAGAACGATGGATACCAACACGAGGCCGAAAGAGCGGGGAGAACCGAGGAAGAGACGAACGAATTGGAAATCGAAGCAAGAAGTTAGTGCATTAGAGTTTTTAGTTTACTTATAGATCTAAAAACTTTCAATCTCTAGTGTTTTTAGTTATTTATTTATATAAAGTTACAATTTTTAAATTCCAGAGCTTTTAGTTTACTTATAAAATTTACCTAAAAATTTTCAATTTTTAAATTCTGGATAGGTAATAATCGCAATACGAAATTGATGCTGCAAGCATCGATAATAATATTCCTTATAGTTTCGTGCGTGGATTCTAAATAATTTCAATATCTTTGAAAATCACTAGAGAACAGAAGATTTCTGAAAATATCCTCCTTCTTCGAAAACTTGAACATTATAAAGTTAATCGAAGTTCCTTTTAGTAAAAAAAAAAATTCCAATTAATGAACAACCCCTTTTTTAAATATTAAAAACCTCCTTCAATTAATTTTAAACCATTCCATAATCCGTGAATATACCTTAAATTAATTGAAAAAATTCGTTCTTAAAACGAATACTAACAATATAGTAATAAAATATCATCCTCTTTTAAACATTACAAGTTTAATCTAACCTCTCTTTCTTCTTCCAATTAATTCTAAATCTGTCCACGATTCACGAATAAATCTAGAGTTAATTGAAAAAAGTTCATTCCCTAGTTCTAAATTTAATAAAATATACTGTTCCAGATCTGCCAGAAACACGATCGTTGCACCTCGACAGCGAAAACGTGGAGGCCGACCTGGATAACGAAAAACTAGAGAACGAGACCGCCGGTGAGCACAACAACACCGCCCCGGCGCGACCACCGTCCTTCAACAAAAGCGTGGAAATGCCAAACGTGGTGGTGAAACCAGCTGGCAACATGTTACGTTTACGGTGTCCAAGTTTTGGCAACCCAAGGCCGAACATCACGTGGTACAAGAACAACGAAGAACCGAAACGAACGCTCGGCACGGTGGTCATGTCCAAATGGACGTTCAGATTGGAGGATCTAGTGCCTGAAGACAGTGGCAATTACACTTGTGTGGTGTGCAATGAGCTAGGATGTATCAATCGCACGTCCAAAGTTGAAATTGTCGGTGAGTATCTCTCTTTTTCTTTCCTTTTCCTTCTCTCTCTCTCTCTCTCTTTATTGAGTAACGTAGTAGTACAATGTTTAGACTGCGGATTTTTATATACAGGGTGTTTCGTAACTTGTGGGACCCACTTCGGGAGCTGATTGTACGTCGAAAAATAATGAAAAAAACTCATATAAATATATGTCCTATCTGTCTTCGTTTATGAGATATAATGAATTTTCTGTTTTAATTACTTTTACGAGAGATGTTCGAAATGACCACCTTGCATTTGAAAACAAGCCTGCACGCGTTTTATCATTGATATGGTTACTCTCTCTATCATTCCTGGTGTTTCTCGAATTTGTCGGAAGCGTTGCTCTATTCTATTTTGTAGTATATCAGCATTTTCAATCGATGTTGCGATGCAATAGGACCTCCACGGCCAATCCATTTATTTGCAAAGTGTTGATTTAAAATGCGATATGCGGTTTATGCATGATGGAGCTCCGCCGCATTTTAGTCGAGTGACTAGGCAATTCTTAAATCAACACTTTGCAAATAAATGGATTGGCCGTGGAGGTCCTATTGCATGGCCTGCTCGTTCTCCGGATTTGAAACCATTAGATTTTCATTTGTGGGGACATTTAAAATTTATTGTATACGCAACAACGATTGAAAATGCTGATATACTACAAAATAGAATAGAGCAAGGCTTCCGACAAATTCGAGAAACCAGGAATGATAGAAAGAGTAACCAGATGAATGACAAGACGCGTGCAGGCTTGTTTTCAAATGCAAGGTGGTCATTTCGAGCATCTTTTGTAAAAGTAATTGTAAAACAGAAAATTCATTGTATCTCATAAACGAAGACAGATAGGACATATATTTATATGACTTTTTTTTCATTATTTTTAGGCGTACAATCAACTCCCGAAGTGGGTCCCACAAGTTACGAAACACCCTGTATGTGTATTGTAAAGTACAGATTTACCCAGAATACGCACACAATAGAACTCCGTTTATATGAATTTATAATTGGAATTCGTATATAATATAATGTTAGATATCCACTGATTCTCTCCTCCATTAGTGATTTTTCGTTCAGGTTCAACAAGAGTTCATTTTATCGAATATTGATTAAAATTTGGAGTTCAAATAAATGGAATTCTACTATAGTATACTGTAGTGCAGTACACGTATACATGTTTGTGTACTTCGAACAATTTTAATTAATTCTGCAAAAATACGAATTTGTATAAAAATCCGCAGTCTGGTGATGATTAAATGATTAGAACAACGATTTTATTAGCATAAAAGGAAGAAGTTACATGATGTTAAATAATTACAAATATTATAACGTAAAACTTGAAAGTAGAAAATGCTTGTGAAAAGGGAAACTTTTAAATTTTGATGAGACGTGGAAGCAAGTTGCAAGCATTTTCAGTTAAAAAAGAAATTTCTAAATTCCATATTATATTGTGTGTTCTTTTTACGTTGTTACTCTCGCGTTGTTATTTGAGAAAAAAAAAAAAAAAGATCCTAATGACTGAGGGAATTTCAAAATTCCATAGTAATATTCTTTTGCTGCACCTCAATGAAAAACGAATATCGATCGAACGTTTCTACCAAACCTCTCCGGAAAAAGAAAAGTTATCACGACGTTAAGTTAAGTCGTGAATTTTCGTTACATCTGTAGAGCGTTTCCCTCATAAACCATACATCAACGTGGATTTCCCGAAGAACGTAACCGCGGTGATGAACAGCACGGTGACGTTCAAGTGTCCGATCGTGTCCGATCTTGAACCATATATACAATGGCTGAAAGTAGTCGAATACCCTGGTGACCAGGAGAATTCACCGACTGGGATTCTTCTTCAGGTACACACATACCGGATTGTTTAGATGGTGGAGGATTCTTCTCGATGGATTTTTAATTAAATTGCTAATTAAAAGCTATAGTATTTGTGTACACATAATAATATATAAAATAGTTTTAAATAAAATAAGACAGATTCTACGGGATTCTGGTGATCGGCGACTTGTTTGCGACGATTTTTAAACGATATATCTCACAGTGACTAACGATGGGTGAAGGAAACTTGTATCTATTTGCTATTTCAGGAGCTGCCACGTGGATTGTATCATTTCGTTTTCGACGTTATATTTTTTTAACGTTGTGTTACGTTCCTTTATTGTAGTTTCTCTCTTCTTTCGAATTTTCCTGTTCTCTGATACACGGGGAACGAGAAGCCTCTTTGAGATTAAATTTAAAGATGTATAGAGAAATAGATTTCAAAATATATGTCGAATACAGTTTATCTTATGAAAATCTAATGTACGCCAAACCCAAATGAAAACCGTTCGTGAAACGAAATTTCAACTTTCCTCGGTCAATTTTTTCAAATGAATCCCATTTTTTTAAGATGAAGATGTAGATGTAAAGAAAATTCTGTTCCTACTTTTTCTTAGATTAGATTTTGTAATTACATAGAAAATTCCTTCTCTTGATAATCAAAAATAAACTCTAAATCTTCAGTTCAATATTCAAGTATAAAATATCGAACATCTAACGATTAACTAACAATAATTAATTTTAACATTATTCCCCGTACACAAAATTTCTCCTCCCCTCTACTCCTTTCCTTCTTTCTAACCCAAGGATAAATTCAAAAATTCCAATTCTTAAAGTACTGAAACATAAATATAAATTCTTAAGGTGTAAAATATTGAAAATCTAACGTTAACTGTAATAACATTCATCTTTTCCCCTTTAATTCTTATAAAATCATAGGCAAATTCCAAAACTTCAATTCTGAAAGTACGAAACGGACAATGAATTTGTGGAATTCTTGAAAGGATTAAACAACCACTAGATCTGTGGTTTGCACTGGATTTAAGTTTGATCTCAAAGGACTTCCAATTCGTCTTCTATCCTCTGATACACTTGGAGCTTCGTAAAAATGGTGGTTGGGTCTATTTTTCCTGTAGAGAGCGTGAAACATCGGCCGATACTGACCAGGCCTCCGAGAAATACGACGGTTCTGGTAGGAAGCAACGTTACTATGACCTGCGAGGTTCTATCAGCCGCGCATCGACATCTCGAATGGTATCACGGTTATCACACGTCTTTCGACACTGTCAACAAAACCAATCAAAGTTTCCGGGTGGAGGTCAAGGTGGGCATGTAGAACTATCTCAAACTGCATGAAACACACGCTGAACTACATGCTTCTGCTTCTTCTATCGTTGAAGATAGATTGACAAACGAAAGAAAGTTATCGACAGACTGCGGATCTTCATGCAATTTTATATTTTTATGGACACGACTGAGCAGGAATTTAATTCATTTTCCTATTGAATGTTATAAAAAATCGCCTGCTTTCTATATATCACATACTTTTGCATACTGCGTGCAATTTTGCACTCTTCTGATTCTTAAAATTCACAAGTGCACAAATCCGCAATCTGATTATTAATAAAATGTAAATGTCGCTAAAGCTATATATATAGATGCTTTTAATATCTCTCCGTTTTGTAATCCTACTAATATTTCCCCAATTTTAACTTTCTTGTCCAACGTTCTTCGATTTTGCACTGGTGAATTTGATTCGCTGCTGCTACATTCTGAATTTAATTATGAGTTTAACTTGCTATTTTTAAAAAGTATAATTTCTTGAATATATCGAGATTGACATCATAATCTTTTGCAATTATGAAAAACGAGTAATTTTTTAAGCATTTTTAAAAATATTTTCTCGAATATTTATTCAAGAGTATGAAAAAATTAACGGAGTGTAATCTTCAAAGAAATTTATACTTATACTTGCACGAAAATATAGTAAATGTATTATCCTTCTGATTCTTGTATAATTTACAATTATATAATAGAATGTTATTTTCATCAGAAAAATTCCATTTATAAAATGGAATTTTATCTCTCTATATTTCAAAATGTCAAATGGCCAAAATTTAAATTGCACATTTTTCATTTAGCTTTAAAGCATAATATTTCATAATTCTTTAAATATCTTCCAAGCTATATGTCAGCATTAAATCAAAGTTACACATCAGCATTCTACCACTAAGTAAAATAAAATCGAAGATCTTGCAAATAACCACCTACCGAATTATACCCTTCTTAAACTATCTCTGCTCAACAACAACCAATATGTAATCATTCATTTTCCTGAATAACATTTCGAAAATTTAATATTTTTAACAGGCGGAAGGCGCCGAAAATCCGGAAGTACTGAAGCTGTACAACGTGACAGAGAAGGACGAAGGTTGGTACAGCTGTATCGCGCAAAATGCACTGGGCGAAACGTTTAGCAGTGCCTATCTTCGAGTAGTAGAATGTAAGTATCTAAAATTGTTTGTAAAATTAAAATTGCACAATAAAACAGTAATAAAAATAATTTACGAAACAATTACAAAAAACAATATAGTGATAAAAATTGTTGAAACAATTGGACCACGAATATTTATGCATTTATCAAAAGCACAAGAATCTCTAGTTAGGTATCATTTTCAGAAGAAAATAATAATTGTTATCTTATAACAATAATATAATAAACTTTCTTGAATTAACAGTTTAATTAGCATTCTATATTTACTAGAAAAACTATTACTTTTAACTACTTACTTATAAAACTATTAGAACTCAGACACACACAGAAATAATAATAGAAATTATGAAACTTATGTAAAATTTAAAAAATATCTCTCTAACATTTCCAAATATAGTACAGATTTCTATATAATTTAATTAACTTTCTGAAAGTGATTGCCTTCCTTCCAAAAATAATAGTAATAAAAACAACTTAACAACGTCTACATAAAATATTTTAACAATAAATATACTAATCTAACAATCTTGTCCCTTCTCAATGAAAAAGCTCTGGATCCCGGAATACCACTGACTGCGAAACCACAGATTCTCGTGAACGTTCTCGCTGCGGTCCTCTTCATATTCTTCGCCGTAGGCGTGGTGGTGGTTATATACATTTTCCATCGTCTGAAACGTGAAAAAATGAAGAAACTGCTGGCCATAGAAACGGCACGCGCCGCAGTCGTAACTCAATGGACGAAAAAAGTGATCGTGGAGAAGCAGAATTTGGTGAACGCGCAAAACGTCCAAGAACCATTACTGATGCCTGTAGTGAAGATCGAGAAGCAAAAGTCGACCGTTGCTGCGGAGGATAGTAACGGGGGAAGCATCTCAGAGTATGAGCTTCCGGTGGACAGTGCTTGGGAATTGCCGAGGGAACATTTGATCTTGGGCAACACCTTGGGCGAAGGTGCGTTTGGAAAAGTTATCAGAGCGCAAACGAATACTGGGAAACCTGGAATCCCTTGTGTCGTAGCTGTGAAGATGTTGAAAGGTATATTGCCATTTAAATGAAGTTTCTTTAGTGTTTTATTGTTCTTCTTTAGTTTCTTGGTTCTTCTTTATCTTCATATTAGCAGCTTGAAAATTCCTTAATAAATTTTATGAAGTTTGTCACTTTTCTTGACATTGTGTAGGGTCTTTTGTACTTTGTGAAATTCTTCTTCACATCATGTTTTAATAATTTCAATTATTTTTATAATTTTAATTATTTATTTAAATCATACTCTGGTTTTGGTAGTTCTATTAATTACTTTGTAAAATTTTTCATTTATCTTTACACTATGATTTTGAAAATTTAAAGTTCCTTTGCAAGATTTTTAATCTTTCTTCACATTGTGACTTTAATAGTTTGAAGTTTCTTCTGAATGTATTCAGTACTTTGTATTTAATATTTAATAAATATTTAATTTTTGATATTTAATATTTAATAAATTTATTCTTTCATTAGAATAAAATAATTCTCCAGTTAATTCAATCATTAAATTATGAATTTTCATGCATATAATAGACAAAAAGTTATATAAAATATAAAATATATTTGTTATAATATACAATATAATATAATGTATTTAAATATAGTAAATGAAACGAATTTCTTTAATTATGTTCTGTAGTTATGTTACGTAATATAAAAATCTGTAAAAATCCACAGACTTAACCTAATCACGAATTCTTCCACAGAGGGTCATACCGACGCAGAAATGATGGATCTAGTGTCTGAAATGGAGATGATGAAGATGATCGGCAAACATGTGAATATAATCAATCTACTAGGAGCTTGTACACAAGGAGGACCATTGTACGTAGTCGTAGAGTTCGCTCCACATGGTAATCTCCGCGATTTCCTACGAGACCATAGACCTTCCTCTGGATACGAACCAACCATTGGCCAAGAACCAAAGGAGAAGAAGACTCTCACTCAAAAGGATCTAGTATCGTTTGCCTATCAAGTAGCTAGAGGGATGGAATATTTAGCGAGCAGAAGGTGTATCCACAGGGATCTAGCTGCTAGGAATGTATTAGTCAGCGACGAATACGTATTGAAGATCGCTGACTTTGGTCTGGCCAGAGATATACACTGTCACGATTACTACAGGAAAACCACGGACGGTAGACTTCCGGTCAAGTGGATGGCACCTGAAGCCCTATTCCATCGAGTTTATACCACTCAGTCCGACGTGTGAGTACTCGATATTATTTAATTAATAGGAAATTTGTTGTTGTGAAACATATTGAAATTATTTGAAAGAATTTAAATACAAGAAACTAGAATTGTATTTATATTACCATTCGAACACACAAGTGTTCGACATTGTTTAATTATTGAGATGTTTAAAAAAATATTCGAATACCTAATTTATCATCTTCAAAATATGGAGTTACAGTTATTCGCATTTGAATGTCTGATATTATTTAATCATTAGGAAATTTCTTGTAGGAAATTTCTACAATTATTTACATTTGTCTAAAGTGTAACCAAAGTTGCTTGTTGTTAATGTTACAGATGGTCGTACGGGATTCTGTTGTGGGAGATCATGACACTGGGTGGTACCCCATATCCATCCGTACCATCTGTAGAAAAATTGTTCCAGTTACTAAGAACTGGCCATCGAATGGAGAAACCACCATGTTGTTCCATCGAAATGTAAGCACAACTTTTCAGAACTACATTACACATACTACACTATTACATTAATAGTAATACTACCAACAAAATACTGCCTGCTACAACAACAAAAAATTATTAACTGTTATTAACTATAATTATTAACTATACAACAGATACATGTTGATGAGAGATTGCTGGAGTTACCAACCTAACGAACGACCAATGTTTGGTGAACTGGTCGAGGATCTCGATAGGATATTGACGATAACTGCAAACGAGGTAAGTAATGTTATATATACAAATCTAATATCCTCCTCTTCTTTATGAAGCTCAATATTTTACTTAAAACTCTCAGAAGTTATGCGATTCCACGTATCTCTACACAGTAATTAATTTTATCGCAACTTAATTTTTAAGTGCCAATACTTTCTCTAGATATTTTTTGCAACTACTTTGCTTTTAAAATCAAACAAGAATTTTGCAGCAAAAGATACTTATCATAAATAAATATTAAATATTAAACATTAAACAACGTTCCAAAGAATCGAAGCTTATTTCATTTCTTGTCTCACCAACTAAACTTTTTTTGCAATATTTTCCTTTAGAAATCCTTACCAAAGAGTACTTATCATAAATAAATATTCTTTCTGGAAATCGAAAAGAAAAAGAAATACATTGACATATCATTTCAGGAATACTTGGACCTTGGGCTGCCGCAACTAGACACACCACCGTCCAGTCAAGAGTCCAGCGAGGCTGACGATGACGAAGGTGAAGAAAAATTCCCCTATTTACTGTGAATAAACCTGACGAACGATCGGTTTTCGCCGAAAAATTTGTAAAACTCTCTTAAAGCTGAAGAAGGAAGAAAACAGAGATCGAGAAAGAATGAAGCACGAGAAAGAAGAAGCGGAAACGAAATGAAGAACAAAACGAACGAAAATCACGAGGAAGAAAAGACTGTTTTGCAGCCGAAGAACGCAAAAACGGAAATCGATCGACTGACCTAACGAACACGCCAAATAATATAAATCAGTATTGAATTGTTTAGTGCGTATTCTGTAGAATTAAGAAAGAAGAAGAAAAAAGAAGAAAATATCGATCGAGAAAGAACACTCTGGCCTTCGAGGAGAGACTGATTTTCTTACGAAAAATATTGTATTTATTTTCCTCTTATCTTTGTGTCCTGGGAAATCGATTACTATTATGGAACACGCATTTGTTCCACATTTCTCAGGTCTCGATTGTAACACACTCGTATTTCGAAGACTTTACTGTACACCTGAACCAGGTTTGCAGCCAAAACAACAAAAATAAAATATAATAAAAAAAATGAAATTTACTACAAAATGTTCACGTTCAATTTTGTACATCTTATATTACCGTGCCATTGATAAGTGCCTTGGAAAAAAGAAACGATAGAGAAGAGACCGAAGAAAAGTTCCACCAGGGCTTCTTGTATTCGTTAATATGAAGAGAAGAAAAGAAACACGTATATATGTATAATATATATATGGTGCACATCAGGTTTGCACGGAAGAGATTCCTAAATCACAGAGGATCATCTCGAAAAGTGTTTATAACTAGTCAATTAATAAACCTGTACGTTTCTCTGTAACATAGCTCAGTTATTAAAGAATAATGATATATATGTATATGTATTATGCCAGCGTTTCTACGTGAATTGTGGACGTTAATAAGTAACAAGCGCGGATCTTCTAATTTTTGTAAAAAGATTGTAGATTATAAATGAATACAGTTTTTTAATAAAACAACGAATTTTTGACGTTAAATATATTCACAGCGTCGTCGTCGAGAAAAGACGAATACGAAAGAGTCATACTATTCAATGAATAATGTATATTTTCTTGTTAATGCGATGAAAGATAACTCTACATATATGATAAATAGACTGCAGGTCTTTATACAATTTTTGTGAACATAATCAAAGAAATGTAGCCTGAGCAGAAAATTATTTCCAATGCTAAATACTGTAATAAGTATTCTATTTTCATTGTGTTATACATTTCATGTTACACTTTTTGCATTTTATGCACTTTTGCATCCTAAAATCTCCTAATAAATATATAAAAATCCGCAGTCTAGCGATAAATATAAAAAAAAGAGGTGGAAAAAGAATTCGTTGCATCGTCTACGTGAACGTAAAATGCATAAGATGTATAAATGGTGCATGCGAAAGGTGCTTAGTAGTAGATAATTTATTTCTCTGTATATTGTTACTTAGGATTGTATTCTAGTATATCGTTAACACATTTTCTTTTTGTATAATTGCAGAACAAATGAGGCGAGATACGTGTAAAATAAATAAAAAGGATTTATCAGTTGATCAACAAAAACCATATGTAAAAGCGATGAAAAATTCTCTGTACATAGCATCAGTCTGTTTATTTAAAAGTTTTCTCGATTTTCTTTTTCGTTCTTGTTTCGTTACCCAGCACCTAAAGGTAGCCAGTGAATCAGCATTTACTAAGGTAGATGTAGATTATGTATGTATAGTCTGCGTAAATATCGGATTATTATTGTAACGTAAATTTCGTCTCGAATAAACTACTGGAAACTGTACCCACATCATTCGACGTTTATTATTTCCAGATGTTTTCGCATGACTTGTGCGATTTTCATGGATCTTATTTGTTTTAAACGTATGAAATCAGGATTCTAAGAAGGATGGAGAAATATCAAACGAATTTTCGAGACATAAAAATTATTATTTTAAATCGAGGGTGTTGAATTTGAAAGTGCTGAATTATTGTTTTTAAAAGAAATTGCAAGAATTATTTTGTTCTAATCAGTGGGCTAAAAATCATAATGCTGTAAGTCAGCCTAATGCTTTTTCTTATTGCTATTACATGATAATTATGAAATTATTAATAAAAGCATTAATAATTATTATATGAAACTGCTTATTATTTAATTAACCATCAATAATACTTTTAAAAACTTGAACATGTTCCTCAAATTTTGACTTACATCCATATGATTCTCACCCCATGCAAAAGTATCACAGTTCAAAGTTTGAATATTATATAAATTATAGAAGAACATGCTATATAAATTACATAAGTGTTAAAATGTTATATATTTATAAATTTCGAAATCATTTCTATTAATAAAATTAACTAATCGGATCTCTGCTCAACTTTCGTCAAAGTTTACAATTTTCTGGTATAATTCGTCCAGCTTAATTAATGTGGGTTAAAATCGATCGAGTTACGGGCACGTAAAATAGATGTGTACTCATCTACACGGTTAAACGAATAAACAAATTAGTTTATGATTGATCGCGAGCATATCGAGGACATTGGGAAACAGAACCTTTCCCCCACCATTAAACAGAACCGCGTGTCCAGAGAAAAGTTAAACCATGAGATAAGTGATGGCGCTGAGATCGGTTCGTTTTGTTGTCATCACCCACATTTACACTAAGTTGTTTTCACCAGATTTTTAGTCGTAATATTTAATTTTGTATCCCTAGATTTAGCTTCGATTCAACGACGAAAGATGCCGAGGATGGTACGGACCATACGAACGGAACTTCCGAACGAATAACAGAAATAAAAGTTGCCGTTGTGTGCTAACACTCGACATTCAGGTTAGAATCAGATAACCCACGTTTATAACCCTGCAGAGCACGAAATTTATATTCTCTTGCAGATTGTTGCATACTAACCTTCATTTTATTTTCTAACATATTTTAAACGAGTTACGCCATGTGTTTCTACAACGAATTTTATGGAATTTATGTATTACTAAATTTTGATCATTTTTATACTATCTTGTGAATACCATTGTACATATGTGTGTTTGACGTATAATAATGTCGTGAATTATGTGTGATTTTAGTCTAGTAGTTTGAAACCATTTAACGGCATTGCAATCTGATGGCACTTGTATGGTGTCGCAGGTAGTAATATTTATTAAATGGTGATTACCAGTGCCATGGAGAGGAGAATCAAGTTAAAAGCACTGAACAGCCACATAACGTGCAAGATATGCAAGGGTTATTTGATAGATGCCACTACTGTTACGGAATGTTTACACACATTTTGCAAAAGTTGTCTAGTCAAGCATTTAGAAGAGAAGCATACCTGTCCAACATGCCAAATCGTCATACATCAATCGCATCCCCTCCAATACATAAGCTTTGACAGAACTATGCAAGATATTGTCTATAAATTAGTTCCTGATCTTCAAGAAAGTTAGTTTCCTCCACTAATAAAAATGATCGAATAACTAGAAAAAATTGTCTATAACTGATTGCATAATTGTGATTTGACATATATATGACATATATTTGATATATAATTGTGACATAACTTTTAGATGAAATTAAAAGGGAAAGGGAATTTTATAGAGCAAGAGGTTTACCTTGCCCAAAAGATGTCTTACCTAATGCTGGGGATATTGAAGAAGAAAAAGCAACAGCCGATGCACATGCGGAATCAGACTATCACCGTACTGATGAACAGGTAAAGAGAACTAGAAATCATTTGCTTGGTATTTGGAATAATTTCTCACGATTCTAATAAGTAGATATTTTCACAGGTTAATGTATGTCTGGAATGCGTAAACACAAGTTTAAAGACTTTGAAACGAAGATTTATCAGATGCTCTGCCCAAGCAACTATTACACACTTGAAAAAGTTTATTGCCAAGAAAGTGTTAAATGGAATGGAGAAATATCGAGATGTGAGTAAATATTATAAGAAATTTACATTATTTTAGACTAGATTATTAAGAATTACTAATTAACAATTCTCTCTGCAGATTGATATTTTGTGCAATGATGAACTATTAGGTAAGGACCACACGTTGAAATTTGTTTATGTAACAAGATGGAGGTTCCGGGACCCACCTTTAAGGCTACAATATAGACCACGAATAGATATTTAAGAATAATATCTCTATGTTCGATATGCGATGGAAATCTTACAAAATCTTGTACCTACTTTATACGTTTGTTAGTTCTATCTGTATTGACTGTCATAGTACTTATTTCTCTGTGTTTTTGGACACGGTAAAAAAATTCAATTTTAAAGATAGTTTTTTGCGACGGAGCAAAGTTTGCTTTAGACCATATCTTTTTATACATATAGAAAGAATTGCTTTAGTCAGATTTCCAATAGCAATCAGCACAACATATTTTAAGGATAGTAATTATCATTCGGCACATTCGATTATCATTTTATTTCTTTCTAGTTAAAGTTCAGGATCGTTTGTGTATTTGTTTTCAACTGAGTTACATTAACTCACCTCTTTTTCTTTTTTTTTTTTTTTTTATCGCGTTTGTTATGATTTACTATTCTTGTGTAACGCATAAATATAAGTAGACCAAGAAACCATAGCGACACTGTAACAACGAGAAGACAGTTTTTTCGTTCGCTGACAGTATCGCTGAACGTAATTCTAAATATTTAGTTGTACATTACCGTGACGCGCCTTGTGTGTTCTCGTATCGATCCCCCTTTGAATAATATCTTTTAGTTCGGTAATACGAAAAGAGCAATCAGTGCCCGCCACGGATAAGAATTTGTTGCTTTTTCGCGCACAGCAACGGGACAAAAAGATCGCCCTTGTCGTAATCATAAGACGTGAATTTCTTTTTATATATACCCTGATTGTATATAGAATATTTTTGACAGAATTCTGATAATATTGCGTGTAGACGCAGCTTTGTATTAGGAAAAGGGGAAAAAAGAAAATAGGGAAAAAAAGAAGCTGGGTCCGGACAATGGGAGATCTGGACCCCTTTAACTTTGTATGTTTATGCGCTGTACACATTCTAATTCGAGCCCCGGTTTTCGCTCAATGCCGGGGTACAAATGAATTTTATCAGATGCGACATATTTTCTCGAGGAATTTGACATGGACAACGATGCGTTGAGCGAAACGACCGGGGTCACTTGTCGCTTAGTAGTTAAATAAACTTGTTTTCGACAAACATTGTAAAGTGGAAAATGAAAAAATCGTGTGATTGTATATAAATACCCTAGGAAGTGATGAGGATATAGGGGGAGGAATAAGTGAAGTGAAATCGACTTTACGAAGTAGCAGCATTTTATGAATGCTAGAGCTTGTATGTTGTACACTATGTGTGTATTTCCATAAATTATTGAATAAATATGTTTTGTACAGTATCAACTAGATCGGTTAACGAGAATTCAAATATCATTGAAAGGTATAGGAAACATATAAATAGACTGCGGATATTCAGGCAAATTTATATTTATTTATGAATATTTTATATATTTTTCTGTTATCTATGTATTTTGTACATTTTTGCATCCTCAAATTTGCATAACGTGTGTATAAACATCCATAATGTACGTATAAGTACCTTTCAAACACCTTAATCTAACTAATGAATCTGTCGACGTAACGTTTTTTAATTGAATTGCACATAAAATAGCGACTAATGATCTGACGCTACATCATCAAACTGATGCCATGACATTATATATATATATACACATATATCTTGCAAAATGTTTTTAAAAGAAGAAAAAAATTTGAATAACGTACTTACTCAATAACGACTTACATACAACCAATGATTTTCCAATTAATCACATGTTTTATGTTTCCCAGTCAAAAAATTCATTATAAACACTTGCAATTCAGTGCACGAAACAATCTTAATGAATTGGAATGGAAAAACTTGTGTTAATTTCCCAAATGAAACGCGGGAAAGGAGACGATACTTCCAGAGAAAATTTTGCACGAAACTACGCGGTTTGAAGTAACGTGCATACGCAGTAGTCGCGTAGATCAGGGCTTAAACTTTTCTCTTTTACCTGAGCAAATATTTTCGCGACCCTGAGAATAGAGGTATATAAACTAAGAATACGAATTAAAACATTTGCTGATAATAAATCATTAAAAAAATTTATTCGAAAACAATTCTTTAGTGCCAAACTGGTTTTAAATTAATTTTCAGTCGCATGCATAGTAGTCACATAGATGGAAATAAACGGACGCATGCGCGTCCGAGTATAAACTAGAAAATACGAATTAAAACATTTGCTGATAATAAATCATAAGAAAAATTTATTCGAAAACAATTCTTTGATGCTAAACTTAATTTTAATTTTAATTTTTTAAAACTTAGTAATTTTGCTTAGATGGAAGCAAATGGACGCATGCGCAATAGTCGCGTAGATGGAAGGAAACGAACGCATGCGCAGTAATCACATAGAGGGAAGCAAACGGACGCATGCGTGAGGCGTTCCGAAGTTCACAGTTTATGGTCAATGTGCGTTGGGTAGAGACCGTTGCTGCTGTCCGGCAGCACGGTGAACGTGATTTTATTTGACTGATTTTCGATGAATTCGATTCCAAATGTCAGTAATTCCCTCGTACGCGTAATCTGCACACAGTTTCGCGGATAAATGAGCTTGCAAGACAGCCTATTCGCCGAAGACGTGGAGCACGACGTGACTCTGTTTTCAAGGGATAAGAAACGGAAAAGGTAGGAGAACCAAACGATCACATTTCCTGGTGCAACAACGCACCTTTAAAGGTTAGATCTACTACGGTTTCTACAACGTGTCTTCCAACATTATTTGTCACTTTCCATTTCTACAAATGTTTATGATACATCGCGTCATGAAGCTTTCTCCAAAAAATCATCAGTTTTAAACTTTTCAAGAATGTAGCTCGGCAACGTGAATGTAGTTGGACTGTTTGTCAATCACGTAAAGGAAATGAAATAATGTACGTCGATTTGATAACTTGATAGCAATTTTTGTTAGCGATTTGTTAGCCGAACGTTATATAGCAGAAACGCATTGCGTTAAATTTATTTGCATCCTTGACATACAATTGAAATTCAAAGATAATCAGAGTTAACCTTAGAATCTGAAAAATTAGGATACCATAGAACCGCTGAAAAGTGTTATTGGTATCTTTTATGGCCTCCGTACGAAATATTTATACATATCTCGGTTTAAAGGTGATTGATGTCATTTATCTTTCAAGCAACTGCTTTTCGATCGCCACTACTGTGAGTTAGATGCTTAATTGTTTCGTATACAGTGACGCTCTGTATCAGTATTAGTCGAAGAATTTGAGTAATATAAATATTGAAAAAAATTATCTTTTTAATAGAAAAATTTTATATTTGAATAATGTAAATCCTAGAATAATTTATTTGAGTTTACATTTAAGACTATCATAAATGTAACTTCGAATATTTCTTGTTCATATTTGAAATTCTTTGTCTAACACTTGCATCATTTACCATTTCGACTCTTCAATTATCGAATTACGAAGTTACAAATGAAAATGTAAAAAACAAAGTTACAAATATTCGATTAACTTGGTATAATTACGTAATATGAAAAATTAAATGGGAACACAGTCAATTGTCTTGTAACTGGTCGTGCATTTCCAAATCATTACATTGATCCGCTTTTTCTTTCTACACAATTTCTCTGCACATTTCAAACACTTGCGTGTTTTATTTAGACATTTATATTTTTAGCAAACTACACATTGTTTTAAGAAACACAAAAAAAGTGTGACTCATTGGCTTAATGCCCAAAGAAAATCAGAATGGGTTTTGTAAGTGGCAATCTCTTTTTTCCCTTTTTTTTTTTCGTTTCTTTTCTTTTTTGCTTTTAATTAACATTCCATTGTTTTTTGCATTTCAGTTACAATATTTTGATAAAAAGTTAATGGGTTTATAAGTTGCGGATATTGGTTAACTAGCCCTTTATAGATGGCGGAACTTGCGCGTACCTCGTTAAATAAAATTTATACGAAACGTGAAGTTTAATGGAATGCATTATTTTTATCAACGAAAATAACGAAGAAAATAACTCGAATAATAATATAAAACGTAATAAGGAAGAGGATAAGAAAATAATGAAAATAATAAATACAAGATTAACTGCAAATATATAAGGATGCCGTATAATATTTCATAAATATCTCATTGACATTATGTTTCCAAAGCTATCAAAATTTAATAATAAAATTTACAAACTTCGTAAACATTCTCTGATATGACGATTTTATTTTGTTTAAAAAATGATTGTCCGTCATATTTGATAATTGCAGAATTCAAATGGTAAATAGTTTTTTTTAATGGAAAAAGAATGTAAATTTCATGTTTTTTATGGTAATTAACACTATAATAATTTTCTTCGGTAGAATAGAATAATTTTTAAAAAATGAAAGTACCAACAGTCTATATATTTTTCATTATTACTATTGTTTTCCTAAATGCATAAATATAGTAAACAGAAGTTCGATAGTGACGATACAGTGCCAAAATTACCATACCGCATGTCTGTTTATCCAGAAAATCCTCACTGACACTTACATCATTTACCACTTAGTCTCGTCGATTATTGAAGCTACGAACAGGGGGAACAGCTGACCGATTTTGGATGTCCTCCGTACAAATAATTGTTAATCCACAGAGTGCAATCGGTTGCTCAGCATTATGTCGCTCACGTATACGCGTGATTACATGAACCACGCAACACTTACGGGTCACACGCGACTCTGTTTCTCCTTTGTAGTTCAAGGCTCGTCGATTTAGTCGTTCTTTGAAACGTAATTAAACGGATTTTACTCTTGAAACAACGATTTCAACAACCGGATCGGATGAAACGATTGTTTTGCTCGGCCTGTTAGAGTCGATTTCTTTTTCTTTTCGGCTTTCATATCTGACTACAAAGGAAAAAGAAACATCGAGAACTGCGATTACCATGCTACACGGTTCGTTCCACTCGAACAGATGGCATGTAATTTAATAACTATCGTGGAGCGACGTTGAGCTGAAAATTTTATCTTATTTTCCTCAGCATCCATTCTGAATTCGATTGCTTTATTTATCTCTACCAAGATCACCACCCTCCTAAATCGTGAGAGTGCATTTTTTGTTTTCTACTTTTCTGGATTACGTCTGTTTCAATGTTCCCAATGCTTTCTAAAAACACCTGATTACGACGTTGCACATAATAAATTCTTTTATCCGACTGTTTTATACCGGTCGAACGTAACAGCCGGTCTTCATGGAAATTGATTATGTGAAATGTTAACGAAGTTGTAACACTGGTGCGACAGTCAAGTCAGAAAGTTGATTAAAAGTCGGTTTTAAAAATTTTACTTTGCTTGCACAATTCTTATTCTCACAAATAATATATAAGAAATAACTATTAAGGAGCTCTTTATTTGTATGATCTTGAGAAATACTTTGAAAGTCAGCAGTTGAGTCATATGTAGAAATGAAATAAAGAATATTTTATTTTAAGTAAAATAAAAAGAATAATTAGAATATAATAAAAAGAATAACTAGAATATTTATTAAATGGAATAGACAGAAATAGAAGCCCTTAATATTACAGTAACAGGAAAGAAACTAGAACTCTCAAACGTCTCGATACTCTAAATCTGTACACCCTCACGACTCGCTATTCTCTAACTAAAATCCTTTTCTGCTCGAAACATTCGTCACGCGTACACTCACGTACACAAACACAATCATACCCTTAATATTTTAAGTTCTAGAATGGCCAAAACAAACATTTCCAGGTCTCAGGCCTAGCTTTCGCTATAATATTTGACACTCCACTGGAGACTTTTGGCGTCAATTGTTGGGTACTAGAAGAAGTTGCGGGCCCTTTCCTAGAATTCCCCACATATACATAACTGCTCTTTGAAATACTGCAAATTTGGAAAATTTTAAGGAAATAGTATTCTAAATCAAATAGTATTCGGTAGAAGAATTTGGATATTTTAAACATAGGTAATTGTGCAAGCTGTAGAGGACGCGTTCCTCTGGCCTTGGTTCTACAGCTAGGCCCAAATAATTGGAAATTATTAGGTAATTGCAAAAATTATTTTATGAAACTGACCTTTGACCAACAACACATTTCGACCGAAAATGACCTACCTCCCCTTATGTATATAAGGCTGACATTGTAAAAAAACTCAGTACTCGCTGCTAGCCTACTTGGCTATCGCAGTCGCTTCAATATTATCTTTTCACGTTCATCGTTACCATCACCACGTATTCCCAAACAAACTACAGGTGCATATTTTTTAATTCAAAAATCAGCATTAATTAATTACCAGTTTCTATTTTTTAAACATCCATTTTCTTAATCTTAATATCACAGTACATAAATCTAATCAATTTGACTTTTGTATAATTCGAACAAAAATTTTTTAAAAATTATTTCTTACTAAAATCCCCTGTGATGCGTAAAAAAATAATTTCACGAGTTTCTGATGCAAGTGTCTCATTTCACGCCTGTGGAATGACGTGCGATTATTCAGACTCGAGGATGACTCTGATTTTAAGGAAACCAACGAAGGAGAAAGTGAAACGTTATGTAAAAGTTAGCCGGCATGTGTTCATTTGACAGGATACGAACAAAGTGGCCTGGGGCAAAGCGGTTACGTTCACCCGTTGGCCATACTCAATCCAGTCTCACTTTCAGCCACGATCGTAACACGTTCTTTTCGCTTTTACAGGGTACTCGTCTTTCCACCTGTAAACAACTATCGGAGATACATCATACACCAGTTGGTGCAGGACCGTTTTGCCGATCTGCACACATTCTCGATCGGCCAAAGTTCTGCCAGACGAACCGTCGTCTGTTACAAGAGTGACGTGATAAGGTATCGAAAAGACCTATTATTGTGTCGTTTTAACTGTTCTATGATGATAAAATGGTTTCATTAAATGGCTGTTGCTATCCTCGCCTTGGAACTGGTTTCGTGAAGAGAGCCTCTTGTGTGTACAATCTGTCACAAAAATCCTCATTCAAGTCTTCCTTTAAAGAAATGTCATGACAAAAATGTTAGCATCGACAATCTTTTTAGCATCTGATTTTTAGCATTTAATGTGACAATCAAATTCAGATTCAGATTCAAGTTTTGATTCATATTCAATTTTATACTCAAATTCACATGCAAATTCAGTTTTAAATCCAGATTCTATGTAAATTAAGATACAAATTTACGTTCAAACTTAAATTCAAATTTACATTCAATTTCATACCCATACTCAGATCAAAATTCAGATTCAAATACAGGTTTCAATTCACATACAAATTAATATAATTGAAGTTAAACATATGTATCACAATTTCTTACATTTTTAGATAATAAATAACTGAACTACACGGGAATTCTTAAGAAAAGATAGATTTAATATTGCATTAATATCTTATAGGTATCAATAAAAGAATTTGCAATTTTTTTCTTTTGACAGTAATAAAATTACCACATAGTCGCCAAAAGCTTTTATCATTTGTATAGACTTTTGTAACTGTCCATGTAAAATAAACAAGTATATATTTCCTAATAAGTCACTAAATATAGTCCTGTGGTCAGTTAGCAAAGCGTTATTATATTCTTTTACTGATATATGATATGATCAAACCACGAAGTGTAGGATTTCATTGTTTTCCGCTGTGAATAGACTACGTTTTTCCATTGATAATCTATTGATAAAATCTCTGATAACAATTACAGTTCAGTGATTTCTGTAAAAATTGTGACTAAACACACGTGTTTGTGTCAAATTAAAGAAGAAATTGTTACTATACCTTTACAGAATAATTTTTATGTAGAATATTTGTTAATTGTTACAATATCGATGAAATAGATCATCAAATTTAATTGTTTTAGGTCAAAGAATATTCCTATTTTATCATCACTTTAACGTAACTAATATGATTAATATTCATTTCTGTTTAAAATTTAATTTTTAATTCTTGGTTCGTTCGAAAGTAGAACGAGTTCTAAATTGAATCATATTTATGCAAAATTCACAAACAAGTCTAATACCGTTACGAAATACGTCTACAAGAATGAAATTCTTACGACGTAGCAGCAATAAACGAAAGTGAAACTGACCGGCTCAAGGTCGCGTGGCCATAGTACTCAAACGTATCAGAGAATTGTACAATTTAAAAATGAAATTGTAAGTGATTATCCGTTGTAATTTCTTATTTCTCAATTTAAGGGATCCGAAATTGAATGGTGAACAGTGTAAACCAACAACAAAAGGTATTGATACGTTGTTCGAGATGGGTGTTGAAGGACAACGATCGCCTTCCGCATCTCCAGAACACGTACGAGTTCAAAGACAAAGTAATCAAGAAATAATATAATGAGTTTTTATTAAAAGAAACATTGTACAAAATTAATTGAAATTATCATTTGAATTTTTAGTCAAATCAACGCCAACAGTTGAGATCTATAGGCCACCAGCTGCTAGGAGAGTCAGAAATGAACTTCAAACAAGCGTGGACCAAGTTCAGATACAAACATCTGCCGATTCATTTACTACAAAGTAAGAAATTGCAAAAATCTATATTTTCTTCTGTTTCTCATAATTCAAGGAATAAATTATATATATATATATATTTTTTTTTTTTTTATTAAGAACTTCTCGTCAAAGAAGGCCAGATCGTGCAGTTTACATACCAAGGCATCGTAGAAGTTTGGAAACGGAAGGAAGTCCTCAACCTCAATCAGAATCTGCTCGTGTGAATCGTATAGTTAAGGACAGCTTGCCCTCTGCTTTTTGTGGACAATCAAGATCAAGTTCGAATGTCAAAGAAATGGACAGCGAAACTGATGCACAGCAAAGTATGGAATGTGAAAAAACGAGATCAAATACGTACTTCGATAATAATCAAAGCAATGGTGACACCGAAGTCTGTCAAGAAGATCCAAAGGAAACAACTTCTTCGATTGTTCCAGAAGAACCTACAATGGAAGCCAGTAATGAAATAGCAATTGAGCAATTATTTAATTTAAATGAAGATGTGCCAAATAATTCGAATAGTGCTCCTGCTTCTGAAGATAAATGTGAGATAACTGATACAGAATTTCAGACAGAAACTCTCGGAGAGCAAGAAATTTCTAGTAATTCTAGTGAAATTAAGAATAACTTAGACTCGGTTGAAACATGTATATATAGTGAGATTAATGTTAATGAAGAAATAGACAGATCTGATAAATATAAGGACGATATTATCATGATTAACTCAGATGCAAATAATAAAAAACACGCAGAGATCTCAAATAAGGACGAAATAACGAATCAAAAGAACGTGCAAATGATGCGTCGCAATATGGTGTCAAACGTGCTGATTATATCAGATACTGTACAGAAAGAACCAGAACCTGTTAAGGAGGTTATTCCAGTTCCTCTAACATCACCAGAAAAGAAAGTGAAAAAAGTTATACGGCAGAAAAGTAAACCTGCACCGCCACCTTCTCCGCCAGTTAAAAAAATGAATAGGGACGAATGTGACTGGGACAGTTTGTTCGATGACAATGGTGATTGTCTCGATCCAACTCTTATCGAGGAGGCAAGTATTCACAAAGTTATTTTATCTTTTATCAACATAAAAGAATGAAATTGTTTTATTAAGTCATTTTTTATTTTAGTTAACATCGGCTGTTGGTGATGTTATGATAGAACAACCGAAAAGCGATTATAAACCATACACCAAACACATCGAAGTATCTAGCGACGAATTTGCTCACGTTGTTGAAATTTACAATTTCCCATCAGAATTTAAAACCAGTGACTTGGCAGCTGTTTTTAGTCCTTTCAAGAACGGTGGCTTTGAACTGAAGTGGGTAGATGACACTCACTGTCTCGGAGTCTTCAGTAGTCCTCTTGTTGGTAATTAGAAACGAGTCAAACTTACACTAACATCACGACTAACAAGCACTCATTCGCTAAATCGGTTTCAGCTGCCGAAGTATTGGCTTCGGACCATCCGTTTGTTAAAACACGACCTCTAAGTGAGGCCACAGCCTTAAGTAAAACGAAGGCAAAACGAAGCGCGGAATTTTTACAGCCATACAGAAGTCGTCCAGAAACGTGCGCGGCATTAGCGAGACGATTGGTTACGGGTGCTCTGGGTGTAAAATTAGCTACTGCTAGACAAGAACGCGAACATGAAAAGAACATATTGCGTGAGGCTAAAGGTAAGTGTCATTTACGCAGCAAGTTTCTTACGACGTAAAATACGAAAAAGGGATGTGTCCTTTTTTGTTTCTAGAAAAACGTAGATTAGCCAACAAACAGCGAGAAGATGCCTGGGAGGGCATTATACCCGAGAAGTAGCATTATTTGTTGAAAATATAATGTTCACACATTGAGAATTATTTACATCGTTGTGTAAGTGTTTTACGACATTTACATGCATTTGTGCCTTACTCATCTATTCTCATCTTTGACAAACTCATTTTTGTCGAACTGATTGGGCGATTGGTTTTGGGAACATGGGATGATTGCTTGCCAATAGATGAGTGTGGCATGACAAAACTATCAAGTAACAGATCTATTTGCTTAGGACTGGTAAAGTGAATTTTCCAGTGCTTGTTTATTTTCTACGTATTATGCATATCACAATATTCAGACCAGTTGAATGAGCGTGCCTGTTGTACTATTTTCTAACAGAAGGGTATTAAGTATTTTAAGTAAACGTCTAAAGGGTGATTTACAGCCTTGTTATATTAGGAAATTTTATAAAAGGAAAAAAAAAACAGATGTAGAAGCGTTTTACGATATATACGGTTATTCTTACCTCAGCAGTTGCCTCTGTTATAAATTTATATATACATGATAAATAATACTGTGTTGTGCAATGGTACGAGACAATAAGTTAGAATGGTAGAAAACGAAGATATCCTTTTACATAAGTACGCGCGCGTACATCGATATGCTACAATGATATATAATCAAAGTGTATCTTCAAAGAGTTATGATTTTACGATGATGAAATTATACTGACATTACACTGTGTGGCATTTTATTATTATACGCAACTTATAGTTACGAATATGTAGTTACGAATTATGCCACTTATTATATTACATATACATATATAAATCTGTTACATAAATGTTAAAAATTTGACGCACAATCACGATCTATCTATGACATGAATTACAGATTTACTAAGAGAAAAATATGAATTCGAAACAGATTGTATTTTTATATACAATTGTTACCAACAGAGAAATAAAAATATGTATCGCCAAATCCTAGTCAATGTATGCAAGAAATATGTTACCTATATTGTATATTATATTGCCGAATTTTGTCAAAGGTTGACAAAGGATTAAAAAAAAAGGAATAAAAATATTTTATATATCATATATTTTTCGTGTTCATTTTTAATTCACACAGAATTTAATTACATTTTAATTTAATGGCATCGAGTTCAGAAGTTAAAAATTTACAGTGATCAAGTGATACTGATATAAAGTAGTACATTCATTTAAAAATGGCAGTATTCTTACTGTACATATGTACAGTGATAAAAAAATATGTGTATACTCGAAAAAATTATTCAACTTGTTAAAGAGACATATCAATCGTCGTTTTAACAATATAGAAGTGTTATACATATTTTGAACAAATGCAACGCAAACACAAACGACCACTTTTTACCACTTTCCACCTTTCTTTTTCTTCTTCTGCTGAACCTTACGTTGTTGTTGTCGTGGACCGGAACTTTCTACCGCTGGACTATGTCGAGGATTAGGAGAAGGTTTTGCGTTTGTAGGCATTTTCGTTATGTCGCTGTAACAATAAATGGTAATAAAAATTACCAATGGTATCTTTCTTTTTTATTAAAAAATAAACGTAATTTTAATACATACTACATATCACTAGCTCCAGCTGCAGCACCTTGTGTACCCTTCATTGCAGCATCTCGATTTCTTCTATCTCGTTTTTTCCTAAATCCACTACGTTCGTGTCTAGGTAACCATCGTTCAGGATCCGGTGGAACATTTGGATCGTAATTTTTGGGCAACTTTCCTTTGCGTTTACGTTTTTTCTTTTTCTTTTGTGTTATATCGACAACAGGTTTACTGTGAAATGAATTATAGTTTATTGAGTAATATTTATTAGTTTCACTATCAAAATTATATTTAAAAAAGAATACTCACCCGGGAGATGGTTCTATCTTTTTCTTGATCATTTTGCTACCAATTACCCAATTACTGCTTTCCAAAGCATCAACATCGGTTGTTTCAGAGAGATCATGTAATGGCGGCAAACGTTTTGATAGTAATTGTGCCTTTTCTGGACAAAACTGCACATAAGCCACCACTAATTGCGCTAGCGTCTTGATATCGCAAGGGGAAGCGTCTACCATTTCTTGTAAAATATCAGCAGCCATTTTAATGTCTCCTCCGCGTAGATAAAAGTCAGCAGCCTGCCGCCATAATTCTCCTAAATTGGCAGTAGCTTCCTGAAAATAAATATTAAACAAAGAAATTACTAAATAAAATTGAAGAAAAGGAAAAGAAAAATTAAATGTGCCTACTTTATTTTTCTTGTAATAATTGACTGCATTTTTAAGGACAGCTGACGCCTTTTCACGATTATTGTCAGCCATGTGAAGTGTTACAAGTGCACTAACTATACCAGGTAATGACCTGTCTCTTTCATTCAAGTTTTCAAGAGTATCGATTGCCTCTTGCCTCTCATCCTGACTCAATAAAAGTTGCACGCAAACCAATTTCATTTGTAATTCTTTGTCGCCAACTGCATACTGAATTAATAATTTTGCTGCTTCCTTTGCTTTACCTTCTTTACCAAGCTGTGCTGCCTTAACAAACATTGCATCTACAGTCAGTGCAGGATAATCCTTAGCTAGTTTATTACAAAGTTGTTGACATTGTTCTGCCTGTAAAAACATGGAACATAGACTAACGACATAAATAATATATATACAATAAAACGTTGCATTGCTAATCAAGATACCTGATCAGTGTATAAAGCCAGCAAACACTGATTGTATGCAATATTTCTTCTCTGTCTAGAAGTTAGTTTATGCTCTAAACTATCATGGGTAGCACTTTTCATTCTCTTTTTACTATCAAATACATTTTGATCTTTATTGAGGCACACAAGGTTATTGCTTGCAACTGCTACTAGAGCTATGTCATCGGGTTTTGCTTTTAAAGCAGAGAGGTACAACGTTTGAGCTTCTTTTTCACGACCTTGAAGCTGAAGACAACATCCGAGTTGAACTCTAATAATTCCCAATTCATCTTCTATTTCTTCCTCGGCAACCCCATCTTCTTCTAAAGCTTCTTTACACATTTTCTCAGCTACTCTAAGTTTCTTTTCCGCCTCAATCAAAGTAGTCTTGTCACCTTTGCTACCTTGTGCAATTAAACGACAGGCTGCATTGTACGTTAATTCATATGTATCTTCGCGTAATGCAGGAACTTCCAAGTTCTATATTTGAAAAAAATGTGAATTCAAGTAAACATAAATTGCAATATATTTGAATGAAGTTGTGACTGTTAAGAACTTACAGAATCCTCAACTGTTAAATTTACAATCACTGCTGCAAGATTAGCTTCTCTTTCGTCTTCATATTCATCGTGAGAGTTCTTTATAATGTCTCTGTACACTGAGAAACATTCTTCATATTTTTCTAGCCTGTATAGTATTTGAGCTTTCAGTTCTTTGAGCTTCAGCGAGGGATTTGAAACATTTTCAACTACTTTCAAAGCATCAAGCACTTGATTCAATCTATATAAACAATATGCTTTCTCAAAATCTAAATTGCTGTGAGGAAAACATACATTATCAGAATTATGCAATGTATTAATTAAACAAATATAACTTTAACATAAGTGAATAGCATACACTGCCAGTTTTGGATTCCTAGTAATAAACTGGAGTGCATCATTGAATTTCGATAATTGAATGTAGCAAATAACTTTACAATGAAAAGCTGCTTCTTCATCCTGGAAGGTATCTAAGACTGTAAAAATTTTTTTTTATTTTGAGTGTGTAAGTAGAGTATAGGTTATGTTGGTAGCAAACTTTTACAATTGAATGGAAAATCGCAAACTTGCGGAAACTCACTTTTATTGGCAACCTTTATAGCCCGCTCGTATTCACCATTTTGACCTAATTTATTTAATTCCCCGTATAATATGGGAAGATTGTTTTCCTTTGTAGCCATGTTGCTCACTTTGCACTCATATCCAACGTGGAACTAATGCGTATTACAACTATCAAACACGATGTAACATACAAAAAACCTGTTTAATAAAAGTTACTGCGTATGAGGTATAGCTTATCTACTTGTTTGGATATTATTTTAAGTATTATTTCTGAAAATGTTATCCAAGTTCAAATTTATAGCAATATATATTAATTAAATTGTCTTGGAAAGCATCCAAAGATAAGATAATACCTAATTTTACTCAAAGTTTTTGTGTATAACTTAATACTTTGATATTAAAGAGCTAAAATCATATTTGAATTATATGTAATTATAGAAACTTTCATTTAAATTTTCATTCAAATATAACAATATGAGGGAAAAGGAAACAATAAGTTAAATTTTTATTCTATGTTATTCGAATAAATCTTCCGTATCGTTAAAAATATCTGTGTGTTAGAATTATGATTTACAAAGAATTTTCAACTAAAAATATTTCCAAGTGTATATGTACTCTATGTACCATAAACGAAATACTTAAGCGTGATTAAAATTTGAGGATATCATTTGCAGAAACGTAGTAGATGTGATTTTAGATTTTAGATTTTCGGAGTTTAAGAATTTTTATTCTATAAATGTATCAAGTTCTTGTGTTGTTTGTTTTAAAATTGGAAATATTCATTTTAAAAGACAAGTACGTAGCAACTATCACATCCAGTCTTTTCTTAGTATACCAGTTCCAGAGATACGAACATTACCAATCGCAAGTGGATGCCGCTTACCTACAGATCGAGTGCGATCTTCAAGTTAAGCGCGCAGCATGCGAAGTTCTAAGAGAGTGTCATGCCCAGCCTTAGAAATTCCTAATAAACCGAGCGTTTGAGGTAGGAGTCGCCGCCATCAGCTCCACTGATCTGGCAGCGACTCTGACAATAAGACGAAACACATTCCATCTTATAACCCTATCTCATTCTCTTTCCTAAATCCATCCATTTTAACCAACATAGCCGCTACAAGTATGTAGCGACCTATAGTCCCTTGAGTACGAGTTTCGAACACCAACTTGTACAAGCCGCAAGTGGCTGTGCGCCTAGCGTCGAAGTCAATCGATATTCGAAGCAAACAGAATGCGGAACCGCTAGGATGGGTGACTATCCAGCCTAGCGAGTAGTTACAACAACAAGCGTCTGGGGTAAGGAGGAGTCGCTGCCATCAACCCCACTGATGAGTCTAGGCAGCGACTCAGACGAAACGCACAACCTTTCCTCACCTTACCCACATCATCACTTCCTACGTTATCCTCGCATTATCATCGATACTTTCAATCCCTTCAAGTAAACCGTTCCCTGCGCCCTTTACAATTTAATACTACAAATAAGAGAATTATCGATATTTAAGTTATCGATCGATATTTAAGTTATCGATCACTCGCCTTTAAATTGTTACAAGGATATTATTTCACTTTTTACACTGAACATGTCTAGAGACATGAGAATAGAATTTCTTCTTTGAATAAATATGAACAAAGATTGATGAAATATTAGTTTATTAATTTAAAAAAATACGAAATACATTAAATCACAAATCAAATCATTTCCTTTGCACAATTTTTTTCAATTAAGTAAATTGAGGCCATTGTTCGTCAAATACTTTATTATGTTACCAGCCTTTTTGCATGGGGTGGAACCAACTATAATGACATCAAATAAGAATCATTATCATCCGTCTTAAATGGTAAATAATCTACTAAAAATTTTATTCTATATTTAAAATGAAAAATCAAACTTTTTACTTGTTATTAATAATTAATTTTTTTATTCTAGTGACAATATGCGTCAACGTAATTAATGTCAGAAATCGTTTCAATGATACAAAATTTTATTTTTTACCGAAATTTTATTTTTTTTTATTTTTTTTAGTGATAAACAATTTACTAAAAATTTCATTTTATATTTAAAATAGAGTTGATTTTTTTTAGCAACAATCTTTTACTTACCTATATCTACACAGTTGTTGAGTATGTTATCAATCTTTTCCACAGCAATTCCACCATGTGACAGTTTTTGTCTGACAAGTTCTACGTTGATGGTTCCATCGTCGGTCATCTGTCGCAGAAATAAAAATAATTGTTTCTTATTCTCTTCTACAGATATTATTTAAGAGAAAAATAAACGATGTCTAATTAAAGTAGATGTTTCCTGAAATCAATCTAAAGGTAGGTGTTATAAATTTATAAAGTTTCAAAATTAACTTATTTATAATTAGTTAATATAAAAAGTTTTCGTATGATTTGATTTAAATAATTTTGTTACTTACAGCTCCGATCTTCTTCAGCATACAGAAAGAGAAACAAGACAATTTGTCGTCGTCAGCAACAATGCCCTTCTTCGCATTTTCTATCAACTCTGAAGACCGAATAATATTGATTAAGATATGATTGTTTCCAATTTATTTTATTGTTTGCAACTTACGTTGGTCGATACCAGTTTCTGCGATACAAGCTGTCTTGTGCGCTAACAGTTTGGCCTTTTGTTCTTCCGTGAATGCCTAAAGGCATTAAATTAAAAAATTAAAAAGTATTAAAATACAAGTTAATAGTTAGCAAAATGTTACTAACAGTTTAAATAATCAAAGTAAAAGTATAAATAACTTTTTTTCAATATGACACCTAGTTGTTTCAAAAGATTCAAAAAAAAGAAGTTCTAAATTTTAATTGTGATATTTCTTTCAACATTAAAAATAACCTTAATTTTATTTACAATCAATAAATTCTTCTTTATATTTCATTTTAATCATACAATAACAAGCTCCAACATTATCGTCCAATTCAATTAAAAATATTAATTAAATAGATTTCTTTTATTATTATTTTGTAACCATATTCAAAATTTACCAAAACACCGACGAGGCAGAAGATGAAGATTACAGCGAGGGTCTTCATGTTTCTTTTTTGAAGTTGTAGAGAAGTCGAGATCAAGCAAGATCTGTATGAATGTTCAATGAGAACTGAATGCATATTGAATGTTCCACGAGTTTTTATAGTTTTATATATACAATCATTAACGATGAAACATCCCACAATTCCTCTCTCCATTGGGAGCCGATAAACAGTATTGTATTTCTTAAATGGAAGGTCTCTGGACAATTAAACTATTAAACTATTATTTAACTTGATAACAATACAGTATATTTAAGTAATTTATTCCATTTTTATACTATTTATTTAAGAACAAAAAATACATGGACGAAACTGGGTTTCATTTAAATAATTATGTTCTTTTTTTTTCACTTGACCTTGTGAAAATTTATATAAAATAATTTATAGATCGAGCAATTATCGGTTCCGTTTTCATTCTTAGAAAGAGATAAATCGGTAGATCTTTGTTTTTTAAAAATTTATGAATGCTAATGTTCGATATAGAAACTCCCATTTGAAATATTATTAAAATTTGAGTCCGATGGAACGTCAAGTTAATGAGTATACTATTAACTTCAAATTGTATTATAAGTTTATACTTTCTTAGAAATATTTCTCATGTATATATTACACAGCATTAGCAAAAAATATTAAAAATATCAGTACTTAATATGTATATTAAGGAATAATAAGTCGTTAAAAATTTATTTTTCACCCCAAAAAAAAAATGATTTAGCCGAAAATATAATATCATTAATCAATCAATTCGAAAAAAATATTCTATTTTCAAAATAAAAAAAACAAAAATAGTTAATGTTCACGATTATGGATTAACATAAATCAGTCTCTCAGAAAATTTTTATCTTTAGGCAGCGTGAACGTCGTACTGTTGATTTTGTAATGCTACACCTATATAGGATTTGCTGGTAGCTTTGAACAATATACCTTAATTAATCATGTATGACCATTGATTAATTTTTCTCGTGTAATGCAACATTTAAATTACAAAAACTCGATTAAAAATATTTAAATAGAACAATGATAAAAATATAAGAGCTATATTAATTTTTGTAATCTATCATAATCTGTCGCAAATATAAATATATGTAATCTCTAAAAAATATAAGTATATGCATGATTTTATAATTTGAAACAAAATGGGAGAATCTAATCTAATCAATATTAGAGAGAATATCTTAAATTGATTTATCAATGTTAATACACTGACATGTAATTGAATGCTTTCGTTGTTATGTAGCATTAAATTTATTAAATTTATGAGACTAAAATAATTTTCTTTATTTTAGAATAATAATACATTATTTTTATGCACTCATATTGTAAACAAAGGAACGATAAGACAAGTTCGAGATGATTCCTGGAAGGTCAGTTGTCAGAAAAAGTGATAAATGTAATAATATAACGTGAACGAATTCGTTCTCTCCAATTGGAAAAGACAATAATTACTTTTATCATTTTCGTCACAACATTGAACCACAATTACGTACGGTAATAATAAAACTTATACATATATAGTTTTACTATTTGTAAATTTCTGGTAGCATGATCTGGCTAGCTTCACGTTTGTTTCTAACGTTGTATAGATGTATAGATATCAAAAAAATAATGAATAATCAATAACCAATACAATGAAATTATCAAATTGCAATTATATGAATGTACATTAAAAAAATTCTATTTTGAATAGTTGTCTAAGTCATCTAGAGTGAATTTAGAGTGAACTAGAATGAACTAGATTACATTTATTTTAATAATTCAAAAAATAATTATGTTGTAAGAAAAGCAAAACTTTAGTTTAGAAAATTAGAAACTGATAATTATTCTAGGAAATTAGGGACATAAAATACTATTTTGTGAAGCAAAATGTTATTTCTGTTTCTGCATTAAATACATCAAAATATAAATGTTAATAATTATGTGATATAAAAAATTAATTATTTTATTTAAATATCATGACAAAAAAATATTTTAATTCAATAATAATATATTACATGTAACTGCGTTGTATACACTTAATTGTATATACTTTAATTGAGCTAATGAAATTTATTGTAAGTTATTTTTAATTTATTGTAAGAATATTTGTATAAATTTAATACAGAAACAAAAAATTTCATTTTTTCTAGTTTTAAACCAGTTTTTTTAAAACCAATATGTATTTGTTTTTGGTTTAATTTTTTATAGCAAAGTTTCCAATAAATAAAGTATTTTATCTAATGACACGACCGAGGTTATCGTATCTATGTTTTATATAAGTATTAAAATGAACGCAGATCAAAGTTATTATTTTAATTATCATTGTTTTCATTTCCAAATTTTTTAATATCTTGTGAGAGCGGTTCTTTTTTTCTGTCGATAAATAGAACCGCTCTCGTCTGAGCGTTACATTAATATCACAATTAAAATATGAATCACTGACAACGTTAAAATCATTATTTCTCTAGAGATCTTTTCAGAATTTTCTGCTATTTAAAATTATTTAGAAAATAGATTGTGGAAAAACGTGAAAAATGGGATGCTTAAATGACGGAGAGAAACTGTGCTGCCACCAGTATGGAAGCTTTTAACTATTCGATGCGTTAGAACGTGCTCTGTGCTCATACACGCACCAATACATCAAAGAGTAGCTTAGTCGTTGCATTACGGAATATTAAATTAGTCGTGTGTAGTATGAAAGTACAACTGCCACATTGCCTTATAAAATATGGGAGATAAAGGTAAAAAAAAAAAATTACTACTTTGATACGTGACCATATTTTTCTTTGTACAGTCATTTTTATTACGATTAAGATTCACCCTTTTATATTTCACAGTAGGAACGTATATTGACGAAACCTGATAGAATGTTAGTCATTAACTAATCTTTCGAACGAACGAATTATTAATGCGAAGTGAACATTTTTATAGAAAATTTTTTGTCTTAGTAATTTGTCCAAAGCCGGTCAGTAATTAATGTATGAGGTTAGGACATGTTCGTAATTGGGTCATTTGAAAGCGCGCCACTTCGAAAGTACGATGCTTCTTGTTATTGATAAAACTTTATGCCATAAATATATACTCGTAGCGTTTTAATGTCTCTCCTTTTTAGTTTACTCGCGTTTACTTTATATAGCTGTCAAGGTTATAACGATTCTTTTTATTACATAATTCTACATGGATCTATTACACCATGGTCAACAGCTGATATCTAACGAACTACCAACTTTTAACACTTCATAAATTGAAAAATTGATATAACAATTTATGAAGTCATGAATATAATATAGTGTTGAATAGAGAATAAATATTTGTACATTTCGTGACATTTCTCCATCCAAGCATAAATGATATCGTAAATTTATATATATATACAATATATATGTATACGTAAATTAATAATTATATGTATTCATTCATACAATCTTAGATATAATTTTGGTGTTAAAAAAATTACATGTAATATTGCCTTCTACATACTGTTAGTGCCATTAATTCCTTGAAATTAAGGTACCAAAATAGGATTATTCATAACCTTATATTTTCTTTTCCCACATGTACTTCGAAATCATACGTTATTAACACAGACTTCCATTGTTTCTTACATGCATTTCGTAGCAATCTTCTGTGTACTGTTCTTCAAATAATAATATTTATTTTCATATTTATAAATAATAATATTTATTTTCATTTTTTTTAAACACTTCAAAATTTTTGTTATAAATTAATAATAGTGGACAATGTTAAATTATAAAAGTCCATAGTACGTAAATTTACATTATATTAGCACTTAAAAACTATCATTATACAAAATCATCTCGATACATTTTTCCATTGTTTTATTTCAGAATTCGATTATAGGGAAACAAATGTAATTAAATGTTTTATTATTAATAATAGAAAAATTACCGATTGTGCTTACTAATAAAATTGCGAAAATTAAATTAATAAAATTAAAGATAAATTTGCATGGGTTAAAATTTTATCCTAATAGTTTAAATTTTGATAAAATGTAAATGTTAAAGTTTGCTCTACTGAACTATATATTTGTAGAAGAAATATGTAAGAAAATTTGAAACTATAGTTTCTTCGGGAAGATACGATTTCAACTAACACATTTCTTTTATTTATATTATGTACTTTGATATTTATCTAATTGCTTAATTACATTATTACACTAATTTCATAATAACATACATATTTCTGTTCTAATTATCCAAGTATCACTAGACAAAATTAAATAAGACGTCGAAAATTACAAAATAAACAAAAAATAAAATCAATAAAGATAACAAAGTTAATAAGTTAATAAGTTAAAGATAACAAAATTAATAATATTGATAATCGAATTAAATAATAGAATTTTGTTCAAAAAAAGTATCAAGATCTTGCGATCTCGGAAGATGTACTAACAATATATGATATAAAAATAACAGAGTTGCTAAATATTATAAATAAGTATCTTTTTTTTTCTAATTATTACGTACATTAATATGTAGTATCTATTATTAATATTACATTATATATACTTTACCTTACTATAAATTAAATAAGTATTAATTTATTAATTGTATTAAGATAACAAAGAGATCTGAGAATTGTTTCGGTAGCTAATTTGTAGGAGTTTATCTACAATTTATATAAAATGTATGATAAATGTGTATGATATGATATTTTTTCTTTGTTTCTTGAATCTTTAGAGCATCATGTGCACTTCAGTGGGGGAAGTAGCCTCGGAAAAGACAACAATATTATGGTACAACCGCAACGACATGGACAGATAGACGCTCATCTCGGATTTTTACAACTTTATCACAGGTTAGATTTTAGTTTTACGCATTTAAATTAATGAATAATTTACTTATTAAATTTATCATGTGGATAGATATCACGTGGAATTCTCAATTCCTTGGAACTTGTGTACACACAGAGAGCGAAGAAGTTCCGCACCAGCAGTGGTCACGGGACCTCATAATCCCAATTGCCATGTTTTAGACATGATACATGAAAAGGAAGGCCTAAAGTAAATTTTCGCATGAACATATTTAAAATTTTATTTTTTGTACACACACTTTTTTTTTGTAAATTCTCTAATTTTGGTTACATTTCATAAGCTGTTTTTTTTTTCACAACAGGTTAAAAATAGAACTGCTAGCATATAAGGAGAAAATCTTGAAGGAAGAGGTGCAAATAATGTGCTGCAAGAATGGAACACCATTGAAAATCCAGTTGAATACACGCGTCTTGGGAAAAGATAAAGGCAGACCATTGCTGAGGAATGGGATACGCAGTATCGGCGTGGAGCAATCAAACGAAGATGAGGTCTCCGAGTAGATCTCGTTGATAATAAAACATTATTACTCGAATATCTAAGAGTCGAGTGTTTTTTTCACAGGTGCTGGGTACGAAATTGAGGGCATCTTTGAGCATGCAAAACCAACAGAGTCTCTGAAGAATATTCTCAGATTGGGACACACCAAGGAGCGTATGTATCTATTCGAAGACGTATGTAATGTAACAGGGGATAAAATTTGATGACGAGAACATTCCTTATTTCGAACTTTAATCGTGCACTGGATCGCGTTGCAATGAATTTAGTTGTTGCGGTTAGTTATTAATGATCGTTGTTTCAATTGTAAAGAAATCACATGTACACTGTGTTCAATCTCAAGCATAGCATAAAAAATGTCTGTCGAGATCAATTTAACCACACAGTATTTTAAGCTGCACGATGAAACTTTCGAAATATGCGATGTTCAGCGAAAATGAAAGAACTTCTCTTCGAATTTATTATAATCGGTCTGACTGTACAGATCTGTATCACAACCGCGAGACTTTTTTCCCTTTCTGCGTCGAGGATTATTATAACGATAATTTCGACGCAAAAAAAAAAAAAAAAGATAAAGTGTTCCTTTAATCGGCCTTTCTTTAGAGGATCACATCGAGATATGTGTAATTATAAGTTATCGCTAAGTACCGCATTTGCCTACTGTTCCTTCTCAAACGAATACGTATCACACAATGCCTACATATATATAAAAATCTATTACATCTTTTAATATCTATCGACGATCTATCCGTAATAACAAAATTGTATTTTATTATCGTTTTACATGGAGCATAGATTTTAACCGATAAGGATATATCACTAATCAAAAGCTGTTCGCGATGAATGACGATGCTGTTTTCTAATTCCTTGCTAAGTTGATACGAATTATTAAAATGGACGATTTGAATGGAAGTATCTTTTTTTTTTTATTAACATTCATTCGTGTTAAACCCTGCTATTTGTTCCCTTACTCGGAGATTAAAGTTATAATTTATTCAAAATTAATTTGCTAATCAAAAAGCAAATTTTACCATTTAGCAACAATTCGTATTACATGTACAAATTCGTGTTTTAGTAATAAATTAATTTTGAATAAACTATAATTTTTGTACGCCGTGTCATGCGCCAGTATTTTACTAATCATAAATATTTGCTTTTTAATTATTACAAATAACTTTTCAACTTTTTATGTTCGCATCCGCTTAACATGCGTAACATGTAATATTTTATTGTTTTTAATACTTGCTGATAATTTATCAGAATAGCATGTTGAAAAATTCTCAAAAATATAGCTAGCATCGGAAGCTTGACTGTTTCATAGGAATACCAGTTGGTCCATCAACGAATTCGCAAATGTTGAAACCAAGTTTGGCCAGAGGATGACAATTACTTCTAGGATTGCCCCACTTGCCTCTAAAAGTCATCCAACTGGGTAAAATGCTATTATCCTCCTTTAGAAGCAATTCCATCTTCTTCCACGTAGGCCAAGCAGTACCAAAGCCACTCTCGTCATAGAGACGGGGTAATCTGACAAATTTGTGCTTCCCTGGCGCTGTCCAGAGTCCGTGAGATCCTCGCGCACTGAATAATATCGGATGAGAGCCGCCAGCAGTGAAAACTCTTTCGGGAAATATAGGTTTCTGGAAGATGCCTTTTCGCGTTTCTTGACTGTCGTAAACGAAAGTTCCGCTTCGCAGATCGTATCGATAAAACGCGCCGGCATCGTGAGCGGACACGTACATGGCTGATGGGTAATTTGCATCCTGAATTTAAAAGAAAAATAGTTTTATATGAAAAGATATAAAATACGCTAACCAATACTGAGATTTCCACAGAATTTCTTTATTAATACAAATGAAAATAAATTAACAAAAGAAACAGTAGCATAGGATATACAGATTAGTGTCATTTATCGAGCAAATATCAGTTCGTGTACCTTGAAGTAAAGACTCATGTGTTCCCAATCACCCACGTGATTGCCATATTCCTTGAGTATTCCGAGACACATCCCACCCACCGTGGGTATCGGCCAGCTACCAAAAAATCCAAGATCTAGAACACAGACTGCCTTTCCCTCGCTGAACGGATAGAACATCCAATAGGTCACGTGAAAGTGCAGCTTCCAAGACTTGTTTTCTTTTTTCTTCTTTTTCTCAAAATTGCCATGCTTCTATAAACAATTCCACAAATAACCGTTGAATAAATCAATCGACAGAATAATTTCCAAGAATTGTACACATTATTCTCAAAATATTTTAAGATTCCTTAATCTTTATTTTAATAGCTACTATTTAAAATTTTTTTTAAATATTTTTCTTTTAACATTTCTATTTCTCTTCCCACTATACTTCTCTTATTGTATAATATTTTTCATAAAATTCCTGTTCCGTTTACCTCTAGACTCTGTTCAATATCGCTCTTCCGAGTTTGTCCTGGGAGATCGTTGGTGAGGATCATGGACGACCCGAAATCGTCGATTTGCACGTTCCTCGATGCTATCAATGTCTCGTCCGCCTTTTTTCGCGACTTTTTTTCGTCCCTGACAGTCTTCAAATTTATCATGTGCGCAGAGACGTCCGGAGCAACGCAGTTCTTGATCACAGCATAAACCGGCACCGTCCCCGCTGGTTTCCGGCCATATAGAAACGACGATCGATTCCTTAACAGTACTTCTGCCAATATAAAATCGTTCTATAAACTTGGCTTCCATGAATTTTGTTATAAATTCATCGAAATCGGTTGTGCAACTTGTGGATTTCTTGGAACATAATCGTATAGGTTTTTTGTCATTTGTCATTTACCTACGTCGATTTTGGTGCGAAGATAGTCGTCGTCGAATTGCATATTGTCGAGGAACTCGGGTACCCCAAGAGGTAAAAAGAGTTCACCAGGTGCAAGCCATACCAAAGGCGCCCAGTCTTGCACCAATCCTTTTACTGCAATTTAATTTAGTAAAAAAGAAAAAAGAAAAAAAGAAAAATAACGTTAGATTGTAATGAAGATGAAGGAATATATTTTATAAAACTAAATAAAATTAATTGCAAAATCTTGTTGATAATTTCACTGATATCGAGTATATTTAGATTATTAATATTAATAAGTTTCAGAAATACATAAATGAAGAATATTTTCTTGAATATAAATATCGAAAATATCGAACACTTTTCAATCTGATGTCAATACTTTAATACTGCAACTTTAATTAAAATTACAGGAAATGGAACTAAATGATTATTTCTAAACTCGTAATGACAATTGTCCTATCGCGGAAAATTATAGACCCGGCACAATAAATGATGTCGAACGACGTGTACGTATCTATAAGTTTGAAACAAGATTGAAAGTAAAAGATAAATTATTGTCCCTACGAAACCATTTAAACGCGCAATTTAATAGAAGAGAAACGCAAACGAATGTACATAGTACCCACGCATCGATGACAATTATTCGTGTTAATAACGTTACCGATGATAACATAATATGTTTATTAGAAAGTCAATTTCTTCAAGCTGATAGTTTCAGTGTGAGCTACATATATTTAGGTAGAAAAAATGAAAAGCCTACGGGGATTCTGCTTTCATTTCATTTCAAGTGAGCAGGATTGCGAATGTATGCATCTTCGTTTTGATGCACTCCCACACTTGAACTTTCATCAAACAGTTACCATCGTCTAACGTGGCGTATAACTCGCCGAGGAACTCGAAACCTCGTTACGATACGAGTTGTAATAATTCGCAAATTTTTATGAATCAATTTTTTGATCAATTTCTTTTTTCTTTCCATTCTTACCTTTTTGCTCCTTCGGAAAACATAAAATTCTATCACGACGGATTTTCTTCGAATCGTTCGTTTCCCCCGAGAAGAAAAGAAATATTTATCGAGCTTGAAGAGTAACGAGTAGGACTCGGAAAGGATTTTCATTTTGTCGTTACTGGCAGGAAAAGCTTTCCACGTGTCAATTTATCGGTGCCCATAATTATCATGTAGAACCGATATATAGCATTACCATGTTTGGTTTTACGGCGTGTTTCTCATTATACTTCCGCAATTAAAGAACGGGCGCCACGAACGAGAATAAGTATCTGTCTTGTTTTTTTTACTTGAACGCGGCACTTAGGTACACACGTTATTGCCGAGATAATTACCTCCGTTGCTTAGATTAGTCCGAGATAATTTAATTACTATTTATTTAGGACGACAGTCCTCTCTAACGAGAGGATATACCATGATAAGTATAAAGGATTTTTTCTGTATACAATCGAATCAAACCATAAGAACGTTAGAACTGTAGGGAATAAATGAAAATTATTTTATTATTATTATTATTATTATTATCATATGTCTAAGATTCTTACGGTTCATAGATTTTAAATGGATTACTTCATGTAGTACACGCATATATGTATACATTTATATTACTATTTTGCTAGTGGAGGCAATGTTATTTCAAAGATTTCAGATTTACCGTTGTTTACTAGTAAATATTAGTAAATGCACTGCTCGAAGCCATTTAATTTTGTCTAATAATATTTTCGTTCGGCTTCTACTGTGTTTTAGAACTATGGCTTCATCTAGTTACGAAAGATCATGCACAATCTTGTTACGACATTCCAGGATAATTTACCGTGACGTGTATATATCAATAATTTATATTTCTTCCTGATACCTGTGCCCGTGCTAATGTACTACAAAGAAAGTAGAATCATTCGTGATTGGATCTCTCCTTACATTAGATCCTACAACGTTCATGATCCTTGGGTAACGCAAGATCGTCATCGATTACAAATATTCTCGAGTCCTTAACACGGAGTAACACGTTCGCGATGAAGAAAGTGAATTTCACCATGGAAACGAATTTTCCTAGAAAAGGAAGAGCAACACACGGAGGTGCTAAGTATCGTAATGGAATTCGTTTAATTATAGCCTGCATATAATAACAGGCGAAATCGAAGATTAATGAAAACTTGTTTCGGCCTGCTTGACAATCGTGAAACCGGTCCAGAGAAATGGGACGATCGATTTTCAACCTGAGCCAGCAATTCGTAGTCATAAGCTTCGGCCCTCAGAAAATAAATCGGTCAATCTCAAAGGAGCACGGGCATTGTGACGTGCGTTAACACGTTTGTACTAACTACGTCGCGATAATTCGTGTGGTCGTCGAACGAGACAATTTCACCGTTAATCCAATAACCAAGGCTCTGACTGGTTACCACGAAGACTGTGTCCTGATTCACCACGCGTTGGTGCTACTTTTACGAACTTGTCGCCTTTACAGTAAACGTTCCTTCGACGGTCATTCGTACAATAACCAAATACGTATGTTCGCCATAATTACATAATTGCCATTAGATACTGAAATTACAACACGAATGATCGAAACGTGGAAAATTGTTATAAAGTTCACTTTATGCACCATTAAATTATAGTGTACGGTCTTGTTGTAGTTTATTCACGCCACACTTCGAGACACAATTACGATTACGAAAAGCACAAAGAAGATGCAAGAAAATAAAATTTATTCATCGCGTTTATACTTAATCTTGAGTTGCTTGATTTTTCCAACTCGGAACTACGGTGTACAAACATAAATTTAAACAATTCAATTCGTTAGTATCAGAGAATTATATCGATCATCCCTTTAAATTTTTCAAAAGTCAGCCATTGAAAATTTATGACAATTGGTATGAATATGTATTTATAAATCTTTCAATATATTATTTTAGGGAAATTCAAAGGAATGAAAGGACTATAGATCGCGAATTATCAAGTACAAATGGATAATAATTGCAAATGACGATTGCTTGAACGTAATGTTTCTTACCTCGTTCTTCGTCGGTGGTTTCCAAAGTCACGATCATATGAATGACACACAGAATCAACAGCAGATACTGCATCGTATTGTTCGACTTGTTCACGCATTTTGATAATCGAGTGCCAGAAAAGCCGCGAAACTCGAAATTTTTTAAGTGTTGGTCATCGTCGATACGCCGTTTCCCGCCGCCTTTATATCTCCACGTGCTGCAGTCGCTGTGGACCCACCAGATACATGTACCGTGTCACTGAAGAACTTCTGAGGTTAACGATCGACAACGCCGATCGTCCTGCTACCAGTTAGAGTGTTTCTCAGGTAACTGACCGGTTCTCTTCGTTCCCCGTGCCGCTCACTGGACAAATATTACCTTCGCTCACAGCCATTGTGCACGCTGTGTTACGAGGATGCGGAGGGAAACTGTAAACGTAACGAGTTAACCCTTCTATCGAGTTGAAAGTATAAATTACGCGCTTTTCATTTTAAACACAACTCGCGCGCATGTGCGTACACGCAAGGATACGAAGAAATTGCTTTTTTTTTAGCTGGAGAGCTGAATTTTTTTTAGCAGCTAGATTTGTTTGGTCACTACGTTGGTTTATCACTATCACTAATAATTAGGTACATGATTAGTTCGAGTGTCAGTGTTTTGTGAACTATTCAACATTATAATAATATAAATATATGAATAATATATATGAAAATCAATAATATAAAATATATGAAATTCATTCATTGTATTATATGAAATTCAATTATATGTGTGTGTGTGTGTGTGTGTGTAAATTGGTTTAAGAACAAAATTATCTACCATATAAAAAACAACTCGCTACATCGTTATATTACAAAATACTATTTGATGAAATTTTTTCTCGCATAATTTTGTTGTAAAAATAATTCTTAAATAACCGTCGTACGCCAGATTTTATTGCGAGAGTACATAAATATAATTCCCTAGTAAAAGATTCGTTACTAAGAATAAAAAAATTATTGAAATGAAAATAAAAAGAATAGAAAGTAATCATAAATTACGTGTGCAATTGCGAAAGGGATACAAATCGAGCGAACTGGAAACTACAGAAGCCATTTATGATTAGTGAAAAGAAAAGCGCTCTGCGTGCGATATAATCATAAGAATTACACTTGTAAATGGTATATTTCCAATGTTGTGGCTCGCATATACAATATCTCGAATGTTTCCGTAACTAATTTCTTTCACATTTTCAGTAATTCTTTTAATTTCACTTTTCTTTTTTTTCGAAATAGTGTCGAAATAATGAAACGTTTCAACAATGTTGCAAAATTGCTATAACACTTCATTAAAATTATCATGCTGTTGCTTTCACTTCAATAAAACGTACACTATCTAGGACGATCGTTATGCACACAAAAATGATAAAACTATCAATGAATTTACATATTAATGAAATAATAAGGCAGATGAGAATCAATGTTTCATAATATTTATTTAAAAATTAGATTTACTTTATTCATTTCTCACACACAGAAATGGTATTTTACACTTCATATTTTTCGCAACATGCTTTATAAACAATTATTCGTTATATATAACTTAACAACAATATCGCATTCTACAAAATTTGTTACACAATTTCATCTATATATTAAGTTGATTAAACAACATGAAAATTATTGATTCATTAAATATAATCATGATTTAAAAGCTTTTTATTTCAAAATGTTTATTGTTTTAGTTGAATGAGAAATAATACATTCTGATATCAAATTTATAAGAGTAAAACAATAATTTTATATTATGTATTATTAAAAAAATTCACAATATGATAAAAGAATCCATCATTATTTTTCAAACTTATAATTTATGACAAAAAATAAATATAGGAACTGAAACTCATTTCACTAATTGCTTTCAATTGCAACGTTGAACATAACAATTTTAATTAATTAAAGAGTGTATAATATTGTTTGCAGTAGTATAGAGAGTGATAAATTACAAAATAGAGTAGCTGCACATATAATATTAAAAATGGTGCCTGAGTCTTAGTTCAAGTCTAATATTCGACCAGATTAAGTAAAATTGGATTAAAATTCTGAAAATTGTAATATGAGTATTCATATATTCTCAAATTGTAATATATGAGTATTCATATATATTCAAACATATTTATATAATTATATATAATTGTGTGTGTGTAAAATTATATTTATACAAGCTTTCAGAATTTCAACCCAATACCAAGAATTCTAGACCCAATCTAAATTTGTACTCTTTCCGATATTTGCACACTTGTAATTAAAAGTATCAAATGTAACTACTATTAAATTATTAAAAATTTTATATACTGATGTCATATCAAATTTAAACAGTATATCACCATTTAAAATATTAATTACTACATATAAAAAAAGCTTCAAAGTTTGATCATTTATAATTTCTCATATAATGAAAACTAATAATATATCTTTTCACAAAGTCATAAATTTTGCATTTTGTGAGAAATATTATAAACTTTCTGTAAAAATCTTCTTACATTTTTATTTATGACATGATTTTATAAACACTGTTCTATATTACTCACAAAAGGGAAGATGCATTTAACAGAATGCTCATATGCGCAAGTTTTAAAATCGAAAGCTAAATTAAAAATATTTCGTTTTTTTATTGATTGCTTAAGTTTCAAATAGCATGGTTTTAAATTAAATTTGTATATTCATTTGAAAGTACATTACAAGTTATGTAAATGGTGATCTGCACAGTGGACACAACGCTCGATGCTGTAAGACGACATCAAGTGTGATTTAAATTCATTGAATTGCGTTTTGATAAAATTTAAAAAACCTATTAAATCTATAATCGTGAGGTCACTGTAATACTGTTTTGCTTGTATCACTTACCCCAGGAGATTGATTTTTCCACTCTTCGATGCACACTTTGTGAAACTCATGTTCACAAGGTAAGATATACAAATCTTTACGTTTCAATGGAACTAAACATATTGAACATTCTTTAGACGTGTTGTCTGGTCTATTATCACTGGAAAAAAGGAACAGTTGTTTATTATATTTTCGTACAAAACTTTTATTACGTATTTACATTTGACTCTTGTTTGAAACACTTACTCTGAGTAGCGTTCTGCTGGGTACTGATAATATTGTTGCTGAGTTCTCTGCTTATTAGTTCCAAATATAAAATAGAGAACCGTAGCTACGGTGACCCCGATGAGTACAGTCACAAAAGTTACATTTGGCATTTTTCTGGTGTTGACAGTTCAAGCGACAACAATTAACAGATTCAGTGAACTAACATATCTCATTCGCTCAACTTATAAAACTAATCGTCGTCTACAACTACGACACGAAAAAAAGTAGGAAGAAAACCGCGAAATCCCCGCGGCATAAACAATAAAAAGATCGGTTATTTCAACAAAATCTCATCCTCGTCTGGAACGTGTCTAGACAGAACAAAACACTGCTAGTAAGTTTGTATATAGTAAACAGGTTAGCCAATAGAAATTTCGCCATCTGCATCAAACGTAATCGTTAAAAATAATATATATTTTGTTTTTGCCAAAATTGTCATTAAGTGATCAATATGAGAGGAAATTCAGTAATAATTATATTGTTCGTATTGTTATTAACGGCGGTGCAATTGCAATTATCTAATATAGTGATGTTTAGTGTCTTTTAGGTGATCAAAAACGTATAAATGTATATAATATGATATAAAAGAAATGATTATTTCGTGAAATATATGTCATTAAAAAAATTAATGCAACTTACATAACAAAGCTACAATCAATAATTAAATTAATGATCAAAGCATCTGTCGTTTTTTCTTATACAAACGTCTATTTGCTGCAATCGTGAACTATTGTGCAGCCTTGTAACACCTCACAGTGTTAAGTTCAAGAAGTATCAAGAAATACTTGGCGCGATAAATACAAATTATGCATTAGCATAGCCGAGGCAATAAACAAAAAGATTCTGATAACGAATTTATTGATGATGTCGATTATTATTTTCATCATTGATAATCATTTTAATCGCTCGCTGTTCTATATTGATTTTTGAGTTGTAAGTAACAACATTGATGATACAAAATACTTTTTTGAAATTAGACATCAATTAATATCAATCATTAATTTATAAATTAAAGTAATATTAATTAATATTAATCGTTAATGATCTTTCCAATTTAATATTCCAATTAAATTAATTATTTTGTTAATTTGAAATCGAAGATATAAATAACAAATAGCAAAGACCAGATTCAGATTCGTCGCTGCGCTTGAAATTTGTCTATTGTTTACATTCAAAACTGTTTTTGTGCTTTGTTCATTTAAAGAATTAAAATCAATAGTATTAATTAAATATTAATTATTAATTAAGTATTAATTATCAGAAACAGCACATTTTAATATTCCACGCACAATCAAGCTTAAATTCCCCAGTGAACATGCAACACAGTTAAACTGATACAGTGTTTACTTCAGTATATGCATTGCCAAATTACAAAATTATTATTACCAATTATTATTACCATGAAACTAAATTAGTAATATACAGATAGTTTTTGTTATACAATACTTCGCAAACAGTTTTCGAATGTTACAAGATTATTATTATATTACATGTGGATTTAATGAATTTTTTATAAACTTTATTTTAATGTACATAGATATAATATCATGACAATATAATAGTTTTGCTTTAGTTTATTCTCTTGATCATTTCTAAAAAAATTAATCAATGTAATACCGAAATTTTTCATTACATTTGTTAAAAATATATTCAAATTTTGCTTGAATATTCAGTTACTTGCGATACCAATTTTTCATTTGAATTTCTTATTACGTCAGCGCTGAACGATTATTGGAATTAAATATTCTATCACAGTTAAAATTTTTATATTTATATCAGTTATGTAATATATAAATTGCCTACTTAATAAAATATTTATCTATACGATAGAACTAGAATGCTATTTTAAATCCATTTTGTTTGTAATGGATAGAATTTTATTTTTCAACAATTATAAAATGATACATGTATTGTTATTTACATTAATATTCCTATTTAATTGAAGAAACGACAAAACCATTTTACATCATCTTTTTTAACTTGAAAGTAGCGTCAAGATAATTTTAACGTTAACGGTTTGTCTATGTTTGATTCTCAAAATTTCTTTCAATAATGCTTCTGTTCTAAAACAGTTTTACATCTAATGTAGTTGACGAGGAGTAAATTTTTTTCATGTGTTTTTTAACTCTAGATATAAATAACATGAAAGACATTAATAAAATTTAAAAATTCTTACACTAAATATAACAGACTTAACTGAGTAATTTAATATCACTTTACGAGTACGATGTGTTCTCCAGTATGATTCTCCCAAATTATTCACTTGATTGTTAAAAATTTCATTTTTGTTAATGACGTACTTCAAGTCTGGCAATCCAAAGTTGCTGTCGAATGAGGAGGCGATAATGTAACTGGTGTCATAGAAGAAATCGAACGATCGATGGAATGCAATGATGGTGCTTGTTGTTTAATTAACATGTGTCTTAGACATTGTGCTTCCTCTCGAAGTGTTATCACTTGTGCTCTTAAAATTGCATTTTCATGTTCCAACATTGTTGCTCGCAATGCAATCTATTGCAAATATTTTATTTTATTATTATTATTTCTTTTTTTTTTGTAGTTTAGGTATAATTTACTTGTACTCACGTTATCTTCTCGTATTTTACGAGCGTCACGAGATTTTTTCGCAGCTTGGTTATTACGTTTACGCCTTTCATAATATTTCTCATCTTTCTGATCGTCAGGAATTGGTTTTTTTTCGCTTCTTGGTCGTCTATGCATGCTTGTAATATTATTCGCACCCAAAAAGTGACGACTTATCATTGTACCTGTTTTATATCGACAGATTAAATATTTCATTGATCATTGATTACTGACAGATGGTTGAACAGTAATTGATTTCTTTTGTAATGATTTTTATTATCAATTGCTGAATATAATCATACTTATTAGTAGTTACTGATCGATTAATCAACGCCAAGATAAATCAGTAATCATGCTTGATTTCGTTAATTATAATCTAATCAGATTACTGATCTCAACTCTGGTCACTGTACTTTAATCCTTTGCACTTCGCTACAGGCTATAATTTATTTCATAACACTGCCAGAGTTGTTAATCGATAGTATCAAATAATGTGTCAAGTGCAAACGATCAATACCAAATATAAAATTATTCTCTTTAATGTGTTTAATTAAAGTATCTAAAAGAACCTAAAAAACAAAGTAACTAAAGAAAACAAAAACTAATTGCCCCGGGTGAGGATCGAACTCACGACCTTAAGATTATGAGACTTACGCGCTGCCTACTGCGCTACCGAGGCATGTAATAATACCCTCAGATAATAATAAATAGCTCTACATAATTTATATAAACATTTATATTTTTATAAGTTAAATAACTGAAATAAACATTAACTTACTTGCATTGCTATTTGAAAACGCCGGAGGTACACTTATAGACTGCATTAAAGGTGGCATAGTAGTTACGAATGGTGGTTGAAGTAAAGATCCCGGAATTGAAAATGTTGCCGACAAAGACGGGGGTGTTAATGGCGATGGCGTTCGACCGATCGCTGTATCTGATATATTTGAATTTTCTAAAATGTCGATATTTCCAAAGTTGTAGTCTTTAGAATTGTATGGCTTGTATCTGCATAGATCTATAAAATTGGTATAATTTTACTATATTGGTATAATTTCGATTATCATTATTAATAAGGAGAACATGTTGCAAACTAGTTTCGAATTTTATTTTGAGAATATATGTTGCCAAACCGTGCAATATATATTCATGAATTCTGATTTATTTAATTCAATTACTTTGAAAAGCAATGTTCTTGAAGTAATAAATTTATTAACATATATAAATTTTTTTATACAATGGCTGAGGAGTATTTAGTTTAAAGAAACGAAGTACTAACAGCCCCTGTGGCCTAATGGATAAGGCATCGGTCTCCTAAACCGGGGATTGTGGGTTCGAGTCCCACCAGGGGTAATTATAATAACAAGTAATTTTTTGTCAATCCATAGATCAATTACTTCTTTTTTGTCCTTATAATTGCATTTAAAAAAGAAGCAAAACTCTGCAATTAATCTTAAGATTAAAAAATTAATACAAGTTCAACGCCAAGCTGATGAATTAAAAGAAAAAGAAATACGTTACTAGATATAAAATTTTAATAATATTCGACAAATTTTCGTACACGATCGACTTTAAAGTAAGTGACTGTGTTATATTTTTCAAATATATATTTGTTCAATCTGATTTTACCTTCTGTAATATCTCTTTGATTATTCCAATGATATTAATATAAGAATAAAGTATCGAATAATTTTAGACAAATGAATAAATATAAAAAATAAATAAAAATTGGAAAAAATATAAACCTCTACCGTGACAAATGTGTCATAAGCACATTGCCGTGACCAGGATTCGAACCTGGGTTACTACGGCCACAACGTAGGGTCCTAACCACTAGACGATCACGGCTATTGGAGGATTTACAAATCGCTTGGGAATTACTCAAATTCAAATTTCTTATTAATCAACATGTTCATTTATCCATGAATTGATTATCATTACATCCTCTGTAACTAAACAAAATATCAAACTGCACAACTGAAAAAGAAATGTATAAAATAATGATGAAATTTATACATACTAATTTAAATAATAAATGAACATAATAATATACAAAAAGGCATATATTGAATGATTCCATAAGATAATAATACAATTTTTCTGAGCAGTTAAAATTCCATTTTAGAAAATGGAATAGGAAATTTGAGGAAAGACAATGAATTATAAAAAATATCAAAAATTTCACCATCAATCAATCGCTAATCCGGGTGCTTGCTTATGGAATGATTTAATATTAACAACAAAGATATCAAAGTATATTTCTTCATTACTATGCTGTTATATATCTATAAAATATAAAGAAGATGAGTACTTATAGTCAGAAAATAAGCGATTTTATTAAAAAAGGAAATCGTATTGCGAAAATCGATAGAAAAAAGAAAACATACAGATTTCTAGCTAAAAATGAACAAAGTGACGATCAACGAGAAATACCTGAATTCGGCGTGAATAGACTATAGCTTCTCAAAAAATGCAACGCAGAAACAGCACCTGACACTGCGCTTCCGCTACAAATCGTTCTTGCATGCGCGTGAGAGCTCATTCCTCTAAAACAGATACTTCAGAAATTATAAACAGCGATGAAATCACGTGCAGCAACAAGTACGATCAAATCATTTTTCAAATTCATCAATGAATCATATCAATCATCGATATCTCTACTCTAAAAATGTTTTTTTTCAAGGTGTCGTAGAATACTTCAACGAATTCTTAATCTTAATCTTCAATTAATTTTAAACTCGTAATTTATCATGTTTATTTGAACTTCTTTCTTTATCATCCACAAAAGTTCACTTTATCATCCATAAGTTAAACTCTTCGATCTTGATATCTCCCATTCATTACAAAATAAAAATCACAATCTTTTTCCTCTTGTTTCATAAATGAATTGTCCCTGACTTATTCACTAAAAATTTAACAAAAGAATTTTGAAAATTTTAATAATACTTTAACATAATCTGATTTTTTTATATAATTTAATTTTTTATATTTACTGAAAGTAAATTTAATAACAATTAAAAGATATCGAAAGCCGTTATTCAGACGTTTAAGGACGACATTAAGTTTTTAGAAGAGACTCGACTTCTTCCGTGGTGTAACTTCTTCCTCATCACGACCTCGACTTCTCGTTGAGTCTGTTGATGTTTCTCGTCACGTGCTTCGCTACCGCATAACTTCCTACTCAGAGAATCCGCAATTCGTTGCCATCGGGGGTAGTTCCGCCCCTATGAACATGCGCAACGCGCAAAAGAACGATTGTTCCGCCCCTGAATCGTTAGGGGTAAGCACTCGGCTGATATTTTGAGTGGTCAAGCAACACAAAAGCCTAACTCTGACCGGCCAATCCCTGGTTGATGAGCCCGCGAGCAATAATCGCCTAGCCTTACGCACGATCCTAATCTCTAGATCTGTTGTTATAATAGGTCGCTGGGCTTTTTCTATTTTGCATGATTGAATGACGGAGATTAGAATCGGCATCGCGTTGAAAGTTGTTACTGACGTACGATACTGTTTATGAAACATGTTTTTATGCTCTTTTTCTTTTGGTTATATCATTGGTTCACTGATGCGTACTTCAAACTAACGTTGGCACGACGATTTTCCCTGTAAAAAAAAATGTATAATTATTTCATGTCAGTGTACGTTATAAATATGTCAAAGAATTATTGTCTTCTTAAAGAAGATATTTTTGATATTGTAAGAGCAATATGAAATGCAAGAAACGTCCTTGCTTCATTTGCAAGGATGTTTTCTATTTGTTGCAATCGCACGCAGTGTAGGAGAGGACCTAATTTATGGCATCCTCAAGTATTTTAATTTTTTGTTCATTTTTTTCATATAAAATCCATTTTAGTTATACTGCTACTTACGACTCACCATATGCATGTAAAACAGAATAGAAGATTATACACATATACACATATTTTCTTTAAAATTCTGGCGTATTGCTTTGTTGTTTGCAATTTTTTTACATTTCACAAATAATGATATAACATCTGGTATAACATGGCTATGTGACTTCATATTACTAATCATCATTTTTCAAAACATCTTGAAAATCATTGTAAAGTAAGGTAAATTTAATTTCTTCTTCCAATCTTCACTGTTGGAAGTTCTTAGGTTTTACTATCGTGCTTTTGAAAATTTTAAATCTTCCTTATCTTTTGGCATTATTTCACAGCATTTATCTTGCTATATTTATCTTGCTCACGCAGACAAGAATTGTTGCAAGCTACGTGTTTTTAATGTCTCTGGGACAATTGACAGCTGACACTTTCATGTTACTTACGAATGTTTAATGCGTTGGTAATTATTATCAAGTAAATTACACGACCAGCTAAGCAACAGAGTATGGAGGGCTGCAACATTGATGAGACCGACTCGGGGTTCAAAATTGTTTCTATTCGACCTCATCAATGTTGCAATCCCCGCCGTTCGTACAACATGGATGGCAATTAATGGTCGATTGCTTTTCACAAGAGCTGTAGCTATACTGCAACAGAACAAGCATGTCCTTTGACCTTCGCGTGTCTGTCACTGAGTACTGCGAAGCTTAATTGGCATAAAATAATCAGGAAATATGTATAACATCAATAATTCGATCAACAAATAGTATATAAATTGTTAACTGGTCATGCGCTGAATACACTTTCCATTTACAATATGAGTAAGAACTTCAAGAAATATTAATCCAAAAATATTTAAAAGTTTTAAAATATGGACAGTCAATTTATTACACAATATGTATGTATAGCCACTCAAGAAATAATTATTTTTTTAAAAAAAAGATTTTTAATATTTCCAAAAATTATTCAGCTATCTTTGGCAATTTTTTTGAAAGAAATTCACAAAGAACGCTTAATTTCCACATCAAATGAGATTCTTAAGTAAATAATTTAAAATCTCTAATTTTAACAAGTTCGTCATATCTACGTGTAAGTTTGCAACATTAAGCTTTGTTCTTTTCTTTGACGAAAGTTGAATACTAGCGGCAAACGTAATTGCGCGAAAGAAGGTTAGAGGTGCGACGGTGATTTACGGGATAGCGTGTTGTTTTCGTACGCGAAAAAAGGGGATGAACAGCATGGATTATATTGCCTGTCCAAATTTAACTCGGGGGAGGGCGAACCGCGGGTTAAATAACGCTATTTGTTATCGTAATATCTAATTTGGCGTTGAAGGGTGATGCGCCCACGAACCATGTGGTCGTGATCTCACGAGGCCACGGTACAGGTGTCTTAGGAATAACAGTTTAGCTTCAATACCTAAGTTCACCAGGTGTACCTGCAAGAAACAAAATGATTCATTTCCAGACCCACTTTTAAACATACTATTATTTCTAATATTTAATCCATATTTATGCATGATTTTCTTTATCTTTTAAAATCGTTTATTGAAAGATCAAATACATACAGAGAGCTAAAAAATCTCATTCTTTTTTATTTTTTATAATACTTTTTAAAAAAAGTTCCGCCACTGATTTTATGAAAATGTGTAAATGTTTCCGTTAATTAAGGTCAATTAATTTAAGAAAAAACAAAACTACCTGAAAATGCGATAAATTAGATCTCCTCCCACGCTATGTGTAGATCAGAAGATCCAACAGTTTTGCGATGCATAAGATATTCCGATATTCTTTGTACAATCATCAGTGTAAATCATCATTCGAAAAGTATATTGTTTCCGAAAACTACGCCATCGCATTCTTCAATAAATTCTAACAATTCCGGACTTTGTTCATTCGACTTTCTTAGATGTGATTTTGAAATTCAAAAATACTACAAATAAAATTATTATAACTGACAACAAGATAATTTATCTGAAACATATAGATAATGGATATTTTCCTTTTTAGAAACAGGAAATTCATAGTAATCATATAAAGATACCAATAAAAGCTATGCCTGTTAATCGATTCTATTAATCGATTTCTATTTTCTAGAAAAACAAAAATAATCAATGAGACTTGTCCTGACATTACGAATTGCTTTCTCGTCGCTCTGTCGACCGCTCGTTATCATTATGCGGCTGAATTCGCGATAGCAAACGCCCCCACAGCTTTTGCTCGCTTGGTCTCCGCTCGTGCGAACCCAAACACCTGTCCGCGACCAACGAGTAACGTGACATCATGTCATGTGACCTCCTGAGCCCCGGACGCACCCCTTAGATCTCCCATGACACTGCGCGACCTCTGGCTAATCCGCGTAATCGCAGTCCTGGAAACGACGGATTACACACTCGGATCGTATCTTGCCGCCATCGCATTTTACTTATCGTACTCTCTTTCCCTTTTTTTTTTTATGCTACTTTTAAAGTACCAGAGTTTCCCCTAAATTCTTTCAAGTATATTTGCCTTATACATAAAAGCAATTATTAAAAATTAATCTACTAATATGTATTTGCTTAATTTCTTTAAGCATACTTTTATTTTATCCGAAAAAGAATTACTAAAGATTAATATTTCATGATTTTAAAATGAAAATATAGCAAACAATAGCAACATAACATTCATTTAGTGATAAGAATCTTAATTGGAATAGCAAGTTTTGTTAGAACATACAGTACTTAAAATATTCTGATATTTTATTAAAATAATTGAATCAAGTTTGACTATATTGACTGTATTGGATGATTATATTATATCTCCATAAAAACTTCATGAAACTTCACAAGATTTAAGAAACTTCAAAATGAGTGTCTCAAATCCATTAGAATCCATTTAGAAAAAGAGCTAATACAATATATTTTTACGTAATTATTTATACATAATCAATTTTTATCTTAATATTTAACTAATTCACCTGTTGTAATTCAATGATACTAGTAATAAAAAAAATCAAATGGATCCTAAATTTCCAAGTTCTCTAAAGTTCAAACCGCGTATAAATGATTCACTTGAAGAAGCTTCAACAAGTATTTTTCGTTGTTTCACGAGCAAAATGTGTGTTCTCCTTGTTCGCAAGTGATGAATACGGAGGAAGATCACGCACGATTCCGTACGTATGTACATCTAGAGCGACATCATGGCAAACGGGTCGCGTGTTTAACCCTTAATTTCATCCATCGTTTACCATCTTCGCGTAGGAAGCACGGATTCCTCTTTCACCCCTGCACGAAGTCACGTATTCGTGACGCCCATTGTTTCACAACCTGAGCAAAGTTATCTCATCAAGTCGTCACGAGGACGCCCCTCCTCTTTGCCAAAAGACGCGATTAAACTTTTCTTACTTTGCTCGGTTCGCCTATTTACCACTGATTCCCGACCACGTTCTGTGTTTCTTCTACGTGTTCCGTGTCAGGTGTGTGCTGATTAACAAGTTTCTGTTTTCGTTGCTTCGTTTACGCTTCCTTGGTGCGGGAAGTATCGCCTGCGATGAAAGATTAACGTGCCAGCATTTCGCTTTCCTCCTTTTAGATTACCTGATTTTCTTCAACGTGCATCGCAACTTGCGAGTTCGTTTGATTTCTAGATTTATATTTGATCCTTGGAGAATTCAGAAGCAGATTATACATAAAAATGTGTTCACTATATATATACCTAAAAATCACAATAATTTGAAAAGTAAATTTTTATGATAAAATTCATCTGAAGCACATACATTATACAAAAATATATAAAAAATAGAAGTATAATTTCATATTCTATCCTATTAATTCTAAAATTTAACTTAACTTTAAAATCTTATGCCCTGTATCGAATAATTCTTTAGTCCATAATTGTTTGATTGTTATTACGTATCTTCCTTTTATAGTATTTCATCCTTATTTCAGTGTTTTCACTTAAAAATACCTTCTGCTCCATTAAGAAAGACTAGAAAATATAATAGTATTCTTCGATGGTCAGAATTTGAAGCTATAAAAAGAGCATACAGCCCTTTGGTTCCCAGGCTGTTGGCAAATTGTGGCCTACCGCACTGGCACGGTTCTTATCCACATTCGTCCAAGTAATTCTTGGCTAGCAGGCTCGTCTTTATCAGATATGAAACAACCATCAACACCTTTGTAAAATTCCAAAGTAATCTAAACACCATTCTCGATATTCTTCTTTTTCTAATCATTATTTCTTAAGTCTTCTAAAGTAATCTAAACACCATTCTCGATATTCTTCTTTTTCTAATCATTATTTCTTAAGTCTTTAGAATCTTAAATCTTACATTCTATTCAATAATTCTCCAATGATCTGATTGAATAAACTTATTCTTAAAATAAAATTTAAAATAAAAATTTCCATAAGGAAAAGAGAGCAATATGTAGTTTCATTGTATACAAGACATTATGAAGATGATAATTTGATGATTTGCAATACAGTTAGTTACTATCGAAATGAAAGCGTATTATTTCCGTATACGAACAAAAAGTGCCTCTCATTAATATTTTACTCATACAGTTCTCCCTCCAACGATCAAACTCCTCCTATTTTTTCCTCCTGAGACCAACACACCGCCTCCTGACTATATAGCATGTTCATGTAGTGTTATTTCAATTGCAAATCAATACTGACGCGTGGCAAACACAAAGGTAACTCATGGACTCATGTAACTTCAGGCGAGATGGATCTGATATCTGTCTTAAAAAATGGAACGTAGGGTTCTTTCATTTGATTTCACTGCTTGATTCTACGCTGTAAAATATGTAAGTTCCTATCATTATTTAAACATTAATAAATCCCGTAAGAAATTAATAAATAATGTAATAAAAATAAAATTCTTTTTGGAAAAACAGTGTTATTTTTAGAAGACTATAATATTACAAATAAATATTTTGAAGTACCTCTTTGTCTTCATTTCAAAATTATAGTGAATTTAAATATGTTAAATATGTATCTGAACATGTGTAAAATAATTATTCTAAATATAATGTTATGGTTATACAACTCCCTTCAAGATAATCCACTCCGATAAACATCTCAATAAATGATAATCTTCAAATTCACGCGCTTGATACAAGTACGTGGTGTTCTTTCCCTAAATTTTATATGTTTTCTTTTCTAATTATTTACATCGAATATGGAAAATTCAGAACGAAGAATATTATCAGACGAAGAAGCAAATAAAATGTTAAATGAAATCCTTGAAGAAGATAAGAAAGAGAATTTAAACAGTGATAACAATGATGGCAATGAAGATGATGAATCAGAGTGTATAGCTTGTGCAAAAGAAAATCCTGCTACCAAAAAGGTCCAAGATACATATTATAAAGGAACATTAACAAAAAAATTACTTTTTTTAAAGTTCAATAAAGTCCATCTTTTTAAATCTTTATTAATTTTAACTCAAATCATTTTCATTTCTAACTTCATCATAATATATTCTATCGTCACAAATTCTCTCTCAATATATTCAACTTAGGTTATAAATCAAAATACAGTTATTATAAAATTTTTCATCATTCTTTATCAGTCATTCTTTGACAGTTTCAACTTCTCATTCCTGATTTATTATTAGAATATTCAACAAAAATAACAACGATCATAATGCTGTTCATCTTAATAAAACTGTTTTCTCATTGGCTGCAGAAAATCTGTGAATGCATGCATTTCGCAGAGAACTCTTCGAGGTTCTCTCTGCGCGTAATGGAGGCAATGAGGTTATTGCAGCTCAAAGAGGACCGATTGCTACCAACTTCCACCGTTGAGAATATTGTTGACTATATTCAAACAAATTATCGCGACGACGGTGACCTTTACGCTCAGGTGCGAACCGCTCTGAAACAGGTCTGTTCCCAAGGGTTAGTTCTGCGTCAAATAGAGCGAAACAGCCGGTGTAGGCGAAAATTGTGTCTCGCGTGAGACACGATCGCGTTTCAAGGCAACTGCAAAACCGTTTATCTCGCTCGTAGACCGTGCATCTATCGACCAGTTTCGTTTGCAGTTCAGCTGTAACGCTTCCATCGGCTCGTTTCACTCGATGAAACATCATTTTTTTATCTATAGATGAAATTTAAAAGGTTAAAACCTTAAAAGAAGGATCTTTTGGTCACTGGAATCTGTAAAGAAAATGCAATTATATGTTTTTCTATGTGAAACTACAAACTACACTAAGATACGCTGTAAATAGCTGTGATGATATATTTTATATAAAATGATATTTTTTATTTAAAAATACTTATTATTGAAATTATTAACAAAATATTTTGTTCTCCATATTTTTTATTTATTTTATATCCTATTATTATTTATATTACCAACATTACTTAAATAGACACATATTTTAAGAAAATCTTAAAATTTTTTAAGTAATTATTCTAATGCTTTTATATTGACTATTACTCTCCTCTTTCATTTATTAGATCGAAATAATTTATCGATAAAATTTCATCCTAGATTCGTCATGAAGCTGCTAGAAAATGAGTATCACTTGATCGGACCAAATGCGATCTCGATGAATCAGACCACTTGCGCGAGAGGTAGAAGAGATTGCACGATGTCTTCACCAGTTAGAACACCGAAACGTCGCAGAAAACGCATTGATAAAGGTGACTATTGCGAGTGTGAAACTACAACTGACGAAGAACCAGAACCTACAAGTAAAAGTCGAAAAGTATCGATCAATAAAACAAAAAGAGGTTCTCGAAGACAGCACGAAGAACGTGAAGAAATACCAGAATGCTCTTGCAACGAACGCGTAGACGAAGACGAATGTGTATGCGAGGATCAAGTGCAGAGAAGCACGAAAGATGATTCAAGAGTGCAAGAAGAAAGAGAAACTTTGCAAGAAAATAGTGACAGGAGGACAAATGAAGAAAGACAAACAAGAATAACACGGGATTCCCTGGTCGAGTCAAGAAGAGAAGAGACTGATCGAGAAAGGAGAAGAACAGTGGAAACTGACGATAGAGTAACGATGGAGAATGATAGATTAAACATGGACGATATTTATAATGAATTGCGAGACAGGATGACACCTTCAGAAGCGAAAAAGCGCGAGAAAGAGTTAAAAGCGTGGCTTAAACGTTGTCAGGAAGAGTGTAAGCGACAAGAGAAACGAAGAGGCAGACATAATTAAGTAAATCCTTAGTTTAGAGCTTGTGACTCTGGTAAACGCGACATTGATCTAAATTGTTAACAAATAATGATTTAAGCTAAAATATCTACTGAATAATTAGAAATCATTTTTGAATGAAATGTTTTCACATGTAATTTTTTTGTACAACATATTTTTATAGTATATAAATTTTGTCAGACGTACAATAAACGAAGGTGTTCTTCATACCTTTTGTTCAATCATTGTCTTGCCTTTTTTTTTTCATTGTCAGTATCATTTAACTTTCACGAATTATTTATCTCTTGATTTATGTGTATCATTTGTATCTGTCAGCGTATGATGTAACATCAAACACGGAGAAAGTGCAAGGAACCTTCCGGTTCCATCGGTAGGAATTAAATAACCTGAATGCACCGCGAAAGAAAGTGCTTTACTTATATAAGATTTTAATCCGTTACCATCTAAAAGACCAAAAACATGTTATGCATAAGAGAAATAATTTCATATGATTTATATAAATTAATAAATTACATCAAAAGCGCGACTCATTCTACGTTTATACCTGCATTTGAATATCTGCGCGACGGATGGACGATCGTTTTTCTCGTATTTCTTCGAAACTTATTGCACGCATTGTTGCGATGTTTTCGAACGCTATCGGTATACGCGACCTTTCTTAAATAATTATACACCAAATCGGACACCGTTGATTTCTGTTCACAGCATCGTAGAAAACTTTGCTCGCTGTTTCTATTATTCCTATTTCTGAATAATCTATGTATACCATGATTACGAATCGTTAAAAAGAATTACGAGAAAAAAGAGTAGAGTTTAAAAAGATAAAGTATTTAAAATTAATTAATCGTTATATTAATCTTCTTTACCTAATTTCTTGTCCCCTCGTTTCGTTTTTTCCTATTATTTCACATTGATAACCTTTGCGTCCTAATGCCATTTTGATCACTTTATAACATTACAAAAGAAAAGAAATTATACGAAAGAAAAATTTGTGAATGTGAAAATTTTCATGCAGTCGATAACGCATAGTTATTTAATTTAGCATCGTTTTTGTAAATGGAAAACCATTTTGTTCGTTATATTTGATACATACACGAACTGATTTGTCTGTGGTACGTGCCAAATGCGGTCAAGTAACAAATTGCTTTTCATTTTCCAATTTTTATCAACGAATGATAAAACAGTATTGGTCACAGACGAGGTCATAGACGAAGTATATAAAATATAAAAATATAAAAGAATTCAATCACTGAGTCAGTTGTTATAAGTAAATAGTTAAAATTGTTAAATAATATACAAAAACGCATTATTTTATAGTTTGAATAATTCATTTAAAACAATTAAATGATTTTATTATTCTATAACATTTGTAAACATTATTTAATAATTTTTACAAGTTTCCTATTACAATTAAACAATTAAATTAAATTATTTCATATACTTCGTCTGTAGTGCTATAAATTTGTTTATCATTTTTTACCAATAGATGGTACAAATACCTTTTCGTAATAGTTTCGTAAAACAGCTATGCGTAGCATTGTTGCAACGATGATGACAGTTTTAGTTTACATCATGGTGATCTTGTAAGAACTGTCAACGTCAATCAATCGGAAGGAATGTCTCATAAGGTATTATTTCATTGTATTTTAAAACATCAACTTCAGTATTTTATTTTTATGTAGATCACATCCGGACGCCTCACATTGTCACTACTTGAATGTTATTTCAATTCTCATATTCGGTCATTATAATTTCATAATCCTGACAAGTTTAGAGTACATATTAACTAACAACCTCGAGTTTATCGACTTTTCTTTTAGACAGTATAAAATCACTACGTACATAAAACAGTATTAATCTCATTAATGTATATGTTATTGGTAGGATTTTGACGATTATATAAATAATATGATTTTTCAATTTTCAAATGAAGGTAAGAGAATTATGAGAGAAGTTTGATGCATATATTATATTTTAGGGAGCAATTAAAAAAGATTCATCCGCCAAGAATGGAGACCAATCAAATGTTAAATCAAAATCAAAAAGTTCATTATCTTTTAAAAACTCGGACGACTCTGAAAAAATGGATTTGAAATTAATGAGGACATCTCAAACTCTTGAAAAAAGAAAAGACAATAATAGTCATCTAAGACTGACACAAAATTTACAGTCAAGTAAAAGTAGTACAAGATATTCTCTTAAATCCTCTAAAAGTGTCCCAACCAATGAAGGTTTCTTCCCGACATCCAAATCAAATGTTAATAATTCTAAAATATCATCAAAAAGTATTTTAACAACAAAATCATTAATTGAACCTGTAAAACCATCAAGCAGTAAAAATACTAAAAGTAGTATTAGAAAAATACAGAGTAATTATTCAGAAAAGAGAGGACTGAGTACAATATTCATACCACAGTCACTTACAAGTAAAATTAATACCAAATCATCTAATAAAAGTATTAACTCAATATCAAAAGAAGAAGAAAAAGTTAGAACACGTTCAAATTCATCAGAAACAACTGAATCGAAACTGAAGACTAGACAACGTAGATTGTCTAGAATATTAAGTCCAGATGAAGTAAAAATATTACATTCTGCTACTAGTAGATCAAATTCCATACAGAAGACAGACCAAAGTAAGAAAGAAAAAATAGAAGTTCAGGCAGATGATAAATATAATTACGAAGATGATTTTGAGGTAAAATAATGTATAAAATAATATACACACAATTTGTAATCTAAGCCTAATTTAAATTATTTCATAGGATTATGAATCTGATTTTCAAGAATGCACAGACAGTGAAACATCTGAAGTTAGTGAAGAAACAAATGTTACTCATACTAATGTACCATTGGATCCAATTGAATTGCATACTGCAAAACAAGTACTTATATTTATTTTATTATGGGATAGTATCGATAAGAGTGATATTTTCATTTTAAGTTATCTCTGTACTATAGCGCAAAATTGTGAATAGTGGTGAACAGAAAGAGGAAGAACATATGTATGATTCTGGTCATTATGAGCTTACAGAAGCAAGGAAGAGAGCAGCAAGAATAGAATCAATTGCAAATGATCCAAAGCTATCTTCTCTTCTTGAGATAAAGCAACCAGTTAATAAATCATATAGGTTTGTTCTAAGTAAAATCAAATTTCAAGCTGATTAAATGATGTTCATTGTACGCATTGTATTGTTTTCAATAGTTATACTTTTATTACATGATTGCTAAAATAATATTCATTTTAATAAAAATTTAATATATATATGTGTGTGTACGCGTTTTTATATAGCGAGGATAGATCAGAAAATAAATCATTGCCATTATCTACTGATGAAGGATTCGAAGATAGTCGTTCTGGTGATTTCGCAAAATCACCACCACTCTCGCAAATTTCGTTTATCGATTTTCGTCGAGCTAAGGAAGAACAAAAACCAAAGAAGGACAAAAAGGTGATAAATCGACACGAATTAGTGAAATTTTACATTAATAATTTTATTTATTATTGCTTTCAGAAATCCAAGAAAAGCTTAAATAGAGGTGAAAGGTTATTAGAAATGATAAAATTAGATGTTATGGAGTGGTCTCTTTTGGAATGTTCACCTATACCATATGAAGAATTTATTAGAAATTATGGAAAATTAAATACCCAACAAGTATGATTATTGGCGAATATGGCAACGATACTAAATTTTTATCAATTGAAAAATTAATGCGTTTAATTTTTAGATATCCATGCAAACTGGTGAAGATAATATTGATATAGAAACACAAACGGAGGAAATAATATTTAGAAACAAATGGACTCAATTTCCAATAACTTGTAAAAAAAATTTACAAACCAAGGAAGATTTAGACTTATTTCGTATGGTACATAAATTTATCACTTACTTATCAATATATTATTTTAAATATCAATATCAAAACTTTAAATATCACATTTTTAAGGATCAAATTGGAGTTGGTAGTGATAATAATATAGAAACTATGAACTCTTTGTTATCACAATCCTTTGATGTATTGCGATTAAATGACTTTATGAACCGCGCAGGCAAAGTAATGTTATCATTACTGGAGGAAAGACGATCTGGTGGTAATGTATTTAAAAACGAGGAAGAGATATCGTTCAGTGACGGTGTTGTTAAACTTTCTATAAATTCCATAACATTTCTGGCTGGTAGAGCGGTAACGATAATTCATTATTCAGAAGTCTTAAATAAAATTCTACTCACTATTCATTCTCCAGCTGAAGAAGTAAGAATTATTTATTGCATTATCAAGATCTATAGCGATAAAATGTGTAATATTTTATATAGGAAATTGAGACATCCAGCAAACAAGATTATATAACCGATTGTTGTATCGGATGCGTTTGGAACATTTCTGAACCATCAATGCCAATTAAATTATTGTATTCTACTTGTCCTATTACATCGTGCTGTTTTCATTCAACTAATTACAACGTCGTATTTGCTGGACTTCAGGATGGGTATATCATTATTACCGATATTGTTATAATGATTGTTGTACTGCTTAAAAATAAACAAACATCTTGAACAATAGGTCGATAAGCCTTTGGGATTTAAAGGAAGATGAAATGTGGCATGAGAAAGTAACAGATAAAGCCAACAATTTAGATTGGACAATACGAATGCCTACATATACTACCGCACCAATAGAAATAAATTATACAGCAGAAATTGTTGCAATACGTATATTATCTAAAATTGAAGAAAAGTCAATAGAACGACATAATACTAAATTTGTACCAATACAGGTTTGTTAAAATTGTACATATTAGATTTTGTGATGTGTACAATGCTTTAATTACTAACTTTATTGACGTTATCTGTATTCATTATTTCGCATTAATTATCAACGTTACTTATATTAATATATACTTATATTAATATATATAGATATGTAGTTTGAATGAAAATGGTTTGCTTGTTATATGGAGTGTTTTACATAAGATGGGCAAAAATGTTGATGATATAGGACTATCATTTTGGGGTAGTATAAAACTTGTTAAAAATCAAGAAATCTTTTTACAATCTCATCATAAAAAAAAGTAATTATTCCCTAACAATATATATTTATTATTTAACAAGCATCAGTTTTATGAAATTCTTTTAACTCTTTAGAAAAACCAATACTGCTACCTTCGTTGATATACATGTGGATTGTATTGATAGTAACAATTTTTATATTATAACTAACAGTAATAATATTTTGCATGGTACTTGTATTGGTAACAAAGCTAATCCTGCTGTATATACGAAATTGGATACTTGTAAGTTATTAATAACACATCAATTTTAATTTGTTCATTGTAAATTTATTTTTTTTTTTATATTTCAGATTCATATGGAAATGTAACTTGTATAGATACCTGTCCATTTGAATATTCGTTTTTTCTGGTAATATTTTTACCTACATTCACTGTTTTATATTCTTTTGTTGTTTCTATAGCAGTTTTCTCTTTTTTTTTTCTTATTATAGGTTGGCTGCGATGATGGAACAATTCGATTGCACTCTTTAAGTATTGAAAAACCAATTTTACAATTAAAAGATGAAGATAATACTTATGTTATTAAATCGATACATTGGTCAAGATCGAAACCATTTACATTTTTTGTACTAGACGATAAATCATGGTAAACGAAAAGTAAACATCGATTTAGACAGTATAAACAATTTAAATAACTTTTGTATATTTCAGTATACATATATGGGATTTAAATAATAGTGATATATATCCTACATATAAAATAAATGTACAAAATGGTGGATATATAAAAAGTATGCAATTATCATACTGCAAAACAAAACGCGATATGTCTCATCAATACTTGGTATGTATCAATACTTGGTTATACATGATTTATACATGAGATATATCAAAATTCAATATCTCATTTTCTCCAGGCGTTTGGTACAGAATCTGGGCATGTAGAAATACACAAATTAAAGGCGAATTTTTATCATTCAAAAGAAGAAGATTATTTACAAGAATTAAATACTTTCATGGGATACGTAGCAACTTTATAAGATGATAGAAACTGTTCAAAGGAATTGAAATTTTTTTTATACTTCCAGTAAATTGAAACGATTTTTATATCCCTTAGATATACGTTTGTATCTTCAAAGTAGATGGTACATATTTAAATAGTATTTAAGGACAATTATATGATTATAATATATGTGTCCAGTAAAAATTTTTTAAACTACATCACTTTAACAAGCAAAGCTAGCAATTTGTATAAAACTGTTATTATTTATTATGCACGTTATTCACCGTAATGCACAAAATCGATGCCGTCCATGAATTGAATACAATTCATAATTTTATATTATAAAAATGTATTTAAATAATATGCTCGTAATGAAAACCTTCTTCTGCAATAAATTCTTTATTATTCTAAACATAGACTTATACAGTGGTGTAAAAAAAACATTCATATTTAGGTAATTTGTAATTTACTTAACGCAACGATAAAAATATATATAAAGATCATATAACTATAAAAGAAATTCAAATTTCGTGCACCGCTGCAATGAACTCGTTTTACAAGATCGTTAACGATATCCGAATAACTCGGTACTTGTTGAATTTGATGAACTTCTAATTGTAGATGTTGCGTTTCCTCCTGCAAGAAAAAAAGGGCATTTGCATTTGTTTTTAAATAACATAAACCTGTTTTAATAAACTTATTCCCCGCCGTAAAATTTTATGTTATTCATTCACAATGTGCGATTATTGCTCTTGGATCAATCAGATTTTAGCGAGAATCAAATACGAGTCAAAATTAGACAAAAAGAAACGTCGTATCTACACTGATCCAGTTATAGTAGTTCATGGGGGCGCTGGAAAAATTCCTCGGGCGAAACATAAACGCATGCTCTTCGAGGTTTGAAAAATATTACTTTCCAAATGATATTTATATATATATATATATCATTTTTTTATAAAAAGAAAAAGTAATTATTTATAAAATATACGTGAGCGTTGATAAAACGATCATCATTTCTATACAACGACTTCATTTAATAAATCATGATAAATGAAGATTTTTGTTCGTTCAAATAGGTTAAAAATGCCGCCATTGAGGCATACTGCGATCTTATTAACGGCGAATCAGCGACAGATGCAGTAGAAAAAGCAGTTGCTTATATGGAAAGCAGGCCGCTTTTTAATTGCGCGAAAGGAGGTTCCTTGAACGTTAACGATGAAATTGTCACAGATGCTGCTATAATGACAACACGCGATGCTGGATGTGTAGGCGCTGTTCGTGACATAGAACATCCTATTTCTTTGGGTACATTTTGACTGACGAGTCAATATTTGATGATCCGTTGTAATTTCCATTTAACATCAATATTTAACGATTCGTTGTAACTTCCGATTTCAATTTCTAACGATAGCACGAAAAGTATTAGAGAAAACGGGACATGTTCTAATCGTTGAAAATGGAGCTCAAAAGTTTGCTTTGGACAACGGAATTCCAATTTTACCGCCAGGAAGTTTAAACACAGCCAATTCATCAAGCTTCGAATCTTTGACATACTGTATGAATGAAGAAGAAAATGAAGAAAATAAATGGAATGATGATGACGAGAATAGGAAAAAAGAATGTGATTCGGATTGCTTTATAAATCGATCTTTAGACGGAGAAGAGTACTGTGTATTATCAAGCGATTTAACAGATTGGGATGATCCAATGATTTTACAGGTAATATTAGGCCGGTTAGAAAATTATATATGTATAATCTTAGTTTTTAAAATTTTGTAAGCCCTCAGGTTTTATAAAATATAATTGGAGAATATGAATATCAGGTTAGTGCGGTTGGAGTAGTTGCATACGATCGTAAAAAGCGACTTGCAAGCGGAACATCGACAGCTGGTGACCCCGGGAAACCGGTTGGCTCTTTAAGCGCAATCGGTACGATAATCGGCTGTGGCATTTATACAGATGAACATGGCTGCACCTCTGTTTCTGGTAATGATACAAGTATCTATTGTTACGCACCAGCACGGAGGATAGTTAAAATATTATCTGAAGATATATCAATTAGCACTGCGGTAAATACAGTTTTGCAAAACTTCGAAAGCGAAACTGGAAGCCGTGACATAGGCGTTGTTGCGTTGGACGCGAAAGGTAAACCTTACATTTCTTTCAAATGCCCACAATTTCCATGGGCTTTCTGCGAGAAGAGTTATGTTTATTACGGGATGGTTCAAAACGAGAAGTATAGAGAAAAAATAACTATACTCGAACGACCTTTAGATTGCATGTGCATAAGCTCCGACGAGGAAGACTAGAGAAATGTTATAATTTTATATGCATCATACTAGTTTACAAGTTTAGTTAAATGCCTATTTTTTATAATGTCAATATTTATATTTATAATATATTACTATCTTGATATTTTTACGTACCGGAAATATAATACTATGATTTGAATCGTATATTCCGTACATGGAAAAAGCAGGCGTTGGGCCCTTGAAACTGCTTCCGAAAAGTTTGTCCATTTCCAACAGCATTGAGTAAATTTCTTCTCGTCTTAAGTCTGTTATATTTTCATGCGTTACCACCTGAAAATAATATTCAATATCGTTACTTTTAATATTCGTGCTGTAGAATTGTTTTTATCACAAAGGAGCTTACCATGCCCAACGGAGCCCACGTAAGCAAACACATTTCATCCGAATCGATCTGATTGAGGCATAGAGTTCGGTACTTGGTATTTCTTGCCTGATTACCACGTTTTTGTACTAAATTACCTAAATAATAAATTTAAGAAATAATAAATTTAAAATAAAGTAAATATACTTTTGTGTAGTAAAATAGTTTACCAATTTTTCCTTCGATACTCTTCAAATTAACAAAAGCCACATCTCCGACATTAGACATCATACAGTCAAAAGCAATCAAGTCTTTATCAATTCCGTTCGCTATAAATCGCATTGTTTTCTTGTTTAATTAGTACACAAATCGCGCCGTTTCGTTTAATTCGATTATCACGCCACGTGTACGCACCTTGTTTATTCAAGGCATGTAAATTATACGGCATTTGGCCGTCACTGTCGCTCAAACCAACAATAGAACTCTCTGTGAAGAACTTAGAAACTGCTTCTGTATCTGGGCAGTAATCTGTAGCTGATATATTCTTCAAAGTAGTCACAAAAGCATTCCATCCTGCGGAAATGTCCGTCATTAAGGAATATTTTTTAAAAAAAGTGAAAATATTCAAAGAAAGATATTGATTGACATAATGTCAGATTGGGACAAAGAACAGATGATATTTATAATTGTTGGTTATATTTTATTCTTTATTTTATAGCAATACACAGTAATTCCAATTACCATTTATTGAAAAAATTTCCATTTATTGATTCACAGAAATGACGAAAACTTTGTTCTACAATTTTATCTATAGATTACTATCAAAAATAACTATTCAAAAAATGGGAATATACTCACCAACGTCTCGATATCCCGTGAAACATGCTTTGGCCCCCTTCAGGTCTTTTAAATTCTTGATCCATGAATCCCTTTTCACGACTGCCGCAATCCTAACAAATTCGTTGTTTCTTTTAGGTATCACCTGCACCATCGTTTTTAGATTCATTCTGAAACATTCTATAGCCACTACTTTTTCTATCCACGAATTTATACAGGTTAGATCTTTGCTCACTTTCTAGCTTCAAACAGCTCTTCCGGCCTTGCAACAAATATATCCGCTCGTTCGGTTTTAACAGCTTTCAAACAACCTGCTCTGGTCAATTCCTGGATGCAGGAAATTGCTGGCTCCACACCATACACGATCGAAGCTTCTCTGAGCCATCGACACTTATTTTCTTCCAAATTCGACGCGACGCACCATCTTACTCTTCTCGATGGGTGACACGTTGCGCGATTATTGGCACTCATGAAACGAGGAACTATGATTAGAGAAAAGAAAAATTTTATAATTTAACAGTGTATAAAATATAAAAGATATCCGAGCCTTCGATATATCTTTAAATTATTTTTAATCTTTAAACAATTTTCTTTGGAAAAGATCGGGCTGTTTTAATTAATCTTTGCTAATTACATCTTATTAGGAAGTCTTCCGGCGTTTCCAGAGTATCTGTGCTCACCGGCGTCGGATGATAATTCTCCAGTAATTGGCTAAACTTGTCCATATTCGAAGAACGCATCATCATCTCTACTTTTTCCGCTATCTCTCTGGTAAAACGCAAACATCACTTAGAGTATACATCATTCGATCGAGTTATTTTTAAAGTTTCTTTTTTTTCTTTTACTAACGATCTAGCGATGATCACCGGCCATGGTTTTGTGATCCATACGCATGGTTTATCAAATTTCACCGGTCTCGTCGTACCGTCCGGACAAAGGTACTTGTAATCTTCCTTGTTAATCCGTTCATCCTTATTCCAGATATAATTTCGTTAACAAACTTTTGCTACATCATTTTAACAAATTTTAATATTACATCATGCTACTCAAAATAATTAACACCATGGCAGACAAGAATTGGCGAATAATCGTGTTAAGCGAATAAAAACATTTTTTAATTTACTGTGAAAAGACGTCAAAATGAACGAATTAAATATTTTACTCCAATTTAAAGTTCAGCTAATCGTTTCTTTTATGTTTAATATTCTACTTTACAGTTAGATGTTATTCTAAACTTTAAAATCAAGTGATGAAGCGATTACTATACATTGAACACCACACGTACTAAAATATGTCTATATTTTATAGAATAGTTTTATAGAATATTGACTTTTTCATTCTTCTTCGGTCATTAATTATCTTGAGTATTTATCTGTACAGAAATTAATCTCTCTACCTTAAAATGTTCCAAGGTATCATTTAATCTAACCCAGGCAATATCGCCTGCATTATCAGTGAGGCACAACAAAGCGCCTTCGCGACCGTGATATGTATCAGTCGTATAACAACCAACTGGATTGTCACATGCAGCGCAAAGATTCCTGTACTTGGATTCTACGAGGAAGAAGATTGAAATAAAGTAATTACATTTTGTATTATATTTTCGATTTGCTTCGATTATTTGAATACCTACTTAATTTACTATCGTACGTGGTATCAGCAGTCCAGGGACCAGCTATACAGGCTGTCTCGAAGAAGTTCGACAAACCGTTCATTCGATTCTCCAACAATGTTTTATTTGGATCACATTCTTTCAATATCACCCATTCTTCAAAGTACTATAATCGTAATACAAGCATGTTAATGTTGATGATGCATTTATATTTTTGCTATTTTGTATGTCCAATGTTTTTTTATGTTTGAGCTCAATTCTATTATTGGATGCTAAAAATATCTTAATGTCAAAACATTGATAGTTAAATATCTGCAAGTAATGTTTAACCTCTGTGGTAGTTAAAATATTTCTTTTTTGAAATTTGATTTTCATAAGGTAAAAAAAAAAAAAAAAATAATAAGCAACAATATTTATGTAATACTTGGAAAAATTATGATCGTCAATAATGATATCGCGTTATATAAAGGTCTTTAGATACGAATTGAGTTTAGTCTGTTAACATGACTTTGTCGACATTGATCTTCAAAATTTTCTATTTGAAATGCGTAAAAAAATAATTAATCTAAGTTTTTGAACATTTTATGAACAAAGTTTTGAAGCATTTTATGAACAAAGAAGACTCCTGAGTATCTTAATTTTTGCATCCAAAAATACAATTACTCGCTCAATTATTAAAAAGTAAGCTTATTGTATTTTGCACCAATTAATTGATCATTTTCAACAAAATTGTTCTCATAGAAAGTAAGTAGAGAAAGTAAGTAAAAACTAAATTATCTTCTTTGACACTCCAATACTTTAAACAGTTCGATAAAAATCGAACTTTAATATTTGAAAATACAATCAGCTACTATCTGAGAAAAATAATCTTTTGCAGGACATACGATAAGCAAGAAGTAATTATAAGAAAATAAACCGTAGAAAATGCATTGGTCCAATCATCAGTTGTATCCAGTCCAGGATGACAGAATCTTTTACCTTTTACATCCCATATATTTCTTACCTCCTTAGAGACTATGACTACCATCTCATAACGTTGCTTTTCTACGAAAAAATAATCACCTCGCATGCTGGCAATCGATAAAGTAACTTTAATTGTTGTCCGATTTACTTTGTAATTACCATCTGGAAATGCTCTTAGTTCGTTCGTGACTAGAATGTTGTATTCGTTGTACGCGGATGCTGCAACCAGATCTTCCGGTTCCAGTACGGTAAAGTCAGCTTTGCCCATGGTTAATCGCCGCAGGCAGTTGAATCTGTGTAATCGGTGTCTCATTAAAATACGTCGAAACGACGAAACACGAAATAAGATGTCAATCTTAAAAAGCATAAGATTTATCGATTCTTATTTGTTATACTCGCCTATCATTTCCTATGATACACTCTATTGGGCTCCCTGAAATTACCAACTGCTTGCAAAGTCCACGGATCCTTTTCGTCGTGTGAACACTCTCGACCACGCATAGTTTTACTGAAACGACGATATTTCTTCTCTCTCTCTCTCTCTCTCTCTCTCTCTCTCTCTCTCTCTCTCTCTCTCTCTCTCTCTCTCTCTCTCGCAACTTTTTTTCCTCATCACGATCGAGCAAAGGGGAATGATGACTAATTTGTTATCAATGACAAACAAATTGCTCCCCACTCAAAGTAACTGAAGGCATCGTGTTAACGTTCATTCTGCTCATCTTTATCTTTGTCTATCTTTTTATTTTTAACAGATGAATTATTAAAAGCATACATTCGAAAAAGAATTTTCCAATTTTTTTTTACTTTTAACTTATATATTTTATAGAATATTCATAACAAGGAATATCGCGGATATTAATCAAAGTTACTTACAATTTTCAGCGTTGATACTTTGATGAAAAAACGCGAAAAAGGAGAGTAAAACAAATAATCGAGGTTTCATCTTCAACGATCCTCCCACCGGCATCTTCCTCAAGGACCAATCGTAAGTCTTTGATTTTCACTTTTTCCACAAAATTCTTTGAATTAATTGTCAAAAAACTAACACGATATTTTTCTATGTAACATTTCATACTAAAAACACGGCAATATGCAGGAACAGAGTATACAACGGTTTCATTGTTCTAAGGATAATTATACTTATCCTGCCGTTATGTATAGTTGAGGTAAACACTAATTTAGTGAATATACAAACATCATAATTAAAAACGAAACTATAAAAGAGTTACGCATCAATTTCAATGGAACTTTAAGCGCAAACAAACAATTAACTTAGAAGAAATTTAAGTAAAAAAAGTAATTTAGAAGACATTTAGCAACAAAAATCATGTCTCATCTACTAGTACGATCAATCAGGTTTTCCTGTTACATATCTTCTGATACTATCTCGATACTATCTACTTTTCTTCATTCACGCATCGTTACTATCATCGTTGTTATCGTAAACAATTCTATTCGAAGTTTCATTGAAATCGATGCGTAACATTGCACTCTCCATTTGTCTTCCCATTTGCAAATCAAAAATCAAATGTAAATCGAAAGAGATCACCGAGAACCAATCAACATAAAACGAGGACACAGTAATGATCTGTTCGACAATCACAAACAATAATCAAAGCAACAACAATAATCAAATCACAATAACAGCAACTTGACTGGCCAACGCAAGAATACTCTTATAATCATTTGTCAATGGAAAATGAAACAACATCATCGGTTGGATCTTTGAGTATTTCGAAAAGCAGCATTATCTTTTAGCAACATGTATCTTCAACTTTCAACCGGTGCACCGAACTTTTTTGTACGCAACGAAATACTTACTATCTATTTTTTTTCGTCAGAGTGCTAAAAATGGATACCCGGCGATTGTAACAGAAAACAGTAGCAGGTATGCTACCGCAAGCTTTCAAGAAAAATGAGTATGATTTATGTGAAAAAAATCAGCGTGGATAACTCCTTTGAACAGTCACTCTGAGAAGACGTAAGAAATGACCAATAGTCGGCGAATTTACCATATGGTACCCGAAATACAAAGAGGAGGATTTCTTCGCGTTCGATGCGTCTACGTTTACATATAACTCCACGCAGACTGGATTAAATTGAAACTGGCTGGTGATCCGACCAAAAGTCCAGTAGGGAACTGGAATTATTGAGACTGGTGGGGGCCCGTGCGTAATATAACATGTTGGTACAGCGAATGACGTTAACGTCCGTAAATAATTCCGAACGAATTTAAGCAATACTTTACACAAATGAATTTTTATGCAACACGTTACCATTTTATCTAAACGATGAAAGCTATGAATTCTAATTGAAAGGTAATATTGTGTTTGACATACACTCTGAAAGAAAAGAAACAGGACTGATATTTCTCATTGACGATAATTTATGTATATCCTCCTACACAGTAGCTGCTATGTGCTTCTACTAGATATATTTTCCGTATATTTTCTTGATGAATTTCTATTGTAATATAGATGAGAAATCCAGAGATTATAAATTATGAGAATATTAACATTTAATTATGAATTAAATAAGCGAATCAACTTCTTGATAATCATTGCAGCTTTTCCTTTGGAATCTTAAAGTTTACTTTTGTGTTCAATTATATTTTGAAGAAAGAAAGGGATATATAATACATTTTAACATTCTTATCATTTTAATCAAAACAAACATTCGATTAATCATATAATTAATTCTACAAATTTTTTATTTGGAATTTTGAGAATGTTATCACTTTATTGACTATAAAAGATTAAAGAATATCATAAATACAAGTAAATACTATATACAAAACTAGTATTTATTTATAGAAAACAAATTATATTCTATGTTTTTTATTAATTACCATCATAATTTAATTAATTAATTAATTGATTCGTATATTTAACTTTACTGTGATTGCGCTATTCATGTCTATTCATGTCTCCTCACGCAGAGATCTGAGTCATGCTACAATTGCTACTGAATTACTTTGTTAATGCCAAAAGTATCAGGAACGAAGATTGCTAGCAAATTATTATTATCGTTATGCAGTATCGGTTTTCTTAAGGCAGACACACCATCGTCATCATACAAAATTTTTATAAAAAATCATTTCATGTTTTTTTAATAGTTAGAAAAACTATCAAATTTGAGAATAACAAACTACCCAATAACTGTTAAACTACCCAAATAATCAAATATTCAATACAACTGAACAAAGAAATTTTATTTGATTTAAAACTATAATATTCACTACATATATGTACTACTTATATTAAAAATTATGATGTGCGCATGTTTAATGATGAGTTATTCAAGTAAGATAACTAATCAGCAATGATGAAACTGCTCTGCCTACTATTAACCGATTAATGTGCGAATACTGCAATTTTTTTTTCAACGTAATATTTTTATATCTTTCTAAGATTTTTTACAAAGTTATTTTTTCCTAACTGAAAAAATTGAAATATGATTCTTTCCTGGAAAAGGAAAGATTTATACACAATAATCCAGCAATATTAAAACTAATTTCTTTGCAATAAAATTTTTTAAATAACTTTATAATATGAATTAAAATAGATCATGTATATGTACTTACTTTTCTTTATATATATAAAAATTCTATCATATAATCAAATATATAACCAAATACGAGCTATTACATGCGTTTACATGCATATACGAATAGTCGAACACGCATTTTATATATGTATAGATACATATTTCAATTGAGGGAAACCTCAACTTTCAGTAGCGCTGTACATGAGAGAGGTATCAGACCTATGTAATTTAGTGCCGTGCCAAAATGTTAACATAATAGCTGTATACATATCAGTATGTATTTTGCCTGCGTGATATTAATAATGTCGAAATCATTTGAGGGAAATAAACAGTTGGGAGAAACTTTAGGTAACTGTTGTGTGCATTACATTATTAATTTTATGCAATACAATACAATATAATGTAATTCTTTTAACAATAATAATTCTTTTTATTGTAGAAAAATAAGTCATATTAATATTCTTCAAGATAAAAATAAAATACAGATGACTTATTACATTATTACTTTATATATTTAAATAATTTATACATTATTACTATTATATATTTAAAACACAAATGTAGAGAAATCACGTAGTGACAAATTCATTGAACACTTAATTCGATACAATGAATTTTCAGAATGTCATTCTTTAAATGTTTATTATATACTACATATTGTCTATTAAACAATAACAAATAGTATTTTTAAATTATATCTACATGTAATATATTGTCTTATCTCACACTTGCGTTTTCTCTTTTATTTTCTCTCTTTTAGTAATTATATGTACGTATTTCAAATGTTTTTATACATATAAATATAATTATATTATAAATATAATTTTGATTTCAGAAAACAATGCTGAATTTAAGCATTGTTCCTTAGAGTGATATATTTAAGAAAATGTTTCTCTGATATTTTGGTTACTACAACATCACAATAAATGAAGCTGAATTACAAGCAATTGCCTATTAAGGCACATTATTTCTTCTTTTTGGCAGGCAAGTGCAATTAATGAAGTTAAAATACATCTTTTTATTATATAATTCTTTTATATTATTCATAATTGCAGCAATGGGTCCAATTCTTCCATTTTTACCAGTTTATGGTAAACAACTTGGTGTTTCTGCATTAATTATGGGCAGCATCACAGCTGTCTTACCAATCTTATTCTTAGTTGCTAAACCAAGTTTTGGCTTTCTTGTGGATTATTTTTATGCTTGGAGAAAAATAATCTTTATTATATTATTAGCAACAACAAGTAGTTGCTTTATTTGTATGTACTTCTTACCAATACTTTCAAGTCCTATTTTTTCAGACCATAGCTTTAATAATGTATCCTGTGATTTGTTATCCTATTGTAAACCAGAGGTACTGAAATTTACTGAAATCTAATTATGTAATTTAAACATTCTTAAACTTTTAAAATATTAATTTTTGTTTTCTATTTTAGGATGTGTCTAAGGCACATGATCCCTGTACTGGAGTAAAGAATACTATGTGCCATTGGTTTTGTACAAATAAAAATTTCTCTTTACAAATACAATTTCAAGTAATCAATGAGGAAATAAGTTTTTCCTCAAATTCCACGTGCTTAATTGATAAAAATAGTACCTTATATTGCTCTAGACATAATAACTGCACTGTTACTTGTGATAATTCAAATGATAGCTATTGTCTGTATACATCAATTACTTTTTGGGGCTTCGTTCTGTTAATGTCTCTTGGTAATATTGGTTTTAATGTAAGCAATTGCATGAGTGATGCAATTTGTTTTGATATATTAGGTATTATGTAATTTTTTTTTCTTTTTATTTCAATTTATCAATAATGGAAGCAAGTATTATATCTTTTAGTTCATTTATCTTTTCAGGTGAGGGTGGTCAAATGGGGTATGGTAGACAACGTGTTTGGGGAACTATAGGTTTTGGAATTTCTGCCTTTTTAGCTGGTTATGCAGTAGATTACTGGTCTAAAGGAGAAATTATTAAAACATATACACCAGCATTTTTACTTGTTTTTATATTCACAATCATTGATCTATTTTGTTGTAAAAAATTAGATGTAAGTATCCATTATATACCAAAAAATTTTTCTTTAATATTCTTAATTGCAAGTAGTTTATTACATTTTGCAGCTGCCAAAAATGACAGAATCAACAAATATATTGAAAGATGTTGTGAAACTTTTAAAATTGAAGCCTATAATGATATTTCTCTTTTTCGCAACAATTGCCGGTATTCTTGACAGCTTTATAATTTACTTTTTATTTTGGTAAATATTTATTTAAATATAATACAAAAATATTTTTCAAAATATTACAATACGATAAATATAGATAGGAACAAAATGAAATTCGCATGAAAATGATATATCTCAAATAGGTATTTGGAAGATCTTGCTATGATAACTGGCTGTATGAGAGAAATTAAATTAATAGAAGGTTTAATCGTTGCCGCGGAAACTTTGGGCGGTGAAGTAATTTTCTTTTCCTTGTCTGGTATGCTATTCATTTATTTAAATTTATTTTTTATTTCTCTCTTTTTATCAGTAATAAGTAAAATCTTTCCAATAGGTAAAATCTTAAAGAAACTAGGATTCGGATATACTTTTACATTCTGTTTCATATGTTATGCTTTACGACTTGGACTGATTTCTTTAGCATCGACTCCATGGTGGGTAATACCAATAGAATTGTTTATGCAAGGGCCTACTTATGCACTTTGTTACACAACAATAGTCGCCTATGCAAGTAAAGTGGCACCACCTGGTACATCAGCCACTGTTCAAGGAATCGTAGCTGGCATGGATGATGGTTTTGGTAATAAAAATTTATGATATATTATTTAGATATGTATTCCAACATTTGTACTATTTCAATCGATATTTATCAAAATAATGCTACTCAAATAACATTGTAATCCTACAATGTATATTTATATTATGTGATATTTTTATAGTATTGTTTATTACATTAGGTTTTGCAATTGGTAGCTTGATAGGCGGTATCCTATACAAATTATACGGAGGCATAATAACGTTACGAATATTTTCATCAATTGCCGCTACAACAGCATTTATATACCTCATTTTATATCTTACATACTTAAAAGATGTGACACCAGGTAATAAAATTGACAGTCTTACTAAGTAAATTTAATGCCCATGGACATTTTCATTTTCTGTACCCTTTTATTATTGAAACTATTTCCCATTACAGATACAAAGAATAATATAGAATGGAAAACACCCGAGGAAGCTCAAAGGAAATGTACAGAGAGCTGATATAAAGATATGAATCAAAAGATACTTTTAATACAAGTGAATATTGTTATTGCTAATTTGTTATTGATATATAACATAATGTTTTATCAACAGATTATTTTATTACAGTTTACAAATTATAAATAAAGTTTAATATATTCTTATTATTGGTGTAACCTTTCGTGTGTTCATCGTTTGGGAGATGGCAAATAGTGAAAAAAATGACGTGACAGTTCATAATGCTGAAGTTCAACAGCTGTTGCTGCGCGTCCTCAGTCAGTCACCACGTGATTGGGTTGACAAACATGACAGATGTATGGCGTTTGGATACTTTGCCATCTGACGTTTTGATTTTAATATTCGATTATTGCCATGCGTTCGACTTGGTGCGACTCAGCGAAGTTTGTAAACGGTTCTACGATATCATACGAGAAGAAACACTTTGGATCAAGAAAAGCAAACAGCCGATCGCGACGAATCAAACTTCGAGAAAATTTCGCGAAAGGTATAACAGGTTATGTTCGAACGATTTCTCGGTGTGTAATGTCATTTTTGACCGTTATTTTTGATTATTCTTAGTAACGTGACTTTGTTTACGTAATTTTATACGTTACAAAGTTCATAGTACGTGTTGACACGACAGACGAAACTATGTACCAAAGATCCAGAAAATTCCAGATGGTTCCAGATTCCATGATACTAACAATTAATTATATATTGTCGACAATTCATATGATAGATAGAATGAAGGATTATTTGTTTTTTTAATTAAACAAATTACATTATTATTATTATCAGTTATAAATCTTAAGATCTATATATTTAAGATATTAATGATATATATGAATATGAATATGATGAAATATTTTATGTATGTACTAGCAGAATTTTACTAAAGTTTCAATATTTTAATGTAACAGGTGCAATTCATTACTATGTTTGCGTACAAAATGGCACGTTTCAAACAATTGGCAATACGGCAAATACGAGAGAAAGATTATTTTTTCTCAAAATATCAAACTTATACCAAAAATTCAACTAACCAAAGACGTTTTATGGTGGAGTGGCGGAAATCAATTGTATGGTTTTAGACGCACTGAACCATTTCAGGCAAATAACAGAATGTTTATTGATGATTATGTTAGGAGTGATATTTGCAAATTCGTTATTAGAAATGATTGTATCGTTACAGGTCACAGGTACTTGGCCATAGACTAATTGATCAAAATAACAATGAAGCTAATATTTTATAAAGTTTTATAATATTTCACACGAACATCGTTTTTTATTTTACAGAGATGGAAGTCTACAATTTTGGACAAAACCAGAATGTAACCAGAATATAAATTTTTACTTCAGTATAGACGGAGCTCATTCTAGGAACGTAAATGCACTGGATGAAACATGTAGCACTATTGTATCAGGTTCCAATGATGGAACTGTAAAAGTAAAAATTTTAAATGTTACTTAAATAATAAGTTTCGTGAAATTAACATTCAAGTAATGTCATAACAATATTTAGGTTTGGGGACCCCTTGGACAAGGCATGTTAAATGTACCTTTAGCAACAATAAACATTACAGAGTGGGTGTGTTCTCTTTCAATTGATCCAACGAGTAAAAATGTTGCTGTAGGCTCTGCTGGCGAAATTGATACGCCCCACCTTCATATATTTGATCTTGAATAGTAAGCTATTTAAATCGAGAAACGAAAATTAAAATTTCGGAAACTGTGCATGTTAATATGTTTCGTAACAATTTTAGTTACAAGGATTCTGATATACTAAAGCCAGATAAAACAAGATGCGCAGGAACTTTAGATATGGTTTGGAATAGCCCACAAATCTTACTTACCTGCGGATATGATACTTGTATTCGTAAATGGGACTTGAGGTAAATATTTCACACGTACATGTTAGAATAATATAATTAAATTAATAATATTATATTTATCAAAAAAATTATTGTTATAAATTATTAAAAATATTATTAAAAATTATTATTCTAGAACTGGAACGTGTGTATATTCGTGGCCAGATCCAACGGATGCAACTGTGTATTGTTTATCATCAGACTACCAGCACACTATGATTACTGGAACTAAATTTAACTGCAAAGCTGTCCTTTGGGATCAAAGACAGAAAAATTACATACAGGTTAGTACTAATGTATTTTTTAAATGATCTTCGTATATCATATATCGAATGTAACATTATATTATATTCATAATATGTTTTTACAGTTTTACTTCATGAACCTTCGTAGAATGTCAAGTCCTATTTATTCTTTAAGCTTTGACAGTACACATTTATACGGCGCAACAGATCAACATTTAGTCGAATTAAACTTCTCAGGGTACTCGTACAAAGAATCCAATTATAAAGAAATTCTTAAGTATGAATAAGTTGACGCGAATAGATCCGAATTAGATGTATAATGAACGCATAATATTATTAAGTATATAAAATAAGAAACAATATGTGACTGATACAGACTAAGGTACTTTTGAAATATTGGAAAATTTAATTGTAGATTAAGAAATACGTCACGACTGCAATAATTATTAACATTTTATTTATATCAACAAGTATCCATTTTCTGCAAGGCTCTTTTTTAAAAAAATAATTATTATAAAATGTAAGAAATTTGATTTAATGCAATGAATATTGTACAATTTATTTGTAAATTCATAAAATATTGCACTACTTGAATTTTTAGCTTGTAACTTGAATTGTATAAGAAACTTCGCAATTCTGAAGACAAATTTGTGATATGCAAAAAAATATATTTGTTCGAACTAATTTAACATTGCGTTTTCACAAGAGAAAAACAATATTCTTTATAATTAACTTTTTCTGCTATAAACAAGCATGTGGACCTATTCAGATATTACATACTGCAAATCCAAACCTAAAATTAAGTATTGCGTTAAGTAACTTTTTATGATAATTTATACCTCACCGATCCTTAATTAAATCAAAGCATTTTCCTGATCATGTAGTTTAGGATACCACCATGTTTATAATATGTTAAATCAACTTCAGTATCAAATCGTAGGATCACTTCGAACTTTTTACCATCGTCCGTAGTGACAGTAATATTTTGACCAGGTTGACAATTTTCAGGGATTGCTATATCGTACGCTTCATGACCGGTTAGTCCTAGGGACTCTGCAGTTTGCCCAGGTAGATATTCTAAGGGTATAATGCCCATACCTACCAAATTTGACCTAGAAAATATCGACAATAGTGATAAATATAATACACACAAAGTACTCTCATCAAATATTCTGTATTCCATATTTTAAAACTTTCCTATAAATTTTTTTCGGTTTATTTCTTAACCTTTACCTGTGTATTCTTTCATACGACTCGGCTATAACCGCTCGAACTCCAAGAAGATACGGCCCTTTCGCAGCCCAATCTCTTGATGATCCAGATCCGTATTCTTTGCCGACAAGAATTATTAAGGGTGTTTGATCCTTCGCGTATTTTTCAGCTGCGTCAAAAATATCCATCTAAAAACAAATGATTACATTATGATTTACAAATATTCATATGTTTTATACAAATTGGCATTGTTTTATACAAGAGAGTTATAGCCAATTGGCATTGGCATTGTTTTATACAAGAGAGTTATAGCCATCATTTAAAGTATGGTTCATTTGATCATCCTGACGTAGGTCAAATAAAAATGCTGTAATTGGAACATCGATTGAACGATCGATGCCAATAGTCTCTAGAGGACACAAAGCAAAACAAGCCCGCAGATCAGCGATTAAGAATAATAAGTCATCATGACACAATATTCGCGTAGACGTTAAGATCTTTTGCAAGAGCAGCAAAAAATAAGACAATAAATTTTTTCATGCTGATAAAAATCATTCATCTAGAAAATTTTAGAAGAAACTGTGTACATAATTTAAGTATGCGACCATCTTGCAACGCATTAGAAAATGTCTCAAACAATATTACGGAAATATTATTTTAATCACAAACCTCTTCCTTAGTAGGAATGTAAATTGTACGTGGTCCAGGTTTTGTGAGGAATTTATTTACTAAACGAATGTTAGCGAACGTGCCTCGTACCATTACAGCGTCGTTACCTCTTCGTGCACCGTAAGAATTGAATTCTTTTGGTGTCAATCTAGAAGTCAAGATAAAATAATTAATTAAATATTTATTTATCCTGTTTATCTTTTTCTTTTTTTTTTATTTATACTTTAAACGTACCCGCGGCTTGCGAGGTATCGTGCCGCCGGGGAATTACGCGCAATACTGCCAGCTGGACTAATATGATCTGTCGTAACAGAATCACCAAGATTCAGAAGAATACGTGCTTTGGTAATTGGTTTGAATTTTGGTAATTCCTAATTGCAATCAGAATAATCTCAGTCAATACTAAGTTACTAATGTAAAAATAATAAATTTATAATAAAATTAATAAATTAAACGAATAGAATATGGTTTACCCTTTGCAAATCGTCAAAGAATGGTGGATTCTTTATATAAGTGGAATTTGCATCCCATGGATATAATGTAGTATTTGGAGCAGCCAAATTTATCCAACTGGGGCTACCTTTCTCAATTTTGCTGTAAACTTCTGTAAACATTGCCGGAATTACATATTTTTGCTCAACGGCTTGAATTTTTGATCTAGTAGGCCAAATATCTTGAAGGTATACCGGAGTGCCATCTAATCGACGACCTGCATATCATTAACAATATTATGAAGGTTCTCAAAAATCGTAAATCATAAAATATAACTAAGATATAATTTACCAAGTGGTTCTTTTTCAAAATCTATATCTACAGTTCCAGCAATAGCGTACGCAATTACCAAAAGCGGTGACGCTAGATAATTTGCTCGCGTGTGTGGATGAATTCTGCCTTCGAAATTTCGATTTCCAGACAACACGCCACAACATATAAGATTGTTCTACTTAGGTGAAACAAACAATTAAAACTGGTAGAAATTATTATCATAATATAGAAATTGAAAACACTAAATATATTATTACCTTTTCAATGGTCTCAACAATAACATCTGGAAGAGAACCACTATTACCAATACAAGTCATACAACCGTAACCAACGACATCAAATCCTAATTTTGTTAAATATGGAATGACTCCGCTTTCTTCTAGGTAATAAGTAACAACTCCAGATCCTGGAGACAATGATGTTTTAATATAAGGTGCTACACTCAAACCAGCTTCAACAGCGTTCTTCGCAAGAAGACCTAAAGGCATTATAAAGAATATTATATCAAAAATATTTAATGTTTAAATCTTTTATAACTTTTTTAAAATTATATCAAAAATAAAAATATTTCAGTGCACAATAAACGAGATTTGAACATTTTACAAAAAAGTTACCTGCTCCAAGCATAACACTAGGGTTGCTAGTATTAGTACAACTAGTAATTGCAGCTATGACCACTGAACCATGTCTTAATTTGTAATCCTTTCCTTCATGTTCAAACATACCGACAGCATCCACTGTCTCAGGGCTTAAACCATATCCTTTGAAACCTATCTAAAAATAAAAATTATTTATTAATAATATTTTCCTACTATTTAATAAAACGTAAAAACTAAACTTATTTAAATGTAAAATTATAACATTCATAAATAAGTAATTTTTTATTAATAGATATCAAAAATATTTTTGTGTGTTACATATTAAATTCTAATTTTAAATTTGGACGGAATGGAAATCTGAAGCCTTTCGTATACAGACACATGAAAGGTTTGATGACCCGTGAGAATGATTGCATTCAGAATTCATTGTCCGACCAATGATTTGCTGAAGGAGCACTCTTATATCGCAAAACGGCAGATCTTTTTGCAATTCTTTCGACATTCATTGTTTAATGTCGAACTTCATTCTGTATAATATTTTCTTTTTATAGAAGATATAGAAATATATAGATAGATTTTAATATTCAAAAACATTGGGTAAAAAGTTCATCAACATACATATATCTTACTAAACTACTCATTAGAATATATGTATGTCTACATAAATCTTTCTTTTTTTTTAACACCAAAAGAAATTATAACCAAATTTTTAATAAACATTTTTTTTTTTAATACTCTATATACTATTATGGGGATATTTCTATCGGGATAATAAGATTTCACAAGTTTACTGGATAATAAACTGAAGGTCAATAAATTATGTCCCTTTTTCTTTTGAAAATACGGCTATTTGAATATTTCCTTAATGACATGTCCCGTTTACTGAGGCTGTTAAGATCTTTATAATTACTTTTGGGACGATAAACGCATTGCGAAGCCGATACCTAAATTTGTTCAGGGAACCTTCCAGGAACCTTCAGTGTCGACTGACCACTTCTGTAATTATCTGAGCTTCTCCTTGCATTTAGAAGTTATTTTTACAAATTCTATACAAGCAATTTCTATACTCGCTCTCTTAATTTCAGAAAGAGGTATAAAAATATAATATTTAACAGAACCGAAGAATAAAGTTTAACAAAACCGAAAATATTTATTGAGAGCTATTTATTGTTAGACTTGAAGAAATTGCCACAATAAGAAAATTACTTCATTTTATATCAACAAAAACCAATCAAATCAAAGTTAATAAAAATTAAATCACTTTTTAAACTATACAATAAATTCGCAATTAGGTAATAATTTTTGGATATAAAATGATGGATATTAAATTAATTTATGAGATTTGAATATATCTCTCTCTTCAAATACAATTTAAATATTGGGATTGCCCTCTTCTGCAAACCTTTCAATTTCTGTGCACGTGAATAGAAGACAAATTCACAGAAATAATTTCAGTAGAGAGAATAAGACCAATCGTTTGCAATATAAGATACGGCGAATATCTGTACATAAGACGATGGTATGCAACAAAATGCGTGAGCTTTGCAAAATGAATGGATGTTGTATCAGCAATTTCAATGAGGTTGCACGTCGTTCATAGCCTCATCGAAAACAGTTGCTCGTGCTCTCCACGAAATTCAAGATCGATCGATCATCGGTACGTATAAAATATTTTCTTTTATTTGGAAATCTTGGTTGCGCGTGCAGTTATTATTATTATCATCAACCATATGAAAACGTTCTTTGCAATATTTTCAATTACAAAGACAATTCTAATCTGATAAATGATTCTTTTCTTCTAAGAATAATTTATGTAAGATTAAATTCAATGAAAATTCTATAATATTACTCGATTGAGATTCTAATGTAATGTCTTCAAATAAATCGACTTCTGCTTTTTAAGTAAATATTAGTTATTAACTTCATTTGTGAGTTGGATTTCTCTAAAGACTTTAAGAACTTCTCTCTTTTCATTTTTGATACTGATACTAATGAATCAAAGTCATCAATTGGTATTCATATTTCATAGAATTCTATTGAGAAAGAAGTGGTACGGTTCTTGAGCCGCGTTCATCGTGAGTTGAGCCGAAAAACTGACAGCAAAAGGTTGAATTTCATGACACAGGGGAACAGTCAGCTCTCTATGATTCACGTGGATGCGTTTTCAGCAAATGTCCTTATTGCGGTAGCATACATAGTAATGCGATCCCGATGTTGAACATCTTTCAATAGAAATCGATCGGTCCCTTGTTTTTAAAATCACGCACGTCCAATGTTGCTTTATCACGTTCGCACGATTATATGCTTTATATCGTTACCACTTTTAACCAATATTTATAATTTGATGGTTGCTCAACCATTAATATATGTAATAATTAACAAACATATATAATACAATTGATTCATAAATATAGATGGACGTGACTCGTCGTTTGAAACTAGCAACACATTACTAAATATTACTCGATTTAGAAAAAATATTATAATAATATCTTAAAAAGTTTATTAAAGTAGATTGTTCGTTTTATTATTAAATATTTTTCTACTTGTTGCGCAATGATGATCCAATTAATATTATAATAGTTTAAGTATATTTATATTCAATTTATGCTAAACAATAATCGTAGAACTATAAATGAGCAACTAATTGTAAGTAATAACGATTAAATTAATGTGTTCAACAAGTTTACCAAGAAGGCTCATTGCCTTAATTTAATTCCAGACTTAGTATAGATATTTTATATCCTTATTTCTTCAACAAACTCCAGGATTGTCGATAATTGAATCGAAATTGACCACTATTATTCTATACTCTAATTTTTACACCTGCTTAAAAAAAATGTAATAGTTTACACGTACAAAATAGACACATTCACAAAAGAAAATAGAAAAAAAGAAAAAAATATGTTCAACGTGGTTCTAAATGCACAATTCATATTCATAAGTCAGTTCAATTTCACAAATTTAAGAAATTCGTTCATTTTCAAGGACTCGTATATCATCTGAGCTCTATTCAAAAATAAACATTTGTCCGTTATTTTGTACAATGAAATTTTCTTGGAAACGTACAAAATAATTCAAAATTGAATCCTAGTAAAGACGAAACCTTTCAAGAAGCCTTGCATTGTACACAGAGATTTGTCATAAATTTGTTTTAACAGATGTTTCAAGCCTATTCCTGAAAATAATGAGATTTTATCCTGGATAAGCAATGTGTACACAGTGAGTACTACTAAAATCTAAAGTCTACCTGACTTGTCAAGGGAGGTATAGGAAAAGTTCATGGAATGTTCACCAGGTTTGTGCGGATGACCGGCGTTGCTTGATCAAGGAAGACAGGAGAGGGGATACCTTTAGAGGATATATAAGCGCGATTCAAGCAGAAAAGGTCATTAGTGTACAATACAAGTGTAGACAGTCATCGTAGTGAGTCAAATTAGACAGTGATTTCAATTTCAACATACCAAAAAAAAAGTTAATTTTCGTAAAATAGATATTACTGTGAAAGTTGAAATCGTTTCTTTTTTGCGATAAATTGTTCTGGATCTATTAGTGATTTGTCGTTAATATTTTAATCTTTAATTTCTACTGGTATTTTACTCATGCTCATCTCATATGTTACTCGTATAACAACCAACTGAAGGAATTAGACAGAAGAAGCATTCTATATGCTTGATGAATAATAGTGGAGGCTGTTCTCGGATGAAATCTTGTCCGGTGTGGTTGCAAAAAGAACCTCACCGGGTAGAATTTATCCAATGTCCGTCTCCGATATTCAACGATTACCAAGAGATATTTCTGAAACGTACACTCTCGTTGTTGGGGACGAAGTATTCATCTAGTGCTACGTTGTAAAGAAATCGTGACTAGATCGAAATACTCGTTCCTAATACCGACATTCGCATCCTTAATATCGACATCGACGTCTCTAATATCGAGATTAATTATCAACAAATATGTCCGTTCAAATTTCAACATTTCAAACCGTCTTGTTAATTTTTCTTTGGTGATCTAGCTGTATGACGAATTGAAAAACCATAAAGCTAGATCAGTAAAGCAAAATATACGAGACATATCCTCGTGAAAGGTAACTGGCCACTGTGACAACATAAAAGGTAATCATGTTTTCAAATATTTCAGAATATTGCGTTGTGCCATAGTAGACAATCGTTTTTTCTAGATGAAAGAATCCGGAGGAACTTTTGCTGTGATGTGTCGCCGTAAGAGATTCATATCACAGCAGTAGTTATCTGAAATTCTTTCGTCTTTCTTCATCTTCACTGAGAAATCTTAGAAGCACATAGAACGGCGCGTATTAATCATTAAAAGTACAGCATGGGATGAACGTGATCCTGTTTGACGGTAATAATTGGTCGTCACTGGGTTACGTTTGTCCCATACGAGTACTGACTGATCATCATTATTACATGTTACTTCATGATCAAATGCCCTGCACAATGAATGTTAATAGATTGACACGAGAACATTGTACATTAAGAATTTTATAATAACTTGAAGTAGCTCTTACCTTATTAGTAAGGCACTTCCTGAAGTCCGCTTTCATATCTATGATGGACACACGATCATGAGGCCTCTTTGGACCACTAACGCTAGATACAATAGTTCCTAAATCTAAAGAGACTACTTCTGAGAAGACAGGATCTTGACTTTCATCGTCATAGTTTCTTAACATACGTACAGTAGTAAGATACTTCTCTATTACATTAATATGTTCGTCAGACCGTCCTACAAAAACATTTCATAGATAAAATCGAATTATAAAAGTATTATTTTGCCAAGTTTGATTTTTTCTTTTAGAGTTTGTATACCTGTTTGCTTTAAATATGCTAAACTCTGCTGATCAACAGGAAAGAATCCAACTGTTGCACCATATTCCGGACACATGTTCGATATTGTTGCGCGATCTGCAATGCTCAATTGAGAAACTCCTGGACCAAAGAATTCTACGAATTTTCCAACAACTCCAACTTGACGAAGGTGCTACAAGTAAATTAAACAAATATAATAGTATGTAACTGAATTTACAAATATTCCTTTAAATGGTGTTTTCTTTTACCTTAGTAATTGTAAGAACAAGATCTGTTGAAGTTGCATATTGACTCAAGACTCCATCTAATCTATATCCTACTACTTTCGGTACTAACATCGACATTGCTTGACCTAACATAACAGCCTCGGCTTCAATTCCTCCAACACCCCAACCAAGTACACCAAGACCATTAATCATAGTTGTGTGGGAATCTGTTCCAACTACGCTATCAGGGTACAACAAGCCGTTCATGTCAAATACAACTCTGGCTAGGTATTCCAAATTTACTTGATGTATTATTCCACTTCCTGGAGGTACAATCAACATATTTTGAAATGCTTTGGCACCCCATTTTAAGAACATGAATCGTTCCTTATTTCTTTCGTATTCCATCTCTTCATTTTTTTTCAAAGCATCTTTGCTGGAAAAAGATCGTGTTCTTATCAAGGCTAAGTTATCTATTACTCAATGTGGAACTATTATCGCTGTTTTAAATATTCGTTATCGTTCATTTTAATTCTAAAGGAAACAAAAATAGATTTAGAGCTGGTCTTATATAATCGCGCTACAGAATTATCTTTTTAATTTGATAAGTACTCCACTATTTTATTTTTCAACAGAATTAGATGCATTTGCATCTATATCCTGATCAAACAGAAAAATAACTCAATTTACCTTCTGATAAAGTCAACTTGTATTGAGTGATCAATAACAAGATCTGAAGGACAAATAGGATTTATTTTGTCCGGATCAGATCCTAGTCTTTTTACAGCATCTCTCATAGCTGCGAAATCCACAACTGCTGGTACTCCAGTAAAATCCTATTTAAAATAAAACTGACATTCAACAAAATAGTGAACTTGCAAAAGTTGTTCTTTTGACAAAAAAACTTACCTGTAATATTACCCTAGCTGGTTTAAATGCTACCTCCACTCCTCCCTCAATAGTCTGACTGTGTTCCCAATCTGAGATCTTTTCAACATCAGATTTTTTTACCTGGAAACTATCACAACTCCTAACTGCACTTTCCAAAAGCACTCTGATTGAGAAAGGTAGTCTGTCTACAAATATTCATTTATGTTAAAAATTGCAATTCTCTCAGATTAAATGTAACATTTATTTATTGATACATACCATATTTTTTTCCAATATTCGTAATATCAAAATATTTATAGTCTTTAAGTCCTATTTTAATGGACTTCATTAAGTGGTTGTATGGATTTTGTTCTGAAAATAATTGCTCACATTAAAAATGTATTAAATAAAAATATCGTTTATTTGCTAAAATAGGAAATAATAAGATATAATATAATAATAATGTAATAATTTTAAATATTGAAATGCAAATTATGGAACAAATAAATTGTATTTCCTACAGAATGTTCCATATCATACACACACACCAAAATTTTTTCAAATAATTAATTTTTCGTTCGTAACAATTGTTTGAATCAGGCTTAATTTATTTTAGATCGCTTAATTTAATTTATTCACGGAAATTGTGCTGCACTGTTTCAAGTTTCTTCAATTGTTATGGCATTTTAAACAAACAAATGCCATAAGAAATATTACATGTGATGTAATTGTCAAATCTAACAGGTGTCATAATAGTATTATAAGCAGTGTCACATTGTACTTCTGACGTAAATCGAATTTTTTTTTAATTTGCATATGGAAATAACGTCTGATTCGAGATTGCTGTGCGTTGTTACGGAAAAATGATATAAAAAAATAGAAATTTAAAAACAATGATCTCTGATAAATTCTTAAATTAGGCTAATAGGTGCATAATATTATGCAAATATTTACTTTACAACAAATTAAGTGCCTTACGTTCTACTTTTGTAAAATAAAAAAGAAACGAAATTGAAACAATAAGTCATGGTGCAAGCACGTTTCTTATTTTATTCCAAGTTTGATAATTCTATCTTGGAAATAAACGAGAGTAGACAAAACAGACCCTCACACTTACCAGCCATGATTGTCACTATACCAGTCACGTCGTCCAGGTCGCTTACGATGCGATGTTATCTATACAGGGTGACGAATATGTATGCACGTTCCTTCTATAAAAAAAGTTGTTTGTAATTTAATATCATGTTAATAAGAATAAAATAACGATTATAACGAATTAAATATTAGAAAATGATAGAAATGGTAGAAATGGTAAAATTTATTTATCATTTTTATTTAACAAAATCAGAAAATTGTATGATGTCATCTCATGTAAATCTGAAATTATCTATTCATTAGTAGACGAGTATGATTTACATTCAATGAATAGCAATTTTTATGTAACTGTAACGAAACGAGATATTAGGTTAATAGAATTTTTATATGTTGCTGTTTCACTTAGTAAATTCGTTGTATCGTAAAATTTCATTTTGATTTATGTATATATTTACTTAATAGTAAATATATATATAAATACAACGAGAATACTTTTTTTGTGACACCATGTAGAAACGATAATCGATAGAGAATGTGTAGCGATTATGATATATCGAATGGTTCGACTGAACTTGTTGCTAATTGTAAGAAATATCCCGAGTCACGAATGTACATAAAGCCGCGAGACGATAAATGTCAAATCGAATTTTTTTAACGAATGGACAACTAATGCAATTAATCATTACAAAGTACGTAAAGCAGATTGGAGCTTCAAAATGGAAAAAAATTTAGAGAAAACGTTGGATGATATGTAAGTTTATTACAACTATCTTTTTCATATGTCTTTACGACAAAAGTATTTTGTCTGTGTTGGTATTTAGGTTGGTGCTGTTGATGCAAATTTTTCTACAAAACGTAAGATTTTCATTAACATTCAACATTTACGCAAGTTTAGTCCATTGTTCAAAAAATACAATAGTTGTACAACTGAATTTAACCCTCAAATTTTTATAATTCAAATTCAGACGTTCAATATGAATAGACTGCGGATTTTTATGCAAATTCACATTTTCGAGACTAATTATATGAAAAATAGAACCTGGATTCTTCAGAAAATCATTTTATATACAAATATCACAGAAAGTACTATGCTATTTTATATATTTTTCCATACTGTGTGCATTTTGTGCAATTTTGCACTTCGAATTTTTTACAAATGCATTAAAATCCTTAGTCTAAATATGAGACATTCTGTTAATTTCTATTTCCATTAACAAAGTAACAGGTTTTAAAAATTCATTTCAAAATACATGTAAAATGTAAGAATTAAAAAAATTACTTAGAATTTGATATTTTTTTTTTTAATAGAAATAACACAGAAGGTATTATTGGTTGTATTTTGGCTGATCATGCTGGACTATGCTTAGGAGGTACTTTTTTCTAATTATCTTTACGTTTAATGCTTGCACAGCCCAAAAAGATAAAAATAAAGAAAAAATATTTTCAGCTAAAGGAAATGCATCTACCGACAGTGCAGGAATAATTGCAGCTATTGCAGATCAAGTTACAAAATTAGAGCCCAAATCACCACCACCGGTCATTTCTCTTCAAAATGATAGCAGGTAATATTTAAAAAATTTATTTTGTTGTTACTTTTGTTGGAATTAGATCAACATACAAAATTGTTAATCAGCAAATTTATTAAACAACTCTGAAACTCAACATGTCTTTAAACTTGCATTAAATGTTAATCTAATTTAATTAATATTAAAAATATTATAAATTATTTTTAGGAAATGCCTCATACAACGTCAAGGTGCAGTAGTAGGTGCCATTTATAAGGATATTTCTATGTAAAATAATTTTGTTATTTAAATGAATACTACTGGTTATATGTAAATTAATTAACTAATTTTGTTAATTATATGTAAACTTGAAATAAATAATTTTTTATATTCTTCGTTGAGATAGGAAAACTTGTACTTGATTTTGATCACAACAGTATAGAAAATACACGATCATAAAATTTTACAAGAGTTCGTTATAGCACCTTTGTAGATAATTTACAGATGAATATTAATAAACCATCGTTAGAAACATATCTAAGGTCAGTCACTTTTTTTTTGTCTACTTCTTCTTTCATACCATTTATTTGTACCAAGTCTAATTAGATCATGATGTTCATATATCCAAGATACAATTACTATCATAAACATTATGACTCCAATAATTAAATGCAATACTTTTTCATCTGGGAAAAAGTAAGCCTGAAACATAAAAATTTCAAACTGTAATGCTGCATCATCTATACATGGAAAAAAGAAAAATATTACTCCATTACATGAGAGATATTAGTGGTCAATGCTGCTATGAGAAGAGAAGCAGAAAACATAGGCTTTGGCACTAATCCACGTAATGGACGGTACATTGTATCTTTGTATCTTTTATTGATAAATATAGTAGAGTGGACAATTCTTAAACTCATGTTTACACAATTTCCAAGAATGAAACCAACTGGTCCAAACCAAATAGCAAATAAATAGGATGCACATAGAAAAGCGATTGATTCGTAAATCATAATCAAATTGCTCTTGTTTATAGTCACACTATCAGCCGTTGCATTAGTGTAACATTCTGTTACTCCATTTATTCCCAAAAGAAGTATAGCTAAACAATGTGCTCGCATTAAAAGTACCGGTAAATGTGAAGTTAATTTAGCACCGCCATACAACCATAAAAGTGTGCTTGAATATGATTGTCCAAATACTAAAACAACTAAACCAATTGACATTACAGCTGAACATAAATGTGTAAGCACGTTTACACTTTCTTGTATTTTCACCTAAAAGAGATTTTGTTTTAATAAATTGTAATAATTGAATTTACAAGCTTTTTATTTAATACTTACAGGATTCTGGTCATTAATTGATTTGTCTCGTTTTATCATTTGGGTAAAATAAAAATACCCACTTTCTTCTATTGGACGGAAAATAAATCTTGCTGCTAAAGAACCTAAATTATTTATAATTTCGTATGTTCCCTTTAAACATATGAAAATACAATCAAATAAAAAAATAAATTCAGTGAATTGAATATGTATCACTGACCAAATACCTGTTCAGTAAATGTTAATACTGGCATTACTGTCATAATTAATCTTTCTCCTTCTGTTAAAACTTGTTTTAGAATTCCTTGTCTAAAGAAACTCCATGTAAGAACAGTCAACTTTTTATCTAAATATGATTCCTAAAATATGACAGTCTGTATACATAATACACTGTAGATTTGTTTTAATACATACTTTATTTGCCAATTGTCCAGGCAAAAAATCCTTTACTGTTTTGAATGGAAATTCCCTCACAACATATTCGTCACTACTATCTTTCAACGACATTCGTCTTTTGAGCTTACACTTATTAAGTTTCTTAATGTAATAATGAAAGTATAAATAATGACTAGTAGTATAAAATATTGCTGCAACTAGTTGAGCTACACCAAATGCTAACAATGCATTCTCTGGATTATGTAGTATCAATGGAACAAATGTTATAGTGCGAATAGCAATCATGATAGTATCAAGTATAATCTGAAAAAATTTAATAATTAACCATAAATATATAATTTCTCACAGTATTTTTAATTCAAAATCTTACTTTCAATCTAACAAATAAAAATGCACTAGCAACCAGTTGAACGATTAAGGATGATAATTCAATAATACAAGACAAAGCAACTGCCCAAACTGCAAATGTATAATATGATGGTAATTCTTCAGATGCTGATAAAACAGAAAGCCAAATATATCCAAACATTAGAGACATTAGAAAACATATAGGAACCCTGAAAAAAAAATCTACTATATATATATTTATAAAAGTTTCACTTATACTGTGATTAATTAATTTCAAAAACTAACGTCATCCATAATAAATTTACAACTTGAGCCCAATTGTGTTCTGCTGTATTAGTTAAACACGCTTTCATAAATGGCTCACGAGATAGAAACAAAATCATTGATTCCAATAATAGTAGCCTCACATTTATGACTCCTAAAACAGCTTGACCCACATGCCGAACAACAAAGGCATTTAAAACGAAAGTAACTCCTCTGCATAATATCTAAAAAAAAGTAATTATTGTAATTATTTTTTACACAATAATCTTGATTTTTGGGATATATTAATTAAAAAATTATTGATTATGATGAATTATTTTTTTACATGTTAGAAATTATTAAATATTAATAAAAATAATCAAAGTTTTTTAAATATATATAGATACAATATCTTAAATATATACATACAATTATCAGTAATAGCTATACATTTGGTATTTATAAATATGATGTAAGTTTTCTCACAGACAGAGTATTTCTTGTCATGAAATACATAAGTTTTAATGTAGCTGTTATGTTAGTGTATATACCTGAAATATAATATTGAACGAAGCATTTTCCAAGCTGCTTTTCAAAATATTCTGTGACATTTTCATAAAAGATCAAATGAAGATATAAATGTTTCGAGATTCCCGCCCAAAGAGATGATCAATGAAATTCAAGGTTATGTGAACACTTTAACAGTACCTAAAACATCAAGTCGATCATTTTTCAGTAATTTCATTCGCGATCCTGACTAATCGGAACATAGCAAATATAAAAGCCAAGAATTTCCTCATACTGCATGAAACGGATTTCATGACGTAATTACATCAATTTTCTATATATATATTGTATCTAGTAATTTTGTGTCAAGCATCTTCGTCTATCTCTCCTAGTGGAAAACTGTTTCCAAAACAAAAGCTTCTTCCTAACTTTAACAATAGAATCTCGGCATATGTGAGATAAGGTTAGGTCTTATCTAGCAGACTACCACGATAGAATTAAAACGTTGAGAAAGTAAATGATAATTAACTTGTGAAGTGATGTCGTTATATAATAATATCCGTGTATTTTTTCCATTTAATACCATCACTTCATTTCAACATACACAAAATGATAAAACTGTAAAATAGATATTATCTCTGATCGTTCTCCTTCACTCTAACATTAACATTTTACAATGATTAAACTATCACAGAAACGATGATTTTTTATTTATCAGTTAAATCAAATGTTTCATTTAGCTCTTAATTATTTTCAAAATTTTACCATCTCTACTTGACAATGTTAATATTGTAAAAAAAAAAAGAATTAAAATGTTACAAGAAAGTAATTCAGCAACTACTGCAGTCACGAGAAATGTTTTCATTACTTCGTTAATTGTAAGTAAACTTCTATATAATCAATGAATAATCAAGCATGCATGTCTCGATTATCAATTCTATGTAAAAATTCGTCACATTCTGATATAAAATGATAAAACTTTATCTATAATCATTTTACATATTAAAATTATTCTTTCAATCTTTTTCACTGACTTTTGTTATTTATTTATTTAAAAATAACATATAAATATATTAAAAATAATTTATAATTATATAAATATAATTTTCATTATTTAAAAAATAAATATTTATAACAAAGAAATAAATATTATAATTTAGAAATTATTATTATTATTATTATTATTATTATTATTATTATTATTATTGCATTTTTGTAAATAAGAATTGTATTTATTTTTGATACAATTTATTATACATTTATTAAGATAACCAGTTTTTTAAACAAATATCTATTGCATATATTTTTAAGAAAAATAATATTTATTTCACGATAGTCAGGTGCCTTTGCGGGGACTATGTGCGATTTCATATCATACCCTTTGGATACGCTTAAAACACGATTACAAAGTCAACATGGTTTTTTTAAATCTGGCGGTTTTAAACAATTATATAAAGGTTTAGGTCCCGTAATGATAGGATCTGCACCATCAGGTAAACACACATTTTAAAAGTAAAAATAACGTTACACTGATAAAAATATTTTTTTTTGCAGCTTCCCTATTTTTTATAAGTTATGAAAGTATAAAAGTAATGTTTCAACCTCAAATACCTGAACAGTATCACGCGTTTATACATATGACTGCTGCGTCATTGGGAGAAATGGTAATTTATATTTTGTTAATGGTTATATGTGTAAATAGAACGACAACAATATAATCTAATAACAATCAATATACTTTTGCACCTTAGCATTAGTTCGAAACATAAACTATTATTATTCTTGCATCGTACAGTAGACTTCCGGTATGCAGTCTTGCTTTAATCATTTATGTTTTTGTTAAGATGAAATTAATTGACGAGTAGAAAATTTATTGATATTTTCCATGACCATTCATTTTTTACTAAATGTATCTTTTCTCATATATACATACATATATGTATGTAAACCTCTATACAATATATATCTTCTTTGTATAAGATATATAGTGTATATGTATGTACATACAATTAGATTCCAATTAATTAGTTATAGATACAAGTAAATTTCATTTGCATTATCCGAGAATTAGATCAAAATACATTTGTTCAATAATTTAATAATTTTACAACCATACTATTACATGTGTATTCTTTTTTTTTTATATATTTTTGGATTAATCGGGCAACCATACTATATAAATAATTATTTTCTCTCTTTTCTACTTTTAAATGTATTAAATGTATTAACAATTACTTTGTATTACTTAAAAATGTTGAGTTGTTACTAATAGGTTGCATGTCTTATTCGAGTCCCAGTAGAAGTAGTGAAACAAAGAAGACAGGCGCTTTTAAGTGATGCCCATAAATTACCGTTGAGTGCTCTATATCGTGGCTATGGAAGTACTGTTATAAGAGATTTGCCGTTCGGTTTAATACAGATGCCACTCTGGGAGTATTTTAAACTTTATTGGAAAAAAAACGTAAAACGTGAATGCACGTCCGTAGAGAGCGCTATCTGCGGATCGGCGTCAGGTAAAAAAAAAAAATAAAAAAGTTTATTAAATTACCAATATGCATAAACATTATACTTTAAATATCTTTATTATTATAGTTGCTATATCTGCGGCTCTTACAACACCTTTAGACGTTGCAAAAACTAGAATAATGCTGTCAAATGTGACGGCAGGGAAAGATGAAATAAAAATATCCGTGATGTTAAATAAAGTTTACCACGATCATGGTTTTAAAGGGTACTGTAACAAATATGTTTTTTCATTATCAATTTTTTTTTTATCTTACAAACAATAATTAATAAATATTTTTAGACTTTTTGCAGGATTTATACCAAGAGTCGGTGGTTTCACAATTAGTGGATTCGTATTTTTTGGTGTTTATGAAAAAGTTAAAGAAATTTGTACTATAGTTTTTTCTCCATAATTTCACAAAAGATAGATTTATAAATATAAGTCACGGTTAATATCTCGTCAACTGATATTATCATATGGTTAAAATAGTAAGAAAATTGAGACAGAAGGTAATTTTATTTAGATAGTAATTTTATTCCATGTTAATCTTTCATTGATACTACAATATAAAAAAATTAAAAAAAAATTTTATTACAGATTTTAAAGAAAATAAGGATTTTTCACATTGACTTTTGTTTATGTCGCGAAAAAGTACAAAATGAAAAAATAATTGCATTTATGTTATAATTACTATTAATAGAAAGATAGACTCTAATTCATAAATTTTGTATTTGAATTGAAATAATTAAATTAATCCATGCTATAATATATTTAAATAAATGTTGGTACACACATTTCAAAAAAAGAAATAACGAGCACAAAGAAATATAAAATATGAAATATATTTAAAAATAATCTTTAAACATGAAAATTTTCTTTGCATTTACAGATAATATGTCAAGTTATAGCATGCTACATATCAATTTACATTTGTGATATTAACTTGTACAAAATAATATAAAATATAACAGACAAGAAAAATATGATAATTTTTAATACTGACATTGTTATATTTATTGACAACAATATGTTCCTTTGGACTCATTACTTAACTCAGTTACCTCTTCGACTTTTTGTACATTATTTGGATCAGACATAAAATCTTGTGCAATTTCATTAAACAACTCAGCTATAAAATTAACTTAATAAATATTGAATGTTATGATATTAATGAGAATGTATAACATTGATCCTTACCAACATTTTCTCCAGTTTTACTTGATGTTATAAAAAATTTAGCTTGAATGCCAGCAGCATATGTTTCTACAACATTTATATCAGGAGATGGAACTGCACCGTGCTCTAAAATATCGTTTTTTGTTGCACAAATGTATATTTTACATCCTTCTTCAACTGTTCTAAGTTCTGTTATCCAGAATTTTGCTCTTTGAAATGTATTCGATTTTATAATATCATAACAGATAATAGCAGCCTTTGCACCACGATAATATATCCTACTCATGGCATCATATCTGAAAGTACATTTATGATTATTGATGTTCTTAAACTCTTTATTTTTTAAGATCACTTACTTTTCACTGCCTGCTGTGTCCCATATCCCCATGATAAGCCTTTTCCCATTGACTTGCATTTGCTTAGCTGCAAACGCAGCGCCTATAGTCTAAGGAAAGTGGAACTGGGTTAATTTGTTTTATGATGCATCTCTTAGATGATTCTCAGTGTAAATCTTAATAACTTTATTTTACAATATTCCTTCCACTTCGCGGACTAAGAGAAATATGACAGCCTAAATCAGTATTATCCCTAAATCACCCCAATCTGAATCATACAATTGACAAAATAACGTAAGTAACAGGTTTCTGTAATTTCATACTTTTAGAGAAATTCGATATGTAATTAAACTTTTCATTTGTTTTACATATTATATTAAATGATAAAAGAAATAATTTTAAAAAAATAATCTCGAACTATTGCATTGTGCAAATATCAATAAAAACAAATTAATAAATAATAATAAACTCTGTTGCATATGCACTTACGTTTTGATAAGACAGACTTTCATTAAACCTTTCATTTACGAAACGTTCTACGAGACTTGTTTTTCCTACAGCTGCGTTACCCAGTAAAACCACTTTCAAATCAACGCGATTCATCCTTAGATGATGAAGCTTTCTGAGTGCAACAATTATAAAACAACTATCAGCCTTTCTTGTAACATTTAGGTTATCGTTTGTTTTCTTATATCGAGGAGTGATCACTAATATTTGTGAAAGACAAAAATTACGTCATTTGGTACGAAAAATACTATCAAGAATTCAATATGATATTTATTCGATGTATCCGAGCTAAATAATAAATTTGCACATAAACACGTAATTAAGTACTGCCATGCATTTATGTCACAGGTGGCGCTTTTACGTCTTCATGATTTTATTATATGTATATACGCTTATTTTAAATTTAATTTTTATTTTATACATTCATACATTTATATTAATTAGCTCAAGGAAAAATAATTACATTTAATATGTTTTAATAATTTTATATTTGTTTCATATTTTATGATTTTCAATAAATATTTTTGTTTGAATAAATTACAACATATATATAGAAACTTGTAACATCACTGAAAATAATGTATAATAACTTCTGTTATTTTTCTATTTTTCTTTTGTTGTAAACATTTTTTACACATATATTTAAGTGTGTCTTTCAATAATTTAAATCATTTTTTAACAAAACTAGACATCAGTACTTTTTGTTTGTACATACATAATATAGATTGTAATTAATGTCTTTAATTTTACTTAGCTTTTCCTTGGGCAGCAACCGCAGCCATTGCAGCTTTCACTGTTTCTTCATCACCTAAGAATTTCATTGATACAACAGGTTTAAAGTTTTCATCCAACTCATAGATGAATGGAATACCAGTTGGTAAATTTAATCCCATGATTTGATCATTGCTCATTTCTAAAAAAAAAAAAAAAAAAACAGTTGTTAATGTAATAAATAAAATTTATTATGCTATGAAAAGAAAGAAACTAACGATCTAAGTGTTTAACTATGCCACGCAAACTGTTTCCATGAGCAGCAATAATGATCTTTTTCCCTTCCTTCAATTGTGGAATAATAGTATCATTCCAATATGGCAATGTTCTATCAATTGTCAATTTTAAAGACTCAAATTTAGGAAATTCCTCCGGTTTCGGTCCATCTGCATATCTTGGGTCTTTTACTATTGTATCATGATATTTGTGATCCGGCTCCATAGCTGGAGGCGGTACATCAAAGGATCTTCTCCATATTTGAACTTGTTCTTCACCATACTTAGCAGCAGTTTCTGCTTTATTCATACCAGTCAAACCACCATAATGACGTTCATTTAAGCGCCATGTTTTTTGAATGGGAATATCTTCTTGACCGATTTCTTTAAGAATAGCTTTCAAAGTTTCTTGAGCTCTTGTCAACAATGATGTATGAGCAACATCAAACTTGAGACCTGCGTCTTTAACTGCTTTTCCAGCTTGAGTTGCTTCAGTTTTACCTAAACATATATGTTAAATAATAATAACATAATTTTGGATAAATAAATTTTATATTATTACACAGTGTTTTTTTAACTATATAAAATATGTGTTGGTGAAGTAATTAATATCATGAATGGTTATAATCAACATGATAATATTACTATGACATTCATTTATTAATTTATATTTCTTTCTGTACGTATCTTTAAAATGAGAAAATCTAACCATCGAAACATGGTTAACATAACATTCGAAACTGTTTGACCTTTCGTCCTTGAGATTTATTCTCACAATTTATTCTTGAACAAACCTTAAAATGACTTACCTTTGTCAGATAAATTGGCATCATACCATCCGCAAAACAGATTCAATTGATTCCACTCGCTCTCTCCATGACGTACCATAACAATCGTGTATTTCGACATTTTTTTATTACAAGAACTAAGTGCACGTAAAGACGAAAAACGATTCGGAAGCAAGGATCTCTGCTCAATATCTCTGCACAACTGCTTCAACTGAAAGCCCCCACCACCTGTCATGCTTTTTAGTACGAGCATTCTGTTCAAAATTTTGTACGAATACATTGTACATTTATTGTCCGTACACCTATTTATTTTCACTATACAGCTGAGAAATTTTATTTATTTGAAAATATTGTTAATCTAGCGACATGCATTTACAAATGTTGGTATTTTGGTATTGTTCCTTACTCGTTTATTCATGCAATGAAATGTTTCGCGCCATTGTAAATTGTTAGTTCTTACTGTACGTCACATTTACTGAAATACATATGAAAGCTCGGATCAATTTGAGTGTTTAATTGATAAAAATTGAAATATATGAAATAAATAAATATTTCTGACTGAAACTTTACAGATTTTTATATACGTTAATAATTGATTGCATAATTTCTAAAAGAAATGCTTTTCGTTTGAATGAAGTGAGAGATGAATATAACCTTCATAAAAATGAAGTGTATTAATACAAATTTGATCTAACTTAAAATGATATTATGAAAACAACGAACACGAGTTCTTACCGCTGAGTTAATAGCACATGTTCATCTGTTTAAAGAATTTGTATTTTATTTAAAAAATTACATATAATGGAACTTTCAGATCAGCAGGCTGATTCTTCCTTATTATTAGATACAAACTGTTTACAAATTTCGTGTAACTGGAAAATTAGCAATAACAAACAGTTTTGCGATGCTTTCACATTGGGAGTTTCGTCCTTAGAATTTAAGAAGTAATACAGATATTTATATATTAAAAATATATTAATTCTTCATATAATAACTGTGTATAAATGTACTTATTTTTTCACGTACATTGTACACGTATATATTATTCATACATTAGGTTTATATGTTTAAAACAATATAAAGTTTGAGAAATATAAAATAATATAAATATCTCAATTTATTGTCCAATTGTATTATATTTCATTGTTATTTTGCCTTATTATAGATTATTATTATATATTCACTTTTTCTTTAAATAAATATAACTCTTTTACAGAACTAATTTTGAAGATATAGTTTCTTTGAATACATGTATATCTTTACAATCAACTGAATCCAACAATGAACCATGTATGTTAGATATAAGATTAAACAATGGTCAAAAAATTTCTCAAATAGCTGTAGTTTCCGAGGCTTATGTATTAGAATTTTTCAAACAATTTGGAGAGTATGAGACAACAAAGTTTGCAGAATTTGTAGATGAATTTGAAGACAATTCAGTCTACTTTGCAGAGACAGCAATTTTTCCACATGCTACAGAAGCTAGTATTAAGGTATAAAGAAAATACATCTATGTGTGTATATATGCATCTAATTTACAAAAAATCTACTTTATTTATTTATTTTGAAATTTCTATTTTAGTTTACAAAAACAAAAAGTAAAAATTCAATTATGTGGATATATGGTATAAAACTCTACCTAACAGAATTAATTAATGAACCTAAGACTCTTTCCACAGAAATCTTTAATCCTGAAATAATAAGAAATTTCCTAACTAAATTTAGTTTTAATAACGAAGGGAACAATACCACGAATGATGTTCAATCATGTTACATGAATATTTTGAATACGTCAAAAAACAAAAGTGTTCAGAAAAGCAATGGGGAAGAAGTGGCACAATCTACAATTGAAAATACTGTATTAAATAATGTAGATATCATGACATATATTGATAAGAAATTCGAAGATATGGAAGGAAGATTAATGAAAAAGATTAATGAAATGGAACAAAGAACAAATGAAAAACTTGATATTATTTTAAGGCAATTAGAAAATCAATGTAATGTCAAGTGACCTTCAATTTAAACAATTTAAGAATATATTTGTAAATAACGACAATATGTATTTAATTCTGTATGCAATTCTATGTATGTAAAAAATTTTGAAAATAATACTTTTTCCTAGTGTTTTATTCCTAAGTGCTTAAATTATCTATTTACACTTCTAAAACTTTCACTTAATAATGTAAAGTCTTATTTATTTTGAGTATCATTTACTCTTTATTTCTCACTTTTGCAATGCAATTGAACCTTTTAAATACAAGTATTCACATTTAAGAATATATCAAGAATTATGTTATATTTCGTCTAATTCTGTTATGTTTATGAAATTTCATACAAATATAAAAATCATGGAACTAAATGTGCATAAAGATATATTAGTAAATAAGGTAAAGTTTAAAGGAGCAAAACGTAAAGTTATTTCAATCACTATTGCTATCTTGTGGAGGATCCCATTGATGAAGTTGTTTCCTCCACAATCTTACCATGCTATCCCATCCTCTTCTACTATATTTAATATATTTTGGTGGTGTTCTCGGATGCTCTCTTGTTCGTTTCTCTCTAAAATATGTACAACCAATATAATAGTTTTCAACAAAATAATTTGAACTGTATCTTAATGAACAAAATTCTTCTTACTTAGGCACAGCTTGAATATATCTATCATATCCAACAGTATTTTTCCCATAATCTATTTCTTTTTGTCTACGAGCTAAAACTCTAGGATCTGTTTCATATTCTACCCGTCTTTTACCACTATCAGAAGAATTAGTAGTGGAGCTTGAATCACTATTATGTCTAGTTCGAGAAACTTTTGCATCCTCGTTATTTATTTGATTTTCTCTAGTTCGTTTACGTAAACCATCATCATGCTGTTTGTTCTTTACATTATCTTCGTAATTTATACTGGTTGCATTGTTTGTCTGATTTCCTCTCAATTTAGATATGTTATCAATTTCTACATTTGAACTGAGATCATCCTTCTTCTCCTGTTCACTATTAACATGCGTCTTAGCTGCACAAGATTTAGTTTCTAGATTACTTTCTTTTAGTACATCCTCTTTGTTAGAGTCTATAATTTTGTTCAGTTCATTTGAACTCATACAAATGGCTTCATTAAGAAGAGCATCATCTTCCTCTGTTAGTTGTGTCCATGAAGTATGCGTATCTAATTCCATTTTATTTCGATCGTTGAAAGAACTTCGTTACACAAGTCTCTACGAGAGAAAATTAACATAAAAACGAACTGCATGGTTCAATCAACGAGAGAAACCGATAAATAAACAGTCTCTCACCTAATAAGAATAACCTAAACAAATGGAATAACTTTTGTTATTAGAACATAAAAAAAGCTGCTAATTCCGTGTTTTCGTAATAAATAGGAGAACTCGAATAAAATAGAATTATTATTTTATGACCATGAAATGCCAAGGCTTTAAAAACGCGATGAAATTGCACTTAATTTCAAATAAACATGCAGAATAAATTCATTCTTGGAAGTGTTACAAATTCTGCAGTGCGCGCCTTTTCTTATAATCTAATATTCGCGCAGCCCGTAGAGCAATATCAGTTGAAGTTCAAACTAGGTTAAGGGTTTTGAAACTTTCTTTCGTTGTTGATCTTTGTAGAACATGTATACTACGAGTACAACAGCAACGATTGCCCAAAATTTCATCTCTCAATCATTTTTCCACGTGTATCGCACTTAGGATTCTATTAACGTGATCTCTATCCTTTTCGCAAAATTGAATAATACAAAATGTCCGCGGTAATCTAGCGCTTTTTGTTTGACAAGTTCGCATCCCCTATCGGTCGATTTCAAAATAACAAGCAGTTTTCTTCTTGTAATCTAATATTCTGACTTTATTTAAGAATCTTTCAAACGGTGATTCAGATTTCAGAAGTTTACAAGCATATACTAAAACTGAAATATAAATCGTTGATTAATGCACTACTTATTTATTTTACAATGATCGTGTTGTCGTAATTTACTTTATTATAATTCTGTAAAATTTATTTTATAATAATTGCATTATATTTCGTGATCATCATACATTTTGTTGATTACATTTGTCATTAATTCGGTTTTTTAATATGACGTATGAAAGAAGTTTCTTGTCAAGATAATGAAAAGATATTAAATTATAATATAATATATATAAATACATTATATATATTGTATATTGCGAAAATCATGTCATAAATATTATCTTTCTACGATGGTTAAGAAATTTTTTTTGAATCATAGTTATTCTTTCTTTTTTAATGAGCAACCATTTTTTTATTTATCTAGCTTAGTCACGCAAAGTTATACATATACACATATTGGATGTTATACATATTAATCGCAAACGAAATCGTGCAAAATGTCAAAAACAATGAAGGTTATATTTTCTCATTATATTATTCTCTAATTATATTTTTTTAATTAATTTCTTTTATACTTTTGTATCTTTTAATTATATATTTAAACGTTAATACAATATTTGTATCTTCTAATTTATATTTAAATGCGCGAACCATTTATATATAATATAACGTAAGTTGATATTGTTTTCAGGAATCGTTAATATTATTAATAAATATTGGAGTAACAAATCCAAATATAGAAAATAATCATTCCGCATTGGAAAAAGCAAAAGAAATTGCCAAGCGAAAAATAGAAAAAATGGTATTATAGAAATGAAATTTAATAATATTTACTTTGAGTTACTAATATTTGCTATTTTATAGATTTTCTTAAGTCCAAAAGATGAAATTGCAATAATGTTAATGGGTTCCTCTGTTACAAAAAATGATTTAAATACACAACACGTAGAAGAATTTACAGATTTTCAGATACCAAATTGGGATTTTGTAAAAAAATGTATGGCTTTAGAAAGGACAAATCATTGTTCAAATTGGGTTGAAGCACTTATAGCTGCAGTGGAATTTATGGAAAAAAATGTGTATGTTTAAACATAATTGTATTTGTAGAAAAAGTGAAACTGCATTCAAATTTATATTATATTAACTATGATATATTTCTTATTTTAGTGTTGATGTTTCTACAAGGAAAATCATTCTGATTTCTGATTTTAATGAAGACGCAGATATCATTTCACAATTTCAAGCAGATGCAATTGCAGATAGATTATCTAAAGGAAATATTAAATTAATCACAATGTAATTTATTTTAATTTTATTATGTAAATTATTATATATAATTTAATTTTATAATTTTATCATTTTAGATCAGAGCCTTCAACTAGTCTTACAATTAGTCGAAAGTTTCTTAAAGATGTTTATGAGAAGGTTTCATCTACTATAATTTACTTTTACAACATATTATTGTAGATTATTATTAAATTTATTTTATTTCCTAGATTAATGGTCAGCATACAACATTTGATAAGGTTTTATCAGATTTAAAATTTTATACACCAGCATCAAAAAAACCATGTCCATATTATTATACTTTAGAATTGCTTGATAAAAAAATACATATTACTTCTTATATTAAAGTAAGGAGAAATTATGAACCAAGGAATTATTTATGTAATCCATAACTATAATAGTTTAACATTTCTATTTCTATTAGATAGACATTGAAAAATTTCCATCCTGGAAAACAGAAAGCAGAAACAATGAAAAGTTTGAGAAAAAAACAGAATACTTAAATAGGCAGAGAGTTTCTTATTCGAAGGATGAAATTGTAAAAGGATACAAATATGGAGAAACTTTTATTCCAGTAGAAAGTATATATCAATTTGTTTTTGTTGCCATAAATATATTTATATTTAGAAAAATATATATATTTTATTTTAAATTTAGAGAATCTAGAGGAGTGTATGAGTTATAAAAGTGGTGGGAAAAGTTATAAAATTTATGGCTTTACAAACAGAAACAATATTGATTTGGAATATTTGTATAAAAGTGCCCCTCATATTCTTTTACCAGCCAAGGAATCAGAGGTATATTTTATTATTTTATTTATAAATTTCAAATTAATATATGTATTTATCCTGATTTTTTTAGAATATAACAAAGCCATTTTATAGTTTGGTGCTTGCAATGCAAAAAACAAATTCAGTGGCTATTGTGAGAAAAGTTCTTGGAAATAATAGTTCACCTAGAATGGTTGCGTTGTTTCCTTGTATTGATATTCCTGATGAACCATGGGTACTGTAAAATATATTTTTTTAATTATATTATGTTCCAATATATTGTTTAATATGTTATTTATATTTACACACAGTGCTTAGTAGAAATAGAATTAGTATTTGCAGAAGACAGAAGAGTTATGGAAACAAGATCCATGAAGTCAGTGATGAAACAATTATTGGAAGAACAAAATGAAGCTGTAGATAGTTTAATAAATTCTCTGATGTTATCTGATACACAGTAAGAATATTAGTACTTTAGTACACTTAGTTAAGCATCTTCCATGTAGTTATATATTTTTAAACAGGGATAGTTGTGAGATAGATGGAAGTCAGTATTTTTTACCGGGATATGTGCCAAATCCTGAAATACAACACAAATGGCACATATTATCGCATCGTGTTATTAATCCGGATAAACCATTACCGCCTATGGAAAATTATTTAAAAGAAATTTTGGAAGTTCCATCGGTAAAAGAAAGAAGTAAATCCCATCTGCAAAAAATTGTAAAACTATTTCGATTAGAGAGTATAGATCCAAAAAAAGAAAAGTAAGAATTTTTTATATTAAAAGTATAAAAAATTGTTTGTGACAGTAAAAATATGAATGTGCATTTTATTTAGAAATGAAATTAAGGAACAAGATAATATACAGCTCGATAATAATATCGATACCGAAGAATCTAATAAAATAGAAGATATAGCTGATGTTGAAAGTAATTCGTATAAAGAATTAGAAGTTCTGTCTTTGGACACCTCAGATATTGATTTTGATGAAATGGTAAAAAACAAGAAATATGTTACTATATGTACATATATACATTTTTGAATATCTATTTAACATATTCCATTTTTATTTCAGATTGCTAATATATAATTTTTAATTTTTTCAACTTGTTTACAGTATTTTAAATATTCTTTCTAATAAAGTTTTGTAAGATTATATTTTAAATAATAATTTTACTTTTTGTATGTGATATTTTGTATTTTCAAGCAACATGTAAAAGAAAAATATAAGATTTATTTTGTATACATACAATTCGTACAAATAGCAAACATTATTTAGAAAAGATCGTAAAATAAAATATTGTGTGATGACAACGAACTTCTTGCGTATTTCTAATGAAGAATGAAGCCTCGGAATGAAGCTTGCCACAAATTGATGACATTGTAGTATCTAAATATGGAAATGATTAAACCGTCTGCCTACTTAATACCCACTCCATTTCTCTTCAAATTCTCCGAAATTCTCTCACCTACATAAATACAACAATACCACAGGATTGTATATTTCTATGCATTTCATTTGTTATAAAATTTATCAATAAGATATTTCTAAAAATGAATACTTGCCACACATTATGGATCATTGCATTTTAAACCTCTGCTGTGAAAGAAAAGTCAAAACTAAATACTACTTCTTTTTCAGAATATGTTTCTTTTCAACATTTCATTCAAAATATCTTGCTTCTTTTGCTTTTTTGGTCATTCCTGTGAAAAACTTATTAGTTCCATAGTTGCGTAGATTCTGTTCTCTGATTTTGATACATCCTGTATAATGTTACGGTATTCATTTTCAGGCCTTGCGGGGAGCGCGAATCCGCTTCAATCTCAGTCAACGAAGAGACGGCGTCTCGTGTGGATCAACAGGTGCTCTTGCCCGCGCAGAACATATTCACCAGCATGGGTAAGTTTCATTTTTGTTCACATTAATTTGAAACGCTGTTCACGTTGTTCGTCGCGTTTCATAATGAAATGCTGCAACGTATCCAAGTTCTTTTCTGTAGCGAAAGTAATAAATCAAAGCGTGAAAATGTGACAGTGCCTTGCGTCTTCATTCAAGTATGCAGGATGAGACACTAATACGTTGGACGCTGAACTTATGCTATTTCTTTGCTGAAATAACAATAATGTTTTATTTTTTCGGCATATTAATATAACTAACAATAAATTTTATAATAATTATAATAATTAAATTATTCATATTGGATTTGAATATTAAGTATCTGTTTCTTTTAATTGAATATTGTATCTGTTTCTTTTAATTATACAAAACATTCCAATGGGTTTAGGTAGTAATTAAAATGAAGCTGCAGATATCTATGATTGTATAGTTGGATTTAAAAGGAATTACTTAGGTAATTGATCGATATGGGATTTCTCTACTTAAAAGACTTTGATATGTCTTTAAATATGATTCATTTAAATCCTACGTTTACTATAGTAAAGATATTACTGTAGTAAAATTTTTATTATTATTGTCTTCTAGAATTAATTCTGAAATAAAATATCATTTTTTTTTTTAATCATCAGCGATATTTGGAGTAATGAAAATCAATCAAGAGTAAGAGTAAAGAATGATTTTGCAATAACTTTATGTTTACTAGTGAATGAACTATACTTTAAATGTCATAGACAAATGTCGAGGAGCAAATGTCATGTTAAAATGCATCTTATTGTACGTTTGGAAAATTCCAGATTGTCTGGATCATTTTATTCAAATAAGTACAATAATCATCTTCAATTTTTGATATGAATGATGAATCAGCTGTTATTTTCATAATTCCTTTTACATCTTGTTAAACAGTGACCCAGAAAAGAATAACATCATGATTAGAGAATAGGAATCAGCTATTTCATAGTTAATCTACGTGATCCTTATTCAATTCTAATTCTTAGATCTTCATATGTAAAAAATCTATCTAATTTTTTTCAATTGAATATTAATTTTTACATAGTAACTTTTTCTCATTATCAGTTATTAAATAATCAATGTATCCTACTATATTATATTAATATTACTTTATAGATATTATTTTGTAACGAATAATTTTTATACCATTAATTTTTCTATATGTAATTGTATTTTATTTGTAGCATAATGCTTAGAAACTTGCTTAAGATTAATTTTATGGACTTACATAATCCAGATGTGAATACTTTTACAAATATATCATAATTTATGAGATTAATTTGAAGAAAATGGAAATAACTTGGTTGTAAGTATCCATAACGGCGCAAAAGTGTCGCGTGGTGTCAACGAAATGTTAGAAAGATATCAGTTCAATAAGATCGGTATTTTAAAACAGGAGCAGTCCAATCGAATCCACCACGCGAAACCATACTGATCTCGTTGTCCTTGCAGAAGCGCACTTAAGCGCAAAGATCGATAGTAGATCCGACGGATAAAAATAATGGATATCCTCCCATTCGCCATGTACAATTAAAGATAAAGTCAAAGCAAAGATCAGTTTAAGGGAATGCTTATAATTTCTCATGACTCATATTATCATGCTTCCTATGCAAATGCAGATATCGATCTTCTCGTTTGATCTTTTTATTCATCCTTTAAAAGTATCTTCGTTTGCCTACTTTTTCAAATTCTTAAAAAATAAGCAGGAAATTTCTGTTTCGAATTTCGGAATAGTGGAATTTTGAAAAATTGGGAGAAATTTTTTTCACATTGATCTTTTGATGTTTATGTAACAAACCGGTTATCTTTTTTTTTTTACTTCTTACGTTTGTTTCTGTACTACTATTTCCTTTTATTGGTAATTTATTTATTCTTTTATATTTTTTATTATATGACAATTCAACAAGAATTGTTGATACTAAATTATTATTTTTATCGATTGATCTTTCCATTGACAGAAGATATTTATGTCTTTGTTTCTTTCTATAACTATTAATTACAATAGATCAGTCTAAAGTTCAATAAAATTGAATAGCGATACTATAAGCAAAATCGATTTAAAAACGGAGAAATCGTAAAGCGGTTTGTAATAAAAACGTGGCATTGACTTCTTCTCTTAGCGATCCAGTTTTATCGTTTTACGTTTATTTAATAATGGCTCATGTCTACGAGACAACTTGTATAAGCTTTTATCATTTAGAATGAATCTTTTTGCTTTGTCTGAACAGTGCTCAGTGATTTTTGTTTCGATTACGAGTTATATGTTTTTTCTTTCTCTCCTTCTCACTCTTTTCTGAAAATTATATATATTTGTTAGCTTTATATAATTATTTTCATCATTAATTTCATTAATTTATACTTCTTAATATTAATTATCATTTATTGATTTATTTTATGTGTTAATCATTTTTTTAGGCTTTCCTTATTCTTTCGCAAAATTGATTATATTTTCAAGAACACCATATTTGTTCATCTTTTCTCGTTCCATGATTATTTTTATTTTTTCATTTTTCGCCTTTTCGTTGTTTTTGCTATTTTGCATGTTTTCTTCATTTTTTAAGAATCATATACACTCATCCTTTTCCTTTTTTTCAGGGACCGCATATGCTTGCAGTATGGTGGTTATGCTTACCGTAAGTATTCCTGCTAGATAGCTTCCTGCTTTTCATACTTCCGCAAGTGATCACAGATGCATTATAATTTGTTCCCGCTGAATCAATGAATCAGGGAAGCAAAGATCGATTATTACAATTACAATTTCATATCCAAATCCATCAGCTAAGCTCTCTCTAATTAGTTTGGTACTCTTTTTTTTCACTAATTCTATATGTTTCTATTTGAATTCTAAAAGAAATTGCACGCAAATTACACACTGCTTTCTTGCGTAAAACCCGCGAACTCCGAGTTGAAGAATATCGATCCTTTCACAAATGGAAAGTGTAGTTAATGATGTATGAATCATGTTAAATGAAAGAACGATTGACTGTATCGAATTTTTAAGATAGAAATCTATTCTTTCGCTTGTAATATAAGTAAATATAATGGATATTTGGTAAAAAATGCTTAAGAAACTAGTTACTACAGAAGGTGTACGTAATTTTCTGTTTTCGAATTTTGAAATATATTTTTAAAATTTGGAAAAGCATGATTTAATATATTTAGATGTATAAGCATAATTTAATCGTTTAAGAACTATTGTATTTCACTTTACTATGATTCTAACACTGATTATGCTTCTATAAATTCCAAAACGAAGTACTCATGTTATTAAAACTAATATTACTAATGCTAGAAACAATACCACTTTCACTGACTTCCTTGATCTTTATCTAACATATCAATATTGTTGTTGGATAATTACAAAGAATGATTGCGATTTCACTAATTAAAACAACTACCTAAAACTTTAAAAGACAGTAAAGATTCTCTAATTAAAAATAGAATAATAAAGTTTTTTTAACAGGTATTCTTTGTAACCGTGGAGGCTGGTGATATGATGCGGAAGAGCATTGTTTTCGATAAAAATACCCCGGATGTATTCTACTGTCCGCAACAGAAACCGACTGGCTTCGAGAAGATGATCGTGAACGCGAAACCGTTGTCAAGGCTCTGCCAATTCGAGGGGAAACCGATTCCACCTGATTACAAAAGTGACTGTTATAACGACGTGGACGAGACCGAGTATGCGTGCAAAGAAAAGTACAGGATTATGGTGAGTCATCGTCGAGGTCATGGGCCTCGAAATTTCTCACCTCGAAAGTGTACGATCTCGAATCTCTAGATCGCGTACACATAAAAAACAAGGTGTATTCGGTTACAATCAGCTGGGAGAGATCAGATGAATAACATAGAAACGCAATCTTCTGATTGAATTGTTAAAAAGGAGCTATACGCTTTGGCTACACGCGTTCCGTATTAATATGATTAAACCTCTCTATAATTGAGGTTTAATTGAATGCCCTAAAACGAAAGTAATTATTCACAGTGATGTTTTCATCAAAAATTTTCAGGTAGATTTTTCGTTTTATTTTTCCAAAACAATATTTAATATATATATATATAAAAGAAAACAGTTCAACAAACACTGTTATATAATTATATAATATTGTAAATTCTTTAAATTCATTGATCTGGAAATAAAGTAAAAAATTTACTTGACTGAAAACTTCTGCATATCAAAAAAGTTTCAAATGTAGTCTGATTTATATCTGTTTTAGTGTTCAAGTTAATTTCATTAAATCTTTAATTTAATATATCATATATGTCAAAGAAGTTTTATTAATGGCTTTAATTGCTTAAAAGAGCTTAAAAGCAAAATTTTACTAGTGATGCACACATCATCCGACCATTATCAACATAACATCATGTTCATCACGTGTAACACGACTGGTGTCGGTTTTGTTTTCTTGCAGAAGCGATTCAGAACCAAAGCAGAGGGAAATGAGAACATTGTGGATGACTACGTCGAGAAATAGATGAGAAATTGATGCTGCACAACCGAGCAATGCGTGCAATTTTGCAAATGGGTCCCTTCACTAATGCTCAAGCTTACAACTTCCAGCCTTATAATTCAAAGCATTTTTATTCCCCAAATTCAAATGTCCAATTAAATAATTTATAGATACAATTAATTTGACAAGAAAGTTTACGCGTTAACGTTTAAAAGCATTTTATTATAGCATGTGACATTATTAGGATATGTATAGATAATTGATTTTCTTTTATAATTTTTTCTTTTTTTAATTTTCATTGTAAGTGATATAAAGTATTCGATTCTTCATTTTTTTCTATTTGTTGTATTATCTGACCTACTGGTGCTATTTTGTAATTTTCGAGCTTGGTGACCAGAATTATGAAATTTCATTTTCGCAATAACATTAATAAAACTAACAAATAATGGAGTTGGGCAAATTGATCATTAATTTTCCGAATATAGCTTCAACAGCTGATACTTGGTAATCGATTGCACACTAACTCTGCATTATTTTGTTCTGTTTACTTCATTTGTGCACGTCTAAAATACTAGATGAATATTCTATGACAAAATGTAAATTAGAATTGTGACAAAAATTTGGAACGTCTCTTTTAATAACTCAATTACGTTTTTTATATCTTAAAATTATGTGTTTATCTTTATTTACTAAATATAACTTGTTGTTTAACTAAAGTTATCTATCAAAGTATTGATTCATTCTTGATCTTCATCAATCATAAAATGAACCTGAAGACTTCGTCAAACATATACATTGTGGTAGGTAATATTTCGTTCATGATGTTTGATTAAATTAAAAGATCATTACTAGTTTAAAAATTTAGTACATTTCTTTCATACATATATTAGTTTCATAAATGCATATTTGTTCTAGATGCGACTACATCCACCGGGAAGCGAAGCACCATATAATGGTTCACGTTTATCAAAATTTTTAACTTTTGATAAAGATATCTATAAGAAAAGGAATCAGATTGAAGATGATGTTTGATAAAAAAAATTGATCATATACATTGACATTCTTTCAGGGTTATTATTGGCGAATACTCGAATAATATAATAATTTTTTTTATATTCTAATCACTATTTTTTAAATTTATTAATAATTTTTCAATTTTCGTGAAATGTCTTTTTCAGTTGATTTTGTCACAGTGATAAAATTTCATATAATATTTAGTAATCTCGATTGTAAATAATTCCAGTTACTTTATGATTGATAGTTAAAGAAAGCTTATTATTAATTAAAATGTTTAACGTTCCTATTCACTGTAAAGTGTACAAAGCTTTTTTAACATATTTTTGTAATATATATATATATCATATGTGCAACAATGAGAAAATATATGCTAATAAATACTATTCTCGACTTTGTAATTAGTATTATTATGTGTAAAATAAAAAACAATTTCATTGCTAAATTTTTCTTTAGGTTTTTATCCTTTTTATACTTGATTTGAGGTACATAATTTAATTTGTACAATATATTAAATATATGATTTATCGTTTTCATTAACTTGATAATTAATTAAAAATAAGACATAACGTTTTATGCAGTTAAAAGCTGCATTTTATGTGTTTTATAAAAACTTATCTTGAATGGTAACAAACAAATTCTCGTGCAGTAAATCTTTCATTTGCTTATTACATAATAAATATGTATTAAAATGTATAAATTATATATTATACAATATTAATAATTTATACATTGAATAAACAATAGTATTATACTATTGATACTTTAAGAAATGTTTAAAAATAAATAATGTAATTATTTCAATTATTTATCTATTGCAAATGACTTATATTTTTAATAATTTTTACAACATTTACTAGACTTTTAATTTTACACATTTTATATATTCGAATTTACTGACTATCCATGAGCCACGATATAAAAATTTTATACACTAGGATTTATTATATATATATTAGATATCTAACCAAAGTTTCTTATAACTGAAGTTACGGATAAGTGACAGCATTAACAATAATTTTATTTGTTATTTATACATTATGTTACTGATCTGAAAGATGTGTGCTACTCCGTAATAATACATATTTACGGCATCAATTTCGAAATTGGACAGTATACAAAATATCTCTCCGATTCAATGTATAAATAATAACTTTATATTATAATCTTACGTTCATCGTAATGTAATAGCCAGTTTAAAATTCGACTTATATAACGAAAATTAACAATTTATAAGTGTAATTTATAAGTAAGACATTTAAATGAGATACATCATAAATTATACAAAGTAAACTCATTTTATAATACTTATATGATACTTATGTTAAATATGTAAGCTTGTTTTAAGCTCGAGAAAAATTAATATCTCATTAGAATATCTGATCTATTCATATAATTTAAACACTATTAATGTTAACAAAAATATATAAAAATTGTTATAGACATCACAGGTCCCAAGTATCGCTCTAATGTTGCAAGTGGGAAGAAAAATATCAAAAAAGTTTAGAGTTATTAACATTAAATTTACTGGGGTAAATTTTCTCTTTTCTTCAAACATTTAATGTATGAATTTTCTTCGTTTTCATTTAAATAGACAAATGCAGAAAATTACTTATGCAGAGAATCTTAACAAACACAAGATCAAATGATTCAAGAATAAATTCATTCAACGCAACATTTCAAACGCAGTTTTGTTATGTTACTTAAAATAGTACGTCGTTCTACAAATTGTACAAATCGATTCCGAATGTTCCAAGAATTATCGTACAAATCTCTGTTGTATATTGTAGGAACATTAACTTCAAATACATATGGTACGTGAACCAGAGATCGCAATATACTTCAATATATTTCAATTCTATCCGTTTTTAAAGTTCCGTTTTAAGTTCTTCATTATCTTCAATTCAGTTAGAATTATATTTTATAAAATTAGCTTTCCACCATTTGAAGCTCGAATCTGTGCGACCTGCTCAGGAGTCAAAATTAATTTGCTTCCGTTTGGTAGTGCTAAGGCATAATGGCTTCCAGTTTCGTTCACGACTACTACCAACTGCGTATTGGTATTCTGAGCTGGTGGTGTAGATTTGACAGGTGTTATAGAGATCCCTCCTTGATTCATACGTTGAAGTATTTGTGGAGGAATTCTGCTTTTCATTACTGTGACGTCCGATGTAACTGTTGGCTTTTGCCTAGTCTGCACGGTGTTTTTCTTAGGTATAGTCTTTGCCTTTTCCGCTTCAGTCTCAGGACTGGTTTTTTCTGTAATGATCATCTCAATTTCATCGTCGCTGTCGCTAAGAACGATTAAAGAAGTGGTTTTTTGACCGGTGTTTACCGGAGGTGTGTTTGATTTTCTCGGTTTCAACATTTTAACAGATGTGTTAGGAGTGCGCTGAACGTTTTTCACGACCCTGGGTCGAGCCGCGTTTCCTCTTACAGGTGTATTACTTTTCGTAACAGCTCCATTAAGATGTGGATAATTCTGTTTCGATGCAAGATACCTATTTTGCGAAGACTTAGTTACTGAAGTGGAATTAGAATGAACTGGAAACGTAGGATTCTCAGGAACATTCTGCGAAATAATCTGTTGATTTGTTGTAGCTATATATTGAGATTGAGGTTGAGTTGTCGTTACCATGTAAGGTACATAACTGGAATGATTGATAAACTGCTGCGGTGCTATCATTTGCGGTCCTTGGGGTTGAAATGGATGAGAAGGTACGAAATTATTCTGTGGATTCTGGATAATATAATTTTGTGCCCCTTGTACGTAATAACCTTGCTGAATTGGAGGTATGATACTCGAGACCATCGGACCAGACTGCACGATCGCATTTTGTGGAACGACGGTTGCAGAATTTGGTTGCATCACATAATAATTCATTGGATTCGGCTCAGTCTTCAGCATTACATAGTTAGAATTAACCGTGTAACTGCTATCAAAGCTCGGCGCAGAATCGTAAATAGGGCCTTCGTCTTTGATGTCCAGTTCAGAATGCACGCTCACGACATTTTCTACTTTGCAATTTACTCCCGTGAAAAGCACTGGTTCTTTAGAATTATTTACTACTACAGCCTCCTGGTTCTCTATCGTACTGTTGCTGTTAGAAGGTTCTGAGTTCGTCGGTATCTTTGGTTTGCATATTTGGATTTCTTTGATTTTAGGACTTTCCTTTTCATTACTAATCTTGTGAGGAGGAGTTAATTTTGATTCTGCCGCGTCTTGGAGAGCATCAATTTTGATACTTTGTAATTTGTGTTGAAAAGACTTCAATCTTCGATTGGCAGCTGTAATAGTATAATTTTCATTATGATTGTTTTATAATGTTTTTCAAAATCGGTTCAATTTTCAAGTATTTACTGAACTATCATTAAAATGTTAATCATAATAATTATTTATGTTGGAATGCTTACACGGACGTTTATTTTTCCGTTTGCGAGAGCTTGGTAGAATCCAATCTTGGTCTGAGTCCTCCTCTTCGTTCGCCCGATCATTAGCGTGTCTGACTTTCGGAGTAAGGTATGAAGTGGATGAACCTGTCTGTGCGCTGGGAGCCGCATACACGGCCTCAACGTCGGTCCATTCTTCCAGCTCGTTCTCCTCGATGTCGTCATCTGAATAAAGTTGTTCTGTGTATGATGAAATGCCTCGGGCTCGCAATACTCTTCGCGTTTGTTGTTCTGCTTTCATAATAAAAAATTAATCAATTATCATATTAAAACTAAATTATTTTGTTAATTGCTTTTATATCTCTACCTTCTTCGCTTGAATCTTCCTTCGTCTCTTCCTCAGTTCCTGCGTTTTCTTGACCGTTGCTTTTGTTTCTTTCAGACTGTTCTCTTTGTGTTTGGTTTTGTGAACTTTCATATTGAGATTCTTTGCACTCTGGATCGACGTTTTTACTACGTTCTGCGTTACTAATGCTTTCCTCTTCGTTGGGGACGTTTTGGAAGCTAGCTGAGGATATGGTAGATTGCGGTAACGTTTGTAACGTTGCGTCTCCGGAATTTGGCAACTGACAGCCCTGCGATCCAACAACCCACCAATTAGAGCCGAGACCCTCCCCAGATGAGTCCTGATCCTCCGCACTGCTACAACATACAACAACTTATCTATCATATACGCTCGACAATAAAAGCAACGTTACTGAAAGAATGTGGATGAGTTCCACTTTACGGATCAGATACAGATTGTAGCAAGTTCAAGAGGTTTCAGGCAAAATGAACCTTTTAATCTGGGAATATGAAAGATTGTGCAAATCCAGCACACATATATATTTTTCTATCTTTCAAAATTATTACTGTTAATTCCCAGATTAAATTTGTTGAGATGTAATGAATGTAAATGATATTGTTTAATTTAATACAAAGCATATATACCCTTCTTTAAAGTTAGTCCATTCCTTTTGAAGCTTTCCTCTAGCTCTCTTCGTCGAGTCTCGCAAAGCTGGTTCAATTTCTTCCAAAGAAGATAATAACTCTGTCATTCTTTTGACTAATTTTATTTCACATGGTGGTATTAGTTCAGTCTAAAGACATAAAAGGTCAGTCAAGAAAGAAATTATAAGAAAATGATTTTAAGTAAAATGATTACATACTTCGCCGTCAGTATCAATACTTGGATTGCTATTTTTTGAAAACGTAGAAATAAGGTCTCTTAATGAACTAACACTGTCAGCTACTAGTTGAAATTTTGAAACGCTAAGTTCCGAAAGCATCGCATTGAAATTCTCTGTTCTTTGTTTCCATCTTTCTAATTTTGAATGCCTCGATTTCCTAAGATTGTATTTAACCTCGCTGTTCTCGTCAAAAGAGAAATCATCGTCCATCGCTTCCTTTTGTAACATACTTCTTAATTCGCTCAGAGAAAGATCTTTATCGTTAGATACTGTTTCATCTTTACATGTCTGGTCCAACTGTTCGTTACTCAATTTTTGTTCTTTAATAAATCTTCCATTCCGTCTAGTAATTCTAGTTTCCATTTTTTCTTCGGAAAGGCTAGCATCATCTTCTTGCTTAAAAACGTGTGTTCTCGTCTCACTTAATTTTTCATCGTCGGATTTCGACGTAATAGATATTCGACGCGTCTCTCTAACATCACAAATGTTGTTTGAACTTTTATCATTTAGTTTCAAGTTTTCTCCACTGATAATTTCATTTAGCTTTTCATCATCTGTTTTGGAGATACTAGATAAGTTGTCAATAGTTCTTTCAACAGAATCGTTCCTATTTATATGTAGATCCATTGCATCTAAATATTGCTGCTTCGTTGAATTTAACTTCAATTTATCTTGCGAAACGTGTGTCAAAGACATGCCGTTGTCTTCTGCGCTTTTCTCTTCGCTAGTTCCCGATTTTAGGTCGTTCAAAAGTCCGTTGATTATGTCTATATTATATTTAATGTTATTACTATTATTAGAAAATCCCTTAAACATTTTTTGGGATGATCTCTTACCGGGAAGACCCCGAATAGAATTATTCGTATCATAACCATTCGAGTTTGTACTTTTACAACATGTTTTATCAGATGCAGTGCTTATTTCCGAACATTTCGACGAACTTCTCGATCTCTCCATGTTGATAGTTAGATCTAAGTTAATATTATTATTATTATTATTTTTATTATTATTATTACTACTACTACTACTACTACTACTACTATTATTATTATTACTACTACTACTATTAGTGTTATTACTGTTATTATTATTACTATTGCTATTATTGTTATTACTACAGGTGCTTGTACTACTAAAATTCGTGTCTTCGTTTGTCAACGAGCCTATTGCACTATCGCTACTGCACTTGCAGTCGTTCAGATGTTTTTCATCAGATTTACTTGTCTTTCTCCTCGATTTCGGAGGCAATCCGTTACTCCATCGGGATTTTCTTTTTCTATGTTTGGTCTTCTTTTTTATTAATTCATTTGAAACTAATACTTTGTTTTCTAATTCCGTCTTTTGTTTTGGTTTGATTGGCTAAAAGAAAAATAGTATAAAAGGATACATAAGAAACATAAGTAACACAGACAAAATTGAAGTAAAAATTCTCAGTGGATAACCTTACCTTCACTGTGGATAATATTTTATTATCGAGACAATGTCTATAAACTCTCAGATCACTTTTAAGAAATTGTGGAAAGTAAATATATCTTGCACCATAACGATCGGTACCTAGAACGGTTTCAAACTGATCTTCCATTGGTTGTTTAGCTACCTCTTCTTGCACAGTTTTTCTAGAGTGCTAAAAATTGTATTTTATATTTTTCACTGTTAAAATATTTACTAATTAAATTAAATTCGAGTTTATCGCAACGGTTTCATGTATCTTAAGTAATAGTGCAAAACTCTGAAATTTTTAATCTTTGGGATTTGATTTTTTTCATCATACGTAAAACTGCTTCTTTTTCTGTATTTTTGCATACCATGACTGTATCACAGACGGTTTTTAAAAGCCAAACTTTCTGTTTGAAAGTTAACTCCTCAAAATCCTTGCCATTTAGCAGAGGAGCGTCAGGGAAGATATTCCAGAATTCCGGCTCCACACCGATAGTTTCTAGAATCTAAAAACTTTCATTACATTTCTGATCGCTGTAATATAAAACATCCGTGTATGTAATTTAAATAAATGATAATATTTATACAGATGATTTGTATTATTTTGTAATAAGTGATGACACAGAAGTGACATCATTATCACGAAGCACACAGACGACATACACTTACCTTTACCGCATTCTGATGTTTAGCTTCGTACATTTTGAACCAGCTCTTCATCTTGTACGCAAGAATGTTTGTCCAGAATTCATATGGCATCGGTGGTATTTTCCTTAACTTTGCTTTGGTCATAGGAGAACTGTTATATTAATTAAAAACTTTCTTAATTTCACGAAAGTGAAAGTGATCAGCTTGATAAAAATACTTGGAATATTTGATATCTTATTTATTTTATCTAATACAATTTTATATAGAAAAGAAATACTAAACACGTTTCGATTTTTCTTTTTTAGTATCTTTTGCAAGTATCTACGAGTTTAGTTACACATTATTTTACCTCAACAATGATGTCATGATGTTTGCTAGCTGTTTGGAAGCTCTAGGTATCAAAAGCATACGTTCCATCTCGTACATGGACAAGTGAGGTATGTTCAGAGCTTCTTTTGCTAGATGAAGGAAATGGAATATCTGCGGAATCTGAAACGATTAAACGTTACAAAAGAGAATTTATAATTAGAATATAAGCAATAGAAATATGTACCTCCCACATGGATTCCATTTCGTTTCTTATTTCCTCTGGAAAAATATTCTCCTGTTCCCAGTCAACCATCGACTGTTCCTCTTCCTCCAACTTCCGTTTCTTATTCTTCTTCGACATTTCTGTAACTTAAATTAAGAAAAACGACATTTGAACCTAACTTTTACAAATATAACTAAATAACTCTTGAAAAATATCTAAATTTCTGCAAAAAATTTACTTTAACAAAATAAATATATTTTCTTAAAATAAGAATAATATAAAAATAATATAATATAATATAATAATATCTATTTTCTTAATATAGTTGAATACGCAAATTATTGGAGTCGATCGCGTGTCTTTGTTTATATCACTTGGTGCCAAAGTCACTCACTAACTTGACTTGTTGATGGATTTATTATTCAAGAAATTTAACTGTTTCTGCTTGATTCAGACAGGTAATTTTGTCTGAATAACTAATTGTAAGCTAACGACGGCTGAGTTCGCTTAGCTGAATACTGACTGTCCAATTGATTTAATTGAATAATCACTAACATGACTTACTGTGGATCCCTGACTAAAATCCCTGACTGGACTAATTACTAATTGTATTGGCTGATTGAACTGATGAATGAGTCAACTTGATCACTGAATTACAAGTCATTGATTGCGACTTGCCCAAAGTCCTCTTATATAAGATCTTTTAAGGAGTCATTTGCTAAAGGACTGAAAAATTATGTCATGGACATATCAAGACCAATCAAGAAATACGGGAGAGGTTTCTAAAATTTCTCATTACTGAGAGTAAGATTGACTTGCATGGGTTGACATTGGAAAATGTAGATCCCATTATCTTCTGGAAACTATCCAGTTGCCTGCACAATACTTTCAAGACACGGCAACTATTATACGAAAAAAATTCCTCGCACTCAAAACTAACTCATTGTCAGTTGTAAATTTTCTAAATTGTTTATACGTAAGGGATGCGAAAGATGTATAAATCTCTGAATCGTCCATGTTATAAATCGTTGGCCTTAACATTCTTATTAATTAAATTTTAAAATATTTTTAAACGGCATTATTTGTAAGAAAAGAAGAATTCACAAACGTTTTGACCATGTATTAGAGAAAGAAAAAGGAAGGAAGATGGAAAAATAAATATAATCAGGATTTCTATGCTAATTGTAAAATGACGCTGTTCTTATTTTACAATTATATAATATTGCATATTCAAAACTATTTGTGTCTTATTATCGTAGATGCACCATTAATTAGATAGAATCGTATGCAATTTGAAAAACTGCTACCATTTCGCAATCACTGTCATCTCTTACAACGTTTTTTAACACAAAGCAAACAACGATGACCTACTACCGACCAATGAATGTCAATGTAATTTTACATACAAGTGTAAGTACACTTCTCAACGTTGTGTATTACATTATCTATCCTTTAGATTAGGTCTCTTTCATACACCCCATAAAAGTTTCATGATGCTCGTTTTTCGTGCTTGAATGTCGAAGGTAATATTTGCACGATAACGCGAATAAATGTTGCTTAACCGTGAGTACGCTAGTTCCGCAAACATTTGCACTTCGCAATCAACAACAGAACGTTCCATCGTATAGATAATTGCTGTATACATTTTTCAAGTACGCAGTCGAATGATTACTATAAGATGCGATTATCGATTATCATAATTATATGCAAGGTAATTGTTTAAGTATAAATATTTTATTCGTTTGTGCTGCAACTACGTAAACGCCAGAAACTATTGCATAGAATATACGAAAATTTCATTTGACAATTCAATTTCAATCTACAGGATATTTTATAAATGATGATTATGCCTGATGTTTATAAACAGAAAATTCAAATAAACTGTTATTATTATTAGTTAGATATTTATGCAAAGTTATATTTTTAAAAATAGTTTTTAATGTGTTTAGAAAAATACATTCTAAAAACATGAAACGCTTAGTTTGAAAATGTTATAGGCATCTTTCAAATTTTTACGTATGTAAATTTCCTATAAATACTCATAAATATTCAGTCATTTTAAAAAAGAAAACGAAACAGAAAGTAAAAAATAAAGAAAAAAAAGAAGAAAAATAATTTATATTTCTGATGGATTCTATTTAAAATTCACGTTAATCTTTAACAAAGTCTTTTTTCAAGTCCGCATATATGTATAGTAATTTCTTATCGCTCCTTTCATTCTTATATCTAGAAGTTATAAGTTATAACTTATACAATAAATGGTCGCGTGCATAGTTGTTTAATATTAATTAGTCGATACTCTTCTTATAATTATTTTACTCTCAATAGCTAGTAAATGTAATTTTCACTCGCGTGAAAGGATCACCGATGCGCTTGTGACTTCCTTCTATCTTGCTAAAAAATCATACTCCATCAAGGTCATCTTTGCGATTTGATCTACGCAGAATTGATAACATTGATAAATATGTTCTTCGAATGGCCTTGTGTCTCGTTTCCATCATTGTGTAAGACGTAAGACTTCTCTTTTCAGGAAACGTTTAGAATAACATGTTCAGTATGACATAGAATTTATCATTCTTGTTATTTTTAATAATAATAAACTGAAAAAAATTAAGCAAATGAATATTATATGTATTATAACATAATTATAATATATGTAGTATATCATAATGTTGATTCATCATTTCAAATAAAAAGATGTAACTAATTGTTACATTGCGGATTTTTATGCATTTATAGGAAATTTACAAGGTGCACGAATGCACGTAGTGTTCTATAAAATATTTGAAGTATAATGCTTTACATTTAATAGCTTTATTTTTTAAATCATATTTATAAATTTGCATAGAAGTCCGCAGTCTACTAATTATAAAAACTAAAGACTAAATGTACAGTCTATACTAGTGAATAAAACTTTTGCTTTTACTAAGCTTTTTTAAAAATTCAAATTTTCAAAGTGTTCAAACTTTCTTTTATCTAGGAATTTTGAATTTAACCCATCAATTGATAACTTTTTCTTTTAAACTTTTAATTAACATATAACATGTTCCTAATATAAGAAGTAGTTCGTTAAAGTTTGAAAATCAATAAAAGGAAATTTCCACGAATGAAAGAATAAACGATGCTATGAAATTAAGACAAGTAAAAAGGAGAAAAACCACCCATAATGTTAAAAAAGAAAGCGAGTAAAAATTTCCACGAATCATATTCTCCATCACTCTTCAACCAAATTATACGATTTAGATCTTTCTTAGAGCACGATAAAAAAGTCATTTACAATTATCTGTGTCATCGCGTTGGTATTCACTAAAGACAACAGACAGCCATTGACACGTAAAGATCCTGTCCAAGCGAGTTAAAAGGATGTCCATGTTGGTGTCCACCCCCAGTAGGTTGACAGACATCTTTCATCGATACTTGGAAGGACCAACATCGTCAAGTTGACACACTTTCCGTCAGTCGGTCTAATTGCGCGAAAACATCGTCTGACAAGACAAAAAGCTCTTCATCACGAATTAAAAATTACATTTTTAGTATCACACTCATAGCGCTTGTAAACGGCTCTTGTGTCTTTTTCGTAGATTTGTCATCTTTTTTTCTAAATTCAAAAAAGTGGAGATCTTATTTTTCTCTTGGAAATAAAGTTTAACTTCTCCTTTTGTATTTTTAGGTAAATAATACTGATACTCTTGTGTATTCGTATTTATTTAGAAGGTGTTGGTCGAAAAGTAAAATGTGAAAAATCTTTTGAAATATCATGTCTTAGTCATGCTTTATTAGAGTGTATGTTATATCATTTTTATGAAGTGAGAACAGGGTGAGTCATTATGCTTTGTTTTTTTAAGGGACTGATGCAATTGTTTAAATGTTTCTTATGAATCAATATAATATTAATATAATTCTTTGTTTAAAAAAATACTACATACAAAATACAAAACAACATACAAAAAAAAAATATTTTCATAAAAAGTTCTACCCTTTTCTCAATTGACATTTTTTATGATTTTTAAAATTACTAGCATTTCTTTTTAAATAGAAACGTATTCTATTAATAAAAACCTCACATTCTTTATCGCGAACATGTTAAAGACTACTGATTAAATTCAGATATTAAGTAACGATAATCCAGTTTCATATCTTTTTTGAAACGGTTTTATTACATTATCAGACGAAGAAATTATGCCAAAAATTGAAGGAATTTATACTCAAAAGTTGAGAATTGATGATAAATTGTTGAGAATGTGAATTTTTTGTAATAACGAAGCATAAAGCAATATGGATAGTAATCGGACAATCCAGACTATCGATGCAATGCCGATAAAGCTGTACTATCGGCAATATTCGAAATCAGAGGATGAGGACAAGGTAGAACCGATCGAAACCGCTTACAGGACAATCGACACGGCGACGTTGAATTATTTGAAGAATCACGATCCCAATATACCTTACCCAATTAACACTGTACATCTGCAGAACCCGTACAAACATCCTCTAAAATTCGAAGGATACGCTACTGGAGAGATTTTCAAAGTTCGACCAGCTTCGTTCAAGGTAATGTAATCACAGTGGAACTTCACTAGAGTAAAATTTTAGTTAATTGAACTTCTTATTGGGAGACCGATTCTATTTATCTGGAACATCAATTTCTATTATTTACGAGAAATAAAATCGATTAGAATTTTGTTAAAATCCTGTTTTTTAATATTATAATTATATTTATAAATTTTAAAATTTGTTAAAAATTTATATGTATATGTTTCTGTATTGTTTTGTGGATTATTTTATTAACGAGGAATTGATATTTTTCCTTAATGCACAACAGTTGTTCTTTTGTGTGAAGTAAGAATTTTCTATAAATCTTCTCTTTTGTGCAAATTAAAGATTATGTACCGCTCGAAGGATACAACGTTGAGGTCCAGATACAATAAGAACAAATTTATCAAAAAAGAAAGCCCTTTGACGCAACATTACGATTATGATGATGATAAGGGTATAAGGTAATAATAGTACATTATGATGTTATAATATATCTCAGAAATGAAAATATTTTAATATTTTTCCGATTTAGTAAAAATGAAAATCAACGATGGACGAAGCTTACGAATATTATGAAACAATACTGTATGAATAGTACTCTTCATGGTTTGCGTTATGTGGGAGACTCGAGCTTATCTATTGTCGAAAGGTAACTTTTTGCATTTGAATTAATTGTTAACCATGTTATTTAATACGCGAACAAATTTTTAAAATCGAAATAAAAAGAAAAATTTGTATTTTCTAGTTAAATATTGGATTTTGAAATATTCTACAATAATTTAATTTTTAATTTTAAATATGATTATTTAAGTATTTTGTCCAACTTGTTTTGTCCATTATTCATTAAAATGTCACAATTTTTCGAATGTTGAGAAGATTCAAATATTTATTAGATTACACAATTGAAAAATTAATTAATACCTCTTTACAGAATCTTCTGGATAATTTCCTTTACATTAGCGGTCTTAACAGCCGCTTATTATATATGGTTTCTATATCAAAGGTGGGTCTCGACACCCATTATTATCGCTCTCAGTCCAGAATCAGTATCCCTGGATCAGTTTCCGTTCCCTTCGGTTACCATTTGTAACATGAATAATGTGAAAAAGAGCGAGGCAACTCGCATAAATGCTGGGTGAGTTGTTTTCGAGCAACGTTGTTTTATAAAATTCTAACAGAAAATAAAAATAAAAGAAAAGATATATAAAAAAAAGATATGTATAAAAGATAAAAGAAAAAATAAAGATAAAAAAAATAAATTTAAAAAAAAATCCATATTTTACTAAAATTTTTTGATAATAAAATTTGTACATTTTAATTAAGATTTAAATAATGAATTTTCGATTTTGTATTCTATTGAAATATCGTTGAAAGATATAAATTAGAAGGAAGATTTATTGCAATGAATAATATTTAATAACAGGAACGATACACGAAAGAAACTATTATTGGACGATATGTGCAGTATTGAGAATAGCTCGACTCTCAATCGAGTCAATGAAAACACGATAACTTGGGACAACATCCTTCATTTCATGGTCAATGTATGTAACATACAGTGAATTGCACATATGGTTTATAAGAATCTCATGATAGTAATGATAGATCTTATTCCTCAAATTTATTTGTTTTGTGATTTCGAAGTGTTTTGATTTCATTTTGCGAATTATACATACATATATATATATATATAAATTAAGCACTTATTCAAGATATTTACCTCATTACATATTTACAATAGGTGTCACAATCTTGCACAGAGATGCTACATTTGTGTAAATGGAATGGGAATGTTACTGATTGCGAGAAAATTTTTAATCCCACTCTGACAGACGAAGGAATGTGTTGTAATTTCAACTCCGTTGAGAGGAAATACTTGTTTTACAACCCGTAAGTAAATTGCAGAAATAATAATTTTCATTCAAAATTAAAATTTTTCTTTGCATTTGATCATTTCATTCCAATAATTTAATCAAATCCTTTATGATCTTCTATAATTTTTAAAACTCTTCTGTTATACCGATTTTTTTAAGGATCCTTTTATAAATTTAGATTGCATATTTGTGTTTGATGATGTTCCCTCCATTCCCAATAAACTGAATTTGCAGACGTGACTGGTCTGACATCAATATGACGTTTCCATTCAATAATAGCATCGACTGGAATCCCGAAACCGGATACGACGAAGACGTACCGCCAGATTCCCTTCCATGGAGACCGTATGGTGCTGGACAATTCTATGGTCTGACTCTGGTTCTTGATGTAGATATGGATGAATACTACTGTTCGTCCACCGCTAGCGTTGGTTTCAAGGTATACTATATCTCAAATCATGAAATTGATCTGGATATTTTAGTCTTATAAATACTATCCATTATACTAATTTACCAATTGTTATAGTTGATCAATTTGTCATTATCTGCTACTAATTGCTACTAGTTGCTCAACAATTACTATGATCTAAAACTATATCATAACTAATGTAACGTTTAAAAATTTCTACTATTTTGACATTATATATAACAAATGTATATGTGAAATGTATAATAAAGATAAAAATAAGAATATCTTGAAAACAAATATTTGTTGATAAAATAAATTTTTTGGAATTTTTTTTTTGAAGTATATTCAGTTGTCTTTTTCGTTTTGGTGACTTTTTTGCATTTTCGGCAAGTTTTTGTGATTTCCGTCAAAAATGGATATGATATTCGCATTCAACACGTCAAAACGAATAGAATGATGTATCATACGTGCTATGTAAGATTGATGGAAGCAACGATGAAGTTCACCTCAGTAATGTTTTTACAGATGTTGCTGCATAATCCGGTGGAAACACCAAAGATCGCCGAATTTGCGTTCACTCTCACTCCGGGTGAAGAGACTAGAGTAATCGTAGCGCCCAGAATATCAGCCGCCAGCAAGTCAATAATTAACATCCCTCTGAAAAAGAGGAAGTGCTTCTTCACTTCTGAGAGGAAGTTACGTTACTACAGGACCTATACACAAAGGAACTGCGTCCTCGAGTGCGAAGCGAACTTCACACAGAAGAACTGTCATTGTGTCCAGTATTACATGCCCAGTAATTTTTTTTATGAATCTTTTCTAGTAATTGAAATGATGATCAATCGCCAAACATTTGTTTACTATTCAATTTTATAGTTACTTAATTATTATTCTACCTTCGAAGCTAAATAATTAAGGATTATTTCTCAGAATGTTTCTTTACTATGTCAGATTTTAATGAGCTTCTAAATTACTCTCTACCAAAATTGAATATTAATAATCCCCTTGATCTTATTCTAGCAATTTTTTTCACTACTTTAAAAAGGCAAACAAAGTTAATCCTATATCTAGATTTTAGCCATCAAATGGATTTATTGTTTGTTCCTAGAATCTTCCAACACACAAATCTGTGAGAAGAAAGATGACAACTGCGCAACAAAAGCTCGCAGAGCAATGGAAATGAAACTTTACGATGACAATATAGTAGTAGGCAACTTAAATGTCTCTGAAACGTGAGTGATTACATAGATTCTTTAACCAGAAGATTTTATTGAAACAAAAATCGAAATCAACTTCTATCTTTCACAGACCCAGTTGTAATTGTTATCCGGGATGCTTCGAGATCGGTTACAACGTAGAAATCTCACAAAGCAAATTGGTGCCTACTTTCATCATTCCTGACGTCTACGTGAAGAAAAATAAAGACTATTTCGCGTAATTCTATTTGTTCCTTTGATTTAAGACAATTCATATTGTTAATTAATCAATGATAATGATTGAAATGACTTTTCTTTTCACTAGTAAAAACATGGCGGTGGTTCACCTGTTTTTCGTCGATTCTCAATTCACGAAGTATATGAAAAACGAATTGTTTGGTTTCACAGAATTTCTATGTAAGTATGTTTCAATCTTTTTTTTTTTTTTTTAGTGTAATATAGTCTGTCTTACAAGAACGTACTGGCGATATCTCTGAAAAAATTGGTGTATTTCTTGCAAATATACCAGTATGTTCTTGTCAGATAGACTTATATGTCATTCATAATAGTGAAGCTTTTAATTAAACTGACGATCAAAATGCTGACTGGGTCTAAACACTAGAGGGCTTTCCAGCGTTATCTATTCGCATGTTTCTATCTAATCCTCTCTCGTTAGTTCACGTGAATCTCTTGGGTTTAGTTCCAGTATCGATCGTACTGTATAAACTTTGTAATATTAGAAATTTGTTATGATAATAGCAATTTAACAATATAAAAATATAATTAACAAAGAGAATAAACAAAATAATTAATAAATGTTTTTTATATTGTCAACTGTTATAAATGAAAGACAACAAATAATATAACCGTGCAAAATGATGCCTTTCAAATATTTTCTTCGCATTTGTTCCATTTTGTTCTCTATCGCTTTAGCAATATTTAATATTTAACACAACATGATTATTATAATATATTCAAGCTTTAGCAAAAAACTTCATTAATGTTTGAAGGTATTAAAATAGAATAATATAGTGACACTAAAATAGAACTGCCACGTCAATCATGCGCTTCATAGAGTAATACGAATCAATTAAAAAATCGAAAACGAAAAGCAATGAAAATGGAATAATATAAAAATAATATTTAATATTTTTTAAATTTTCAGCTATATTAAAAAAAAATACTAATTATAATTTGAACGAATTTGCTTTTCATAATCTTAAATTCGACAGAATGTTTAAAAGTTGCGGTTGAACAGATGTGGCATACATAAAATGTTCTTCAGTCGTTCAGAACTCTAATGAAGTTGTTAAGTACTACGAAGTAGCGAAATGTGACAAAAGCATATAATTCATAATTGTAAGAAACTATTGAAAAGCTCAAGGATCTAATTTAAACAATCATTTGTGCACAGCTAGCACCGGTGGCTTGTTGGGCCTCTTCATGGGCTTTAGTTTCCTCTCTTTGGTGGAAATTGTGTATTTCGTGACATTACGGCTTTGGTGTCGCGTGTACAAAAGCAGGCACGCTCCTCGTGACAATATTCTTCACGTGCAACCATTCGATTCGAGTACTAACCTCGTTTACCCTTTTGTACAATGACTTACTTCGACTCTTTTATTTTGAAAAAAAAAAGATTATTGTCATTAGTGTGTAGATGCATGTTTGATTCATGAAAAATACACGATATTACATAACTTGTATGATGAATTTCTAAAAATGTACTTGCAAAGAATATATTTAAATATATAATGTGATTCTCATAACTGACGTATCCAATTGCATTGTTTCATCATTATTCAAGATTTCTATTGTTCCATATGTAGTACGAATTAATAACTAACTGAAGTAATGTTTCACACAAATAAGATTATAAATATAATTCTTAATTTTCCAATACACTAAAATAATTTAATAGATTTCAAATTATATTTCAATTGTATATCAAATTATATATCAAATTATCTAAAATTTTCAGGAATTATATTAATATAACTTAATTTTGTAGACAAAATGGGTTGAATATAATATAAAATTTCTCTTCCTCTAGTAAATATATAAAATGCATAAGATGTTACTAATATAACAAACTAAATAATTTATTAATATAATTTCTGAAACATGTATATTCATATACATTTATAATTATGTTATAAATTCATATTGAAGAATGATATGTATAAATACATATAACATATTAATCATTACAAAATTTTGATGAATTTGAAAAAAAAATATTTACAGCTGTGTTTACAAATGCTTTCATAAGTATTTACCAGTTTTCTTATGTGTTTATATGTGAATTGGCGAGATATATGTATATGAATTGGTTCGTACACGTTACGATAATTCGTAAATATATACATACACGTTTATATCTTAATTTCAAATTAAATTTTGAAATTATATATGAAAGTGATTCTAACTTCGGTAACAATAATTTCTAGCTTTATGTTATTAGTGTAAATAACCACTATTAATCATAGTGTGTTTAAAGTAAACAGTACTTTGTATGTGTTGAGTTTTATATTAAACTTTTATAATAGAATAAAAAGAGCAATAAAGATAATTATGTTGCATGAGCTTCACTATAATTGATCTAGTCATTTTATAAATACCTTCGCGACATTGTACATATATGCCACACGAGGTAACTACCATACTGTGTTATAAACAATTACAACTTGTCATCGCAATATAATAATTAAAACACGTAACAAATTAAAAATATCAGATTTTTACTTACTTATAACAGTATAAAGTTAATTGTCACTTTTCTAAATTATTTACTATTGAGTTTAGAAAATCATAGCAATGTTATTTCGAAAGATAGATATCTTGTGAAATAACTTACCTTTGGCGTTAGACTCTCAATGAAATTTTAACCGTAGTCGGGTAACATCCTCGGGAATATGTTAACGTGATGACAAGATGCTATGGTAATTCGAAAGTGGTTGCACTGCACAAATCTCGAACACTTAATCACTAAACAGAACTCGATATTCTCCACGACGCCATGTTTATTCAACTACGACACGGGCGTGACTAAATTCACTCACCGTCATAGCTAGTGTCACGTCGTTCATCGAACTGTTTGCGCATGAGCGTTACGATCCGCGCGAACTTTCAAACTTCCCCATTTTTCAAATTATTTATCTTCATTCAATTGTCGATTTTACTGAATTTAATTATTAGTAAACATAAAATATTATAAAATCTCCCGAAGTTCAACATTAAAAGTGTGTGTGCGTGCGTGCGTGTGTGTGAAATTATAATCTGAAAAAATAAATGAACATTGCAATGAATAAAAATAAAATTTTCAAGAATATATAAAAATTTTCTTGGTTGAATAAAAGCAATCGATTATTAAAATTATTGTAATCCAGGCGTATTAAACTTTGCACACGCCATCTACTGAATAAAATTGACGTAAATCTTCAAAAATGAAAATGTCCCGTGGACATCATTTATTATTATACCTAAAGTCTGATATAATCGTGCGCTAACTTTTTAATCGGTACGGTTCTTATCTAGGCAATAATCAATATGATACATGTTACATTCAAAATTATAATTCTAGTTATATTGACAGCAGACTAATCTAAAGTGACAATCTTTTTTTCCTTTATGACTGTTTTTTTCATACAAAACGGTGTTCAAGCGTGTACACGTAATTATTGCGTACACGCGCATTTCACAAGTTTTTTCATAGTGGCTTTATCCACCGCACAATATTTTTATCGTATATTGTTTAGTTTCATTTTATAAATGATCCTTTTTTTTTCCTTTCAATATCGTTCAAAATTAAAGAAGAATAAAGAATGTTTAAGTTCTTTTTTCTCACAATATCAGACAGTTTTAAAAACAAAAACTCGTATAGAAATCGAAGCCAAAGGAAAACGAAAGATTGAAACTTAGTTTTAAAAGAGCGCATCGTGGAATACAATTCGCTTCATCTATAACATGTTACATGATAAAAGTAAAATCTTTTTTCTTTTTTAATTACAATTCTCTTTATCCGGCATTCTCACGTGGCGGATGGCAAAAATACCGAGATTGATCGTTCGTCATTTACAATATTCATGGAACAAAATATTCCCGATATTCTTACGAATTCGACGATGAGTATACCGACGAATCATTAAGATCCTTTGTGAAAAAGACCAAAATAATTCATCTTTCTTGATCATCGTAATCATATCGTTATCACCATCCTCATTATCATTCTCATCAGCATCATCATCAGTATCATTATCATCATCTTACAATTTTATATATAACTTTACACTCCTACTATAGTTTAGCTTATTAGAAAGTGCGTAGATTTTCAAAAATTTTTTTTACAATGGCAAATGAAAAAATATCTCGATAGATACCCAGAAAATAAATTATTACGTTAAATATACAGTCTCATGTCGTGTTTACCAATGTTCCTTTCTTTTTTTAATTTTCTTGTCGTCACGATAGAAAATTACAAGATTCCTTTATTTTATTTTTTCTCCTATCTTCTTGTTTCTTGTATTATTATTTATTATTATGTTCTTTTTTTCCTTCGAAAAGTAGGATGTTTCCTTATTATTTTACAAAGAGGCCATTTTCGACTCTTCCCTTCTTTTCACCCAGTCTATCTTCCTTAGAACTCCCGTCTCCTTTCTTCTTCTTTCTCTCTTTTTCTACCACTCGGCCCGCTTTAGAAGACTTAACAATACGACAATGAACAGATAATTTAATAGGAACGTGTTTTATTATCAAAAATTCGTATGATCAGCATTATTGCCCATACAACGTGGTGTCATGTAAAAATTAATCTACATCGCGATAGGACTGCATATTTCCTTGTTTTTCCTTCTGTTTATCCTTCCTCTTCTTTTTCCTTTTTTTAAATTATGAAATCTGAAAATTTCACGCTATATTTTAGTTTTATTCATGATTTCCTTTCTTCTCTCTTCCACCATTTTCCATCGTTTTAAATTTTTACGAATAATTGCAGTATAATCAGTACCGTATATTCTATACTCGTAATGTTTCCCCCTTTTTCTATTTCTTGTTTTTTTTCTTACTTGTTCTTTTTCTTTTGGCTAGACGACGAATATTGTTATCAAAAGGAGAGAGAAAAATGAAAAGAATACGAACCGGAAAAAAAGAAGAGAATCGCAAAAAGTTTGTTTTCTCTTTGCACGTTATCTGCAGTGTTTTCACGAAGATAGTTTTGTACAAAAACCCTTCGTCTTTCCTTCGAGCACGGACGAAAAATCTGTACACGTTACAAGACTTATACAATATATACTTATATAAAGTTTTTTTTACGTATATTCGCCTGTTTAATCCTTATCTGGATATCGACTTCACTGCGTTACCGTTTATATTATAAAATACTGTTGCAAGGAGAGCCGTTCGTACTTCTTTCTTTTTCTTTTAAAAGCCAGATAAAGATTAATCATTGAGTGAATGGCATGCGCAAATTCATTAAGCCGTCAGTCCTTCGAAATCAACTCGATTGTAAAAGGGTCGAATGTTTTAAGGACACTGATCGTCTTCGATGATTTTTATATCGTCGAAAAGAATTTGTACATTTTCTTATCCGGCGTTTCAATGATTCTTCTTGATGCGATTACAAAAAAGAATTTCTTGGCTTTCACGATGACCCTGAAACCTCGACCCTTAGTTTCTAGAATGATCAAGAAAGGATTCGATGATTAATCAAATTGATCGATACATATCGTAACGCAGAAAAATAAAAATAATTTCGTTTCTTTCTTTCTTTTAAATCCACTTGATTTCACGAGCTTATGTACAACCGAAGAATCGGGTAGTTTAGGATATATTCCCGCTAGGCTCAGGAAGACGCTTCCAGACGTTTTGATTAAAATGGAAGCTCCGAATTTCCGTTTTGTTCGCAGAATATTATCTAAGGAGTCTAATGAAATTTTACAAGAATGTGAAAAGGACAAGTCGGTTCTTCTGTTATAATGAATAAATAATTTGAAAAAAGAGAAAAAAATTGATAGAATTATTGATTTACAAATGGCACTGATTAGTAATTTATTGAATACAATGATCTATGGGGTTGCTTTATAAACAGTTCCGTATCTCCTTCGATAATTTCTACGACACGATTCCTAAAATTACTTATTCACCTAGACTTCATTACTTACAATCCTTATAGACCTTTCTCAGCGATAGGTCTCTTATTTAATGTAGGTACAATATTATAAAACGTACGTTAGTTCGCTCGAAAAACAGGGCCCGATGATCTTTTTCGACACAAGTTTTGCTAATGGTCAATCAGCAAACCAAAACTGTTCAAAACAATTATAAGAATCACTGTATATGAATTTGATTCTGAAAAAATTAGTCGAAATTTAGAAATAACAATAACAAAAAATAACAACAACAAAAACAAATAGAAAGCATTTAAAATATTAAGTTTCCAATTGGAACTTTAGAAAAATTAAATACATTACCAAAATTCCTTGAACCGGAGTTTAATTCTGTAATTATTTTGAGCAGCTGTTTTAAATATCAAATATATTTTATCGTGTTTCAATTCTCAAATAACAATTTTAAATTTTCATCTTAAGACTTAACAGTCTAAGGATCGCTTTTATTTTTCTTTCAACTGTTTTTGTGCTTTCAAATGAAAATGAGTCGTTTAGTAAAACACTAAGATTATATATTAGAGCCCTCCTCTTCGACCCGGCGATATCTATTATAATTATTAATACATATATTTACAAACTCTGCTTTCTTCGAGAATGCTGTTACACAGCAAAATAATAGAGAGAAACAGCACATATTTCGAACATACTAGCTTGGGTGACCATTTACAAGTTTTTATTATCTTCAAAATAATGTGACTAAAGTTTCGAATAAAGGAGTGATAAAAAAATTCAAGCATATCTGCGATTACTATTTGATGAATACGATAATTTAAGAAGAAATTACCATTGCATTGGTAAGCTCAGGAAGAAAGTTTTTTACTACTACTTAGTAATAACGAAAAGTGTTAAAATTTGCGTTTAAAAAGGATGTGATTAAAAAAAAAGAAAAAAATCATGTGTGTATGTGTGTGTGTGCATGTATGTATAATTAAAGAGCGTCAGATGAATGAAAAATTCAGAAAATATCGAAGATAAAAGTTTTTCTAATCTAATCGAAAATACTGTAACAGGTATTATGACCACATTAAAAGTAAATTAAACGTAATAGCATTATCTTTATTTTACAAGTTATAGCGATAAAAACAAAGTAATCCCCAATCCTAGATTTTCCTAGCAAAGATCTTCTATTACTGATTAACGATTTGATTGCAGAGTCGATCACTTTGTTTCGATGGCATTTCTTCTTCGTTAATATTTTAATAATCAGTTATAACATTGTATAAAAAGAACGATTCTTGGGACATGACTGAGCCATATCGTCGTTTGTCCTGCATATGTATCTCTTAGGGTTTATTTATTACAGTAATCATTTATTTTATTCACTTAATTTCAATTTAGTACAAAAACAGTTTAGATGTCGAAAAGTTAAATTTCATTTGGTAATTCGTTCAGTGAATCCAAAAAGAAAAGAAAAAATATTTTTGATTTTATTAATTATTTTCATCAGAAGCAAGATAAGAAAATAATATAAATTTTATTCGAACCGATTAAGGAATATTAAGAAAAGAAATGTGTGTGTGTGTGTGTGTGTGTATATATATATATATACACACACACACACATACACAAACATATGTATATATACATATATTATATTGTGAAAAAAAAAGATGCAATCGATGAAGATGTCCGAAGAACAGTGTATTTTTTTACTTCAAAATGGCATATGTGGTATCCTAATCATCGCCAGTATCACAAGTTACCGATTAGTCGGAGCTCCTTTTTTACTTCTTTTCTGAATTACAACCAAATCGATTTCTGATTCACTGCTATTTTAAGAGTTCGCAGCGACGGTGTTTGGCCATCGCTTTTAACAAATGGGGATATAAAAATTAATTATGTATATATTGTATAGATAACCTAGCCAGCTATTTTGCCGTTACAAACTAGTAACTATTTTAATAACTGATATCCATTATAGTTCACGGCCTTAAAATTATAAAACAGATTAGTCTGCCCGTCGATATTCACTATTTATTGCAGCTCCGTGTGAGATAGAAATCTTCTTTTGTGGTATGTTACTTTTGTCATCTTGATATTCCTTCTTTTATTTTCTTAAATCGTGGTCGTTGTCATTGCAATAACGCAATAATTAATTTTTTTTTTATTGTGATCCCGAATGACTGGACGGAAGAAGGCTCGCTCAAATCGCGATATCGTTCCGTACCACGACTTCCGTTTCATAACATAAAGACGCATGCAAAGATGACAATAGTTCTCGATGACGATTTATGTTTATGTTCTTCATTTTTAAATTTTAATTCCTCTTTTACTTCTTTTGCTTAATTTAATTTAATTGTTAAAAAGAAACAAGATGATCAATATAAATCAATAATCATAATTATCCTTTCACTTAAATTATAATAAACAAGGGCCGAGGTTCAGGCTTTTAAAATAGTTTTTTTTCGTTCTCTTTTAAACTTAATAATATTTGTATATAATTTTAGATCCGTTTTTGAAACGTTTACTTACGCCACTGTCAAATATATATAACATGCACAATTCGTTAGTATTATAGCGATCAGATTACTGCCGCTTCCCGCCTAGCCAAGATCCACTCAAAGCTATCACATGTATTTTTTTTTAATCGTTCAGTGAGTCATGAAACTTAAATATAATTACGGTCACTATAACTTTTTTTTCCATTCAATTTTGTTCAGAGCGAGGGATCCACGAAAATACAAGAAAAATAAACAAAAATTAATTTGTAATTCAACATGCGTAAATCAATAGAACAATGTCATTATCAACGAGTTTGTTATTTGATCCAATGTCAATGTTTCTAAGTAATACGTCTATTTCAAGTGACAAAATATAAAATAGATTTATTACTGTTTTTCCTTTCGTTTCTTCAATTTTTCCCTTTTAATATCGTTTCATATTCATTCACAAAAAATTTTTTTCACACCACTGATGGTCGGGAGAATGTTTCGATTTTATACGAGCCGTTACTCTTCCGAATCACGTTCTATGAAAATTACTCACTCGCGCAAACTATCGCTGAGTCTTTCTTATTCTTTTTTTCTTTTTCTTTTTTAGTGGTACCCTTTTTTTTTCATGCGTATTTATTTAAGATATACCCTCTGTCACCAAATAATCCTCTCACAAAATCTGCACAGAAAGCATGCTGCCAGTCACTCTGGAGACTTGCTTCTTCATCGATGTCATCCACATATCTGTTTGCATTTTTTTTTTTTTTTGTATACGTTTACACATACGTATATCGCATTGTCAGTGTTAATTAATATTTTTTGTTTGTTTGTTTAAAAAAGGTTAAAAAATTAACCCCTTTACCAGCTTCTGAAAGGTATTCTCTAGCTGAATCATTTAGGCTCAGGGAAGGTCACCTGGCACTTGTAGACTTCTTCAAGCATTACTGCTTGTCCTTGACCTTGACTTACAGTAACAGGAGTCGTAGCATTCACTACAACAACCTGTTGACCTTGCTGTGCTTGCTGAGGTTGTTGCTGCTGTTGCTGCTGTTGTTGCTGCTGATTACTCGCATTCGCTTGCTGTGCGTTACTTGGATTATTTGCATTCTGATTTCGGGCAGTTTGACCGTATTTTTCATGGATTGCACGATGACGCTTTAATGCAAAGCGATCGGAAAATCCGATCTCACATATATCACATCTAGGGGACAAACGATATTGATTAAATGCGTAAATTAAGAAAGAAATAATGAAACAATAAAAATACATGCTGTATATTACCTATGTGGTTTTTCACCGGTATGAACTTTCGCGTGATTTTTCAGATGTGTAGCTTGGTTAAAGGCCGAACCGCATATATTACATCTATACGGTTTTTCACCGGTATGAATTCTTCTGTGATTCCAAAGTGTTGAATGTCTAGCGAATGTTTTTTCGCATACTTCACACTGATAAGGACGTTCACCAGAATGAATTCTTTCGTGATTCTTTAAATGAGGACTTTGTGAGAACTGCATACCACAAACACTACATTTAAATGGTTTTTCACCAGTATGCACTCGTCCATGATTTTTTAGATAAGCAGCTATAAGTGAAAAAATAAACATCGTCAGTGTACAATATGATTTACTTTTTTGAAACAAGTTAACAACAGGTTAATTTACATGATTCTATTTTATTCACCTTTTGCAAAAGCTAAGCCACAAACTTCACACTTGAAAGGTTTGTCTCCAGAATGAAGTCTCTTATGGGACCAAAGTGACGAATATCTGGAGAATGTTCCATCACATACGTTGCAATGAAACGGCTTCTCTGCCTGATTTTGACTGTTCTGTTTACCGCCTGTAAATAAAGAAACACCCAAATTCTTAGTTTTCCTCAAAGGGCCAGTTCTACAAAAAGATATGCTTTGAGATGATCGAGTAAATGCTTTGAAGAATTCGAGACACTGGATTGTGTATGGTTTTTTGAAAAATATACTCTTTTTCCTCATATATCTAAAAGAGGACTTCAATGTATAAAAGAGAAATTCTACATTATAGAAATCATTTTATGATGCCAAACTAATGCTTTTGATCAAATGTAACAATATTATGTAGAAATCTGAACATGCGGGTTATGGAAGTTAGTGCAGAAAATAAGAAATGAGGTATGGCATCAGATGTTTGAAATCTGATTTTTGTATTATTATATGTATGTATAGAATAATTAGATATATTGAAAGTATTAAAATGAGCTCCTAATTACCTATGTCTTGAAATAAAGAAAGAATGAACTATATGAACTGAAATCTAAAATAATTTCTCCATTATAACAATACCAAAGATTAGTGAATCAAATTTATAAAACTGTCCCTTAGGGGAGATTTTATTCCGTGCAATGATTCTTAAATATAAATATTGACAATGCTACCATAAAGAAAACAGAATTGATGCAATTAAAATTAAAAATTTTTAATATTATAAGAAACCAGCAAGTGCTGAAGATTTCTGTCTATCTACAACAAATGCATGCAAATAAAATAATGATACTATAAAGAATAAAAGAAGCTTATAATATTAAATTTTCGCAGTATTAAAACATTTATTTTTTTGCCACAAATTCGGGATAGGTAAATATATATTCGAATAGGTAAAACAAATGACGAAAGTGATCCCAAATATTTTTATGAAACGGTAATATGGCATTTAATTTTTTCTTAAATAAAGTATAAGAAGATATAATGACTTTTAAAATTTTCATAATTGTTAGGAAAGCTTAATTGATGTCACCCAATCATCAATAGACGATTCTAAAATATACTATGAAATATAAATCTCTTATTTTTTTGGCTGTATTTTTCCGACTTACTTCCTATGATGATGCGGCCTGTTGCCTTGCAGCCGCCACACTTTGCGAGGGAACTGATTCCAGAATCTAGTTTTTCGTCGTGTTTACCTACCATACACCACCCGATGTACGATCATGATAGTAATGAAATGATAGTAGTACAGGAAAGATGATCATTGTTTAGGAAGAAAAATGTTGTTTTTTTCTCATAATTTTTATGACAGTTAATATATATTATTTTGATGTATCACAAAATGTAATTTTGTCTTTTATAGCAAACATTTTTCTTCAATTCTGTACAAAGCATGGCAGTGACAATTTCTACTTACCAATAAAAATTATTCCTGTCCCATTACACTTGTGGCACTTAGTGACACTAGTGACACCCCTTCGTTTCACAGGATGATGACCAGGTTTGATAGCTGTAAAAACAGAAGTATATTTAAAATATTTATTAAACAAAGAGTATTAATAAAAATATTTATTAAACAAATACTATATATTCTATAAAGCAAAGTTATTTTATATTATTTAAAATTTCTATAAAGATTGAAACCAATAACTAATTTATCTTATTCTTATTGATAAAACATACTCTTTTTAATTTTCGTAGGATGATGTTCACAAGGATCTTCACTGCCACAATCTTCACAAATTTGCACTTTTGGTTTCTGGTGCATATTTGTTTTATGGCTTTTTAATTCTCCTGGTAATGCAAAACAAGCTCCACACACATCACAGGTATATGGTCTTTCTGGTGTAGTTGCAACAGTAACCGTTGTCGGTGTTTGCACAACAACTTGCTGTGGTTGTTGCTGAAGATTACTAGGTGTTGTATTATGAATCCGTTTGTGATGATTCAGCAAACTCATATGCCCAAAGACCAACCCACAAATGTCACATTTGAAGGTCGCATTGGTAGCAGCCGCAATACTCATCTGATTCAATAATGTGTTATAACCGACAGGTTGCACATCAAAACGATAACAACCCTTGTCGTCGGTTGTGATCGCACCAATCGTGCTCACCGCGTTTGTTTGAACCTTTTGAAGCATGTTGACATTGTAGTAGAAAGGGAAGTCAGCAGTTGCTGATTGCTGCTGAGACTTATCCTCTTTTTTATCTGTTGTAACATACATTTGTTGAGATTGCTGTTGCTGCGATTGTTGACCTTGAGCAGCTTGCTGCTGCTGTATTTGTTGTGGATCAAACATAGCTGCTTGCTGCTGTAAATTAATATTAAATGACAATTTTTAATTTAATTTAATTTAATTTAATTTAATATAATGAATATAGATACAGGAAAATATATTATTAACTGAAAATTCATATAATAGATCTATACAGAAACAACAATAAAATATAAAAAAACTTATATTTAAAGAAAAGTATTATAAATTATTAAATGTAAGATTATTTATTGTTCCTTTTAAATGAAATGTAAAAATCTATTTTGTATATATTTTTACAATTAATAACCTGTCTCTGATCGCCGTAACTAGAATTACTCTGCTCCGTCTGAGTAAAACTGTTAGTTTGTTCAGTTTGAGTAAACATGGAACACTTCACTGGTTGCTCGATAGGTTGGCTCTGTTAAACAGTAACTGTTATTAGATATCATAAATCTCACATTGCATCTTTAAAAAAAACAATATTCTAAAATACTTTGTTTCAATCAACGTGCTACATACACTAATATACGTTATGTGTATTAAGCATCAATGAGAAGTTAATAGATATCAATGAAGAAACTCGTTCCTTTTTTACATCATGCTACACAAGCTGCATACCTGTTGTATCTGATCAGGACGGGTTGTGTTCAACCACACCACGTTGTTGCCATTTGATTCTAGGGCCATTGATGTGTTGCCTTTGACCCTGCACAATCAGTAGGCATTCATTAAATGAAAACAAAACAGGTACTGTTTAATATACATGTCTAGATAAGTGACGGAGTCATATCAAATGTATGTAGGGGCGACTTTCATACACAGGTATGGAAGGAAAAGTTGATAGAAGACAGGTAGGAAACGAAGGCTCAAAGTATAACCGCGACATACGATACTCACATGTGATAGTCTACACAGGCGCCGCGGGTTACATGTCTGAGTGCCAAACGGATGATCTTCTAGTTGCCATGACTGCGGCGCGGAATACCGCGCAGCTGGTCACACTAATTCTGACAATCGTGGTACTTGATTTACGTATTTCGTCCAATACAACATACGAGAAACAAGTTCCTCGTGTCGGTAGGGCCGTGGTCGCGGTGGAAAAATCAATGGCGATCAATTTAGTGCTTTGATATAGCCTCTCGATACGTTAGATCCCGTTAAAATTAACACCAAACACAACGCCGACGAGAATTTGCCAACCGTGGATGCCGCGAAATCAGTTTTGAGTTACACGCTTGTTAATGAGCAACGTTGACCCGCGCAGATCATGTCGTCCAAGCGCGGTGGCGGTTGCGGCGACTGGTATACGAAGCGCGGGTTTCTCGGTTGCATAAAATTGGCGGTACTTCAGCGGTAGAGATCGTCTCGATTTTATTTCCGTCAGATTGGGCCACGTTGCCGCGTACCGTGGCTCAGGATAGGCCGTTGCGCGTACAAGCAGACCGAGCACCATCAACAAACTCTACGGTAGCCATTACACGCGACGAGGATAACAATGGGCGACACGAACGCGCGCTGCCCCCGATGCCTTTTTCCGAAGCGTTTTCGGGCGCCTTCCGTGAATGCAGCCAAGCGCCGCCAAGGTCAGGTCCCGGTGACGCTGACAGACGCTAATATCCGTACATTGAGCGATTTCATTGGTCCATGATCTGTTGTTGCTTCGTCACATTGGTCTACGTTTTTTACGTGTGAAATTATAAAATAGTATAAAAGACAATTCATTTATCTTTTCTTATTAATATTATAGCGTTTTCGTGAACTCCGGAGAAATCTTTTAGTATCCCTTTTTCAATATTTCTAGATGCTTTGTTCTCATTTGGAATAATCTTTAGTTGGCTGGTGTTTTTGTGAGAACAAATATGGTATTTTCAGTTGAATATTGTATACTAGAATGGATAAAAGTAAAAAATAATATTGAAATATTAAGCATTCATGATGTTGTCTTTAGTACATGTAAGAATCTAAATATAAGTGATTCTTGTATCTATGAAGAATGTATTTTACATGGAAATCTACCTTAAGAGTTTACATTCGTGAATAATTCGGCGATTTAACGCAAGATGACGTGTTCTTGAAACAGAAATATTTGAAATTTTTACCTGTTGTGTGTAAAATCTTTTGTACATTATCGAAAAAATAATCGCTCATTCGCAATTAATTTGAAATAAACTTTATGATATCTATTATAATAACTTTCAATTTTCAGTAATTCATGGAAACGTCGTGAATCTGTAGTAAGAGAATTGATTTCAAAATACTATTGCAAGTTATTTAGTAAGTAGTTAATGTTTCATATAAATGCCATGACAAAAAACGTTTGCCAAACAACGTTTCATATAATTATATTATAGCAACAATGTTTCATATAATTTCACTATTCTACAATATTATTTATAAATAGTGAATAGTACCTACATATGTAAAATAAAACTTAAATGTTGCCTGATAAGCGTTTAAATTTTATTGAATTATTATAAAATCAAAATGAATTCGGAATTCATGTAATATCCATTTTTAAGTTTGTAATGTCCATTTTTAAGGTAATATCTCTTCCTCAGATATATTTTATTGCGAAAGAATATTATATTAATAATATTTAACAAATTGGCTATTAATGTCAGAAAATAATCTTTGATTAAACTTTTCGTTGATAAAGACTTGGCTATCAAAGAAACATTGGCAAGTTAAGTAGGTCAGCCCTCTAAAGGACGAGGGATTAGAATCATGTGTGTACATAACTGTATACTATGCACACAGATACGCGGGAACATCGTGAATTTTGTACTCATCAAGGATGATGTGTAACCCCAATTTTCGATAGAATTTAAAACTTTTATTTCCCTCTTTCAAAAATTAAATTCTTTTTCTATCTATCAAGTTATTCACGCTTATTTCATGACAGTCTATTCAGTTATTGCTGCAATTAAGTTCATGTAAAAGTTTTAACGCTTTTATTTTCTAGCCATAAATATTTAAAAATATTTAACTTTTGAAACTTTTGACAATGAATATGTATAGGTATGTGTTTATGCAGAATATACTAATTCTACTAGATACTGAATAGTAAATCCGCAGTACAAAATCTAAATAAGTAACCGCATAGTAAGCAATAAGTTTAGCGTTATAGAATTTTAAAATTATGCATTTCAAATTTTTCAAAGTTACAAAGATGGAAGTTATCAAAAATTAGAAATTTTCCCGAAATCTTATATAAATTCTCATATTGTATAATAATTTCTATATACTTGAAAAATGCTTGAATGAATGATTGAATACAAAAAATGATTTTCTGTATTCAATGTCTCATGGTAGTGATTCTAATATTCATAATACATATTCATAATAATCATTTTACTTATTACGGAATTTGGAATATTCTTCCATTTGGAATATCATTCAGAAACATTCATCAAATTACAATTTAAAATTACTCTTGACGCAAAGATTATAATCTTTCTTCTTCTATAAGTTTTGTGAAAATACCATTTCGATTTATATTCTCTAAATATAGTCAGCATCGTCACTGGTTTTTTCCATGGTTCATTCTTTTGAAATGGTATCGTACGATACAGAAAGAAACCTTTCCGTTTTTACCTCAACGGATATGTGGATTAAGTTTACATTAAAAGTTAAACAAAATATATCATTGTAGTTATGATGTCATTTTATGGATATATCAAACTATTTTTTAATCTTATTTTTGGAATTTTGATTCTGATTGGAATAGAATTTACTTTTAATAGCTTCGATTTTCATAATTTTAAAAAGATTTAAAGCTCCATTAACATAACTTCAATGTCGTTCAATAGAGATTTTAAAAAATTTAATTTTCAATAATTTTAATTTTAGTAATTTGAAAAGTCTAAAATTTCATTAGAACTGGAATTCCACTAACAATTTATGTAAAAATCTTTTAAAATTTAATTTCTAATAGTCTTGATCTCTGCAATTTTGAAAGATTCGAAGTTTCGCTTTCAAAATTACATATAATATTCTGTATCTGATTTTACATCATTTTGATCGATGTTGTGCCATATATCCGCGAAATTGTATTCAACTTAACAAACTGATCATTTTCTTCATTGCCTTTCAGCTTATCTAAATACGCAGTGAGGCGTGGGAGGTTATACTTCGGTCATCTGTTAACAGTTTCTCAGGATATCGTATTGAAATTTGTCGTGTCATTATCTTTCTTACACAGCATCATGACGGCGCGATGATTTTGAGAAATCGATCAGAGGAATAGTTCTTAGAGAATAGGAACTATTTTATATATATCTTATATTCTATTAAGAATAGACTACTCTATATAGATTAGGAATTGGATTCATTTAACAAATAATGGATATAAATGATTCAGATACGATTCAGTGTATGTTTACAGCTTCGGTATAGATTTTCGTTTCGAGTGTTTGATGTGTTTTTAAAAGTTCTCTCAGACATGCGTAATCGATATAGGTGACCCACTTTGAGATTGCTCTGTGTTGGAACATTTTATTTTCAGTAAAGATAACTTCTTCTTTCTGAAATAAAAAAAGATTCTGTATGATGAAAAGACTAATGTTGAATTATCAAATATTTTATACGATTTCACAAATCGCTATGCGAATTGAAATTGCGTTTACGATATTTGCAATTGTGTTTAAAAAATATTCCAATGATTTTTGTCGTTGTCGAGAATACTGACACAGATATTGTTTCATTATACTTTTTCACTTTACTAAATTCAATTGTACATGGAAATTTAGTGATAACGATAGAGTAACTATTTATTCATAGATTTTTTACAACTAATTTACAATTTGAAATAAAAAAATTCTTTGATACATATCAAATATTTTAAAAAGTTTAATCTAAAATATCAAAAAGCACAATTTATCTCTTAGTATATAAAAATTTATCTCGTTCATGTTTTCACACGTTTAATTCTTAATACATTCAAGATAAACGAGACTTGTGACATCATGTTGCAATCACACAAGCTGAATAAATTTTTAAATGGTCAATACGGCCCTGTAAATTGTAGCGCCCGTTTCAAAACGTCTCGACGCTCGACACCAGTCTCACTTAGTCAGTTGGCGTCGCGACGCCGTCGCTAGAGGTATCTGAAAGTCACGTACGATACAATTCCCGGATTTTCTCCGTTCCTAACACAAGCGGGGACAATTATCGAAAAGTTCACACAGTGCACGCGATCAGTGAACACCGCGATTTCATTCTCGTAGCCAGTTAATCTTTAACAATTAGTTTTTTCTGATAAAATATCAAATTTATAAAATTAATAAAATGCTGACAAATTGTTAAATATTCGAAAAAAAGAAATCAACGTAACGTGAGATAATATTGTGAAATAAATGCTCCGAATCGATGTGAATCTTTGGATGTATGTAGCTTCCAAGAGGATGGAAATAACAAATTCTTTTCTAAGATAAATTTTTGTTGTTAATCTTTGGATACAACTTCGAGCATTGAAATAATCAACATCCCTTCAAAATAACAAATTTTCTTTGGAAATCAAGAACTGAGCTATGTAAACGAAATGTGCTATGTAAAAATGTAAATTGTGTTGGTAGTGCAGTATCGATGAGACTCGAGCTTTCTAGCTTTGTACAAATTGTCTTCAGGAGGAGGAGGGCTAAACGCAATTGTCTTTCATTAAGGATCAGCTGTCCTTGATACAAATGATGCGCATTAAGATAATAAAGACTGACACGATCATGTTTCCGATTAGAATGAAATGACGAACAAACTTCGTGATTTCTTCGATCAGTGAGAAACGAAGGAATAAGAGAGATCAGAAAGTGAATGAAAGGATTCTTCCTGCCGCAAGATTTCCTGGAGATGAGTGGAAAGAGACAACTGTTGGATTTATTAGACACGTATATTTCATCGATGAAATTAATCGAGTCGATTTTACATTGCAATCACCCTGATATTAAACGAAGCAACAAATATTAAATATTCCATTTGATAAAATTTCTGGCGAGTAGATTGTAACGAATTTTGAACGAATTCAGCGAACACAGAAAATTTCAGTAAAGCAATAAAACGCGTGATTCTGCGATTCTACACTTAAACAAGTGTAACATTCATTCAACGACTTAATTAGATGAGTAACTAATTAAAAAGGAGATAAATTTGAGATTTCATCCCCGAGAGATCTTGGAAAGGCTGAATTTTACGTGAACAATGCATCAATCTTAAAAAGCTGCACGTGCAGAAAGAGAGAAAAGAAGAGGAAAAAAACGAGAGAAATTCTCAAGAAAGCGTCGTACTGCATCGTTAAGTGAAGAAGCTTATTTCTTTCCCGACGGTTAGCTAACTGACGATTTTTCCAACTAGAAAAGAGATTCTCTTGACTGAAGCTTTCGTTTTGATCCTTCACTCGATCATCGAAAGTATTCCCGCAATATTTTCAAGCACGTCGCATATCTTTGGAATTCAACAAATTCTATCCTTTTTTCAACATCTTTATTATTAGATAACAGTCTGCTTTTCGATCGCCTACACTTCGTTATTACATATTTCTTCGTTCTCTCTTTTAGAAAAGGCGTGAATCTGATAAATCAATTAATAGAAAAGGAGTAGAAACTATTCGTATACCTGTTGCCTAAATTCGTCGACACGTTCGCGAACAGTCAATCTATTTATTGCTAAGATGCATCTTATCCGGGGTCATTGACTCACGGTATGTCGCTCGAATAATTTTAGGCAACAACGAAATTGGAAATTAAGTGGGCCACCAAGTTCGAATTTGAAAGGGAAGAACGGTCAAGATCAATGAGTACATACGTAATCATGACTTCTTTCTAATTACCTCAGACTTCTGTCTTCAACTTTTCTTCGTGTTTTTCTTTTGTAAACTTGAAAATCTTTCTTTCTCTTTGACCCTTGAAATATTAAAGTGAAGAACGAAAATTACCGAGTGAATATTGACTACATTGTTTCTGAGATAATTCCAAGGAACGTAGAAAGATTCATACCAAAATAAAAAAAAAAGATTTTAATGTTAATTGATTTCTACAGTGACTATATTTCGAGATTTGGAAGAATCGTAGTTTGATTTAGTAACATAGCAATTGCACAAGCGTGTGGTATACCGTGATTCTGTAATGATTGAAGACGTGTTTTAGAGGAGAGTTCGAACATTTTCTTATCACCGAGTATACATCCGGTTGTAAATTCGCAAAGTGTGTCCAATTGTCCGACGATCCGATTCTCTTAGTAAATTTTTCGTGGAATCCTGGTTAAGATCTGACAACCGAGTTTACCTCGGATCTACATCAGCATTTATTTATACGCGTGTTCTCGTATCAAATACCATTGGAAACGTCAAGAAGAAAGTCTTAATGTTGTTTGAAGTACAAATACATGCTAATAACTCACTCGATCTTTGGTGATACATAAGATAAAGTAGAAACTATATTGTGTTAAAGCACAAAGAGAAGAAAGAGTGATGGCACTGTGATAGTTGATTCCAAAGGCGAGGAATCAAAATCGTAAAAATCAAATTAAAAATACATCAAATTAGATACTGCAGAGATTAAAGAAATTTTAATCGAGATTATATTATAAATTACGAACTTTTATTTGTTTTCTTTTCAACAACGAGAAAATACACTTTAAAAGAATGTCAGGTTCACCAAATGGGCGGAAGGCGCCGCCCCCAAGATTGAAAATTCAACTTCCGTTACCAGGCCAATTTTATCCACAATCAGGCATGGGGTACGTTTCAACCCCCTATGGTCAAACTCCCATGCCGATGACTCCTGTTTCCGGTCAACCACAGGTGATCTATTCGAATAAGGCCAGCGAGTTTGTCTTCAGCCAGTTCAAGGGTATCAAGGATCTGACCAAATCCGGGTTGAGCGTCGGTGAGAAGAGCGCGTTCTGGCTTTACGAAAAGGTCCGTGTTAATTGACTTCGCGTATATATGTGTCTTGTATACTTGTGTTATGAATACAAGAGTATTATGAATTTCTGCACAGGTCAGTTCCTGGAGCAAACGATGGTTCACGCACATTTTCTTATTTGTTATCGTGCTTTTGTACAGTATCGGAGGCGCGATGATATTTGTCACGATCGAGGGAACCAACGAGGACATGATGCACGGAAACATTCGAAAAGAGAGGTAAATTTTGCATTCTAATTTTTCGATTTTTTGAGTCAAACGTCTTTCTATTTTTTGAATCAGGAGAATGATGCATAGAATAAAGTACATCCGTATTTTCTAAAGATCTAAGGCAAATACATGTACAAAAATCTTAGAACAATTCAAAAGCTTCAGAATACTTGAGTTTACTTCAAAATTGAAAAACTTTAAATAATTATAAAAGTATATTAGAATATTGCTAAAAAAATTTGACAGTAGGAAAGCAATTAACGTATTAAAAAATTCGCTAATTTTAAATTTCTAATTTTCGAGATGAAAGAATGTATTGAAATTCATTAACACGTTCGAACAAACTTTAATTGTCGGACGAAATAGAAATGGAATTCAACTCTGAATTCGCAGTAAACTTAAATGTATTATTTTAGTCTAACCTAGATCTTTGATTCATATCTGTAGTTTATATCCCAGCAGAATTTCTGTTTAGAAAAGTGGATGGATTTAAAAAGTGCATCTCTTTAATATTTTATACAGAATGAGAGGCTAAGATAGAACGCGTTTTTCGTTCTTCTATTATTTCTTTTTTCCTTTTTATTCGAGATGCTAGTTCCAAGCTGAAAAATTAAAAAAAAAAACTGAAAATTTTGCACAAACGCCTTGTTAATAATGGAACCATTTTTTTGATCTGCTGAAAAACAATCTTAGAAGTGATAACACTCTCCTCAAAAAAATTTTAATTTTTTTATATTATTGTGAATATTTATGAAATTGCATTATAAGATAAAAAGAATTAAATAAATAATTTGTGCAAAATTTCAATTTTTTTAATTTTTTACGAATTTTTCTTGTTAATTATACAATGGAGATTATGATTTATTATTTCCAATGTAGAAGAAGTACAAAATTTTCTGCATATAGTCCACTAGCGATTTTACTTTCCATTTATCACGTAGAATATTAGTTTATGTTTTTAATTCAAGGAACTGCGATAATCTCTATAATTAATATAAGTTCCATGTACATGCATGTACATTGATGATATATTCTATCGGTTTCTAATCGTGAAACACCAGATCTACAACACCAGTGGAAAATATAGGACGATCGAACAATTAACATTAAAACTATTATAATTTCCATTCTGTTGCATACCTCATAGTTAGGACCAAATATTAAGTATACTCTGAAACATTTTTTATCTTTGTTTAGATATTTTTTTTATCATTACTTAGGTAATGAAGTCTTTATAAATAAATAAATAAATCTAATAAAAAATAAGTGTTTGTTATAAGAGTAACAATAGGTATTTTCAACTTTAAAAGAAGAATTTCAAAAATATTAATCAAATTTTCCTTTAAAATACAACCGTCTTGTTAATAAAAACTTTCGATTTATTAGTAATGTAATAATACAAAATTTTGTTTCAATACTTGATATTAATTATTTTGTTTAATAATTTAATAAACTTTTAAAATAGATAAAAGAAAACAACTAAAATTAATTTATTTTGGTCGATTGCAGTGAAAATTGCGATGTTTACGGCAATGACGTGTATATTTGAATCGCTAACTATATTTGAATCCTAAGCTGATGATACTGAAGCTTTCTGTCACGCAAGCGTATTTCAAATTATCATGATAACGTTTATACAGAGTACGTATCCCTTACATTTTTCATCTCTTTAGAATCGCAAGGCAATACTCTTCGTAGTCCTAGAAAAGTGTTCTTCTATACGATATCAAATGGTGTCCGCGTATAAATCATGTTTCCTTACAAATTGCCGCTATTCCTTATAAATTCTACTTTAATCTTTTCAATCATATTTCTTCTTACGATTGCGAGTTTGGCTATAATACAAACAATATTGAAACATTTTCAGCTAATTTATTATAAGAAAAAGCAGATAATAGCGAATGCAGCCAAATATCTTGTCCAATGAAAATTCTATTTTTATTGAGAGAAATGCAATTCGATTATACATATATTGGTAAAAACGAAGGAAGTTTAAAGCTTCAACTTGGTAATGATATTTGTTACCGAAATTGGTTCTAACTTTAATTTGTTTTCAAATATATGCAGAGTATATCTTTTATATACTATTATTAGAATTTTTTAAGGAGATTATTTAGTCGTAGAATAATATCGATGATTTTTTATAACTAGGTAGATTTATTATCTGTAGAACCTGTGGATTTATATTATATTTTATCTGTATTCAGTGATGAAATGAATTTTGAAACTTCAGAAATGAATGAAAAAGAAATTTCAGAATATTTAGAAAAACAGTTGCAATTAGATTATGCTTCAGATGTTTATAATAAACCTATTTTATAATATCTTATACGTATATTTGCAGATCAGTTTCAAACTTTAAAGCCTCATTAGTTTTCAATGTAAAATCGTTTTAATTTTCAATAAGTTTTAATCTTCAATATCAGTCGCGTTTTATTACATGTTAATATTACAATGTCAATAAAATGTCAAAACATATATAATATAAACGTAAAAATGTGTTCGATAAAATGTGCGTGTGTCAAGTAATTTTATGAGCCACTGTACATAGAATTCATAATAACGTTGACGCTTTTCTTGACTTATTCCACTTATCAGTAGCAATTTCGTCTGGTTTGAAGGTACATTGATTTTTCGACGATACTTTTACAGTGGAGGATCGATCGACCTTAAGATGAAGGTCAGGTTTACCTTAGAATTCGCGTTTGACCTCTTTTTTATTTGTAGAAAAATCGCCGATGGCGTGACCGATTCGATAAAAAGAAGGAAAATGAAGCACGTGTCTCCAGTCAAGTACTCACTCAATGTAACCATAATCTTTCTCTGTAACCTTTTTCTTTTTTATTGGTACGCAAATATCTGTGGTCCTTCGTGAACATGCGAACTTTTATTAGAGCCACGCGGTGTTAATTGAAAGAAAACTGGAGAGAAAAGGGATTGTAAATAATATGAAATATGTTTCAAGGCACACGGTATAATATAGTGTGGTAAGCTGCTTAAAATAATCAGGTCATGGTTTTGAATAATTAAAAAAAGCACGTTTTTAGATGTAACGTTTTAAATTATTCGAGATATAAAAATATTACACTCTAGCAAATTACAGTTTTAGATACAGTTTTTTAGATAGATTTTAAGTTTTGTTTTTTGTCTCACTAAGAGCACTTTTGATTGATTTGTTTGATCATTTGGAGAATTTCTTTTCTCGTATAATTAAATCTTTCAAACTTGAATTTCCACGATAAAATTATCAAACATATTATAGTCCTTACAAAATTTCCTATTTTTTTGAAAAACATGTCTTCTTTTATATTTTTCTTCTATATTTTCTTTCTTCTATATTTTTCTTCTATATTTTTTTTCTATATTTTCTTTCTTCTATATTTCTTTATTATATTTTTTTCCCCATTTTATTGTCTGTCCTGCATCTTCTTAGATTTGAATAACATTTAAATAATGCAGGACAAGAATTACAGAGTTATTGATTATTTATTTGTTTCTGAAAAATAAGATAAATTAATTAACAGGATTAGTTGATAAATTAATTTTATAATTTCCTATAATTTCCTATAATAGCTATATTTTATTAATATCTAATCTATAAGATCTAATATTACAAATTCTACCATCATTTAATAATACTGAATTGTGTTCCAAAATTAAAATACGAAAAAAAGAAAATGAAATTTCTCTGACGGTCACCAGCCTACTCTTGAATTTTTAAAACTTTTTTCGAACTTTGAATTTATTGTAATCTGAATCTATTGATATTTAAACTTTCACTAAGTGTGCATAATTTTTTCTACATAATATCTTCCATAGTATTTTTTTTATTGGTTCAAGTAAAAGGAACAAAGAAACGAGAGAGAATAGAATCGAATATCGAAAAATTTTGTAAATGTTTAAATGTCACAGAAATAAGACACTGACTGCAATCCAACAATTGTGTGACGACAAAGTACTGGCTTCGAATTCAGAGCTTTGGAGTGGACGGGCGAGAAAAGAATTGATGGAATACGAGGAGCATTTGTACGAGTTCTACAAGCGTGGACTGACAGACCGTGGACAAAAAGTATGGACCTTTTGGAACGCTGTATTTTACTGCGGCACCATTTACACCACTATAGGTGAGTCACGATTGTTAAACTAACATTCGAAAATATTTCCGGAAATTTATCTGTACGATTTTTTGTCTAAATTTATTTAATCTAAAACAATTTCCATTTTGTGCTATGCACACTCTTGTCCATAAATCGGAATAGGAATGACCTGGCCATTTGCGATTGTGAAGATCATTCCGTAATTTTAATTTCAATAACAAACTTTTGACGCAAATATATACAAAAATATCAGATTTTTCTAATATCCCCAATGTTCATTGATCTTGCTAATATGTCTAATATTCTATATAAATAAAAATTCCTAATATTCTATACAATAAAAAAACTTGACCTTTTCATCTACAATTTCCCAATTAAATTAAATTCTCCCGAAGATAACCAAATATGCGTAAATTTTCAAATAGTAGCGCATATATATATGTACGAAGAAATGAGCTTGACCGCGATTTTTTCCAGTTTCCATGCGAGATGATATGTTCTGATACAGATTCTGATACTCCCTCGTGACCTACATATCCCGATCATTTTCGATAAAGTGACGATTATCTTTTTTATCCTGTTCTTCCACGATTCTCCACGAATCTGCTGTCTCCGATATCCATTAAATTGATTTATACACACGAGCTTTCGAGATAGTAAACTGAGATCCGAGGTCTTTGGCTCGTTGGCCGACGTACAAGTGGAAGCCGATGTTAATAAAACAACGCTGAAGGAATAAACAGTGGAACCCGAACAATGCAGTTTTTCGTTCAAATTGACTGACTGTAAGACAGCATTATTTACAGTGACACGAGTTTAGTATAACGTATGTGTTTTTGATGGTATCAATTGTGGGTTAATCGTAAAGCGTTAATCGAAAATTCTTACAACTGTGAAGTTATAGTTGTACATATGTAGAATTCATATATTTTTATTCTTTTTTCGGGGAGGAATATGTCGTTATTCGTTTTTTCTTTTTTTATACAGTGAAAGTTATCTTTGTTCACGTTGAAATGAATTTGAGGGTAAGGTATTAAGGAGAACAAGTTAAAACTTTAAGAGGTCTGAGTAGTTACAAGTAAAAGTAAAAAATTTAATCAATATTCGTTCTAAAATCAATATCTCCAATGTGATTTGTGATTTTCTATTTTCTTGTAGTTGGAGCATATTTGTTTGACTATCTTTTAAATTAAAATACAATAAATATCTGTACATTAGTAGACAAGATTATAACACAGTTTACATATTTGTAAATTTCTTGTAATTAAAAGAAAAAGAATTTATACATACTACTAGATATTGCATATATTGCATATACAACATATGGACTTGACTGAAATTGCTATAGTTTGGTCTAATTTACTTATATTTCTTTTTTTAATTTTTTTTCTGTATATCATATGAACATAAGATTTTGCATGTTCACTCTGAAGATGCAACATATAAAAATCTGTTCTATAATTTTGTCCATTACTGTATGACGTATAACTTCTTTATATATATATATTTTAATATAAATATGATATTATCTTCTTCAACTTATACAGTGAAAACTGTCTTTCTTAATTTAAAAGTTACTATGTAGAATATTAAAGAGACAAAATAATCCTGACTGTATATATACAGCCGATTTATTCTTTCGAGTTGCCTCTAACTAGAGCATCAATTTCTTTTTATAATGTAGAAAAGTATAATATAACAATATATTTAACATTATGCTTGCATATTTTTCCACTGAAGTAAAAACCTTTTTACATTGAAATATTTCACTTCTTATTTATGGTCGTGTCCATTTAATTAACACTTTTATCTCATTCAGCATCAAGAACGTTAACAGAGTTCTATTTTAAAGTTTCTTCTTTCTTTTACCAATCTTAATATATAAAATTAAAAGCATTTTACGAGTTTAATAGAATCATTATCCTTTATGAACTCTTTTACTGTCTTAGTTTAAGTAACAATAAATATACTTTCCATCCTTCAGTTTCTCTTCTTTAAGTGACCATAATATGCTGTTTAACTTATCAACTATTTAAATTCTTATTCATTCATTAATTTTTTTCTCATGTAATCGTATAATTACATCGCATGCATTACGTCATAAAATGTATAATTCCTTTAGATTTCTTCTTTAAACACAGCAAAAAGATCAGAATAAATCGTGCATTTTAGTCCTTTATATTATGAAATATTTCATTGTGAATTTCTATTGCTATTTTTGTTCAAAATATTTTCAAATTTTTCAAATAACGTGCATGAATAGTTTTTAAAATTATTAGATTGTAAATTCATATAACTTTTTAAATTAGCTATAAGTAACATTTAGTTTCTCGGGTTCGTGTTATAAAGAATAATAATTATCAAACAATTATTAGTAAATCGCAGATTTTGCCAATTTATATTTTTATGAAAATAATAAAATGCAATCTAATTATTAGCATTTGGCAAAGTGCAAAATATGCTATCTATAGTGTAACTGAATTTTCCAATCTTGTAATTGAAACCTTTTCAAAACCTTTCAAAAACCTTCGTTGCATCGAGCTTTTCAGAAATCTATATTGCAGTTGACCTTTTTAAAAAGCAAATTGATCAATATGAATTTTTATGCTTTTGTGCAAAATTTAAAATTTAAATTAAATTATTATACGCATATATATAACATGTAGAAACATATGAGATGTATAAAATATACATAATTATTTGCACAAACATCCATAATCTAATTATAATTAGAAACTTAAGAAAGCAATTAGATAATTAGATAATTCCTTTATTACTTAGCTTTTGAGTTACAGAAATAAATTTTTAAGTATTTAAAAACTCGAAAAATAAAAAAATTAAGTGACAGAAATCTACCAAACGCTCTAATGATGTGTCTTCTTTATATATATATATATATTTTAATATAAATATTTTATTATCTTCTTCAACTTATACAGCGAAAACTGTCTTTCATAATTTAAAAGTTATTCTGCAGAATATTCTGACTAAAAACAGAAACTTCTACGTTAAATTTTGTTCAAAATTAAATGAACAGTATTACGATTATGCAGTCTCTGTAAATTGTTTTAGTGTAGGTTGCAAATATTTCGTCACAAGTCGACGTGAAATGGAATAAATATTTTGTCTAAAGTTTACAAAAGTTTACAAAAGAAGGTTCTATATCTTGATGTATTATCTCGGAAAAGTAGATACGACTTTCTTCATGAAACAAAGTGCTCCATTGAAAATTCAAAATATGTACCTGTCTAATGCACTGAACATGCCGATTCTTCTGTGAAATATATGTACGCGTCGAGTAGTGTACTGTACTGAAATTAATAATGCACCGTGCACGACCTCGTTTTTTCCCAACGGACCTCAGTTATTAGTCGCGGACGCTTGTTTTCCAAGCGCGTATTGTTTGCTCGTGCATCATTTTGTCTCCACGCAAAACAGGGTTGAAGAGTCGCATCGTCTTCACAAAGAAGACAAGTTCAGGATGACGACCGCGATCATAAGAACAAAATGTTCTTTCGCGTCGACAAAATGTGCCCACGCGTACTATTTCGAGACGAAAACGACTTACAAGTTATGTAAGGGTGGAAGAGGAGACGTGGGTGACATGAAAATATGTGGCGCTTGTTGTCGTTTTCTAAATTCTTGTCGAAAGATCGGATTTTTTTTTTTGTATAAACTTCTCACTAGAGAAACTGTCTTTTGAAAAATCCAACGAGGAACCACAAATCTGACAAAACCAATCCTTAGCGGAGAATTAAACTAATAAACTTCAATATTCTACTATCTTTTTTTTCATCTACTATCGTTTTTTTTTCAGGAGAAAGTTTCAATTAATTTCGATATGATCTATTGAGCTGAATTTTTTTTTTCTGAGAGTTTTTATAAAGTTCTTGAGTAGAGTTCTTGAGATCTGTTTGAATCTAACGCGAGGTTTTATAGAAGTTTCTTTAAAAATCTAAAAGACTTCTAAGTTTCTTTCCTATATAAAAATATGTAAATGTATTTTTATATAATTTATAATTATACATATATTTATATTTCAGTTTTGTTATCTTAAAGTTATATCAATATTTCAATAAATATTAAATTGCTTTTGCAATTCTTCTATAAATTATATTTTAGAAGATTCGTAAATAATATCTAAATTCTTCTGTAACAAAACAGCAAATTAATTTTAACAATGTGACGAATTTGAAACTTGAAATTTAGAAATATCTTTCTTCGAAATTTTAGTCATTTGATTGGTAGTGTCGTCTTGTCAAAACTTTTTGGAAAATCTAAAAATTCCACTCTTCCTACTTTTTCTTTATCTCTAACAAAAACTAACTTTTTTAGATTTTTCGAAATTTCTTTGATCTTCTAAATATTGGAATGTACAGAATTTCATTGCTTATTCTTGATTTTCTACTTGTTTATTAGATAACCTTAGATTTATTAGATAAAGAGCTTAATGGTTCAATAAAACAAGGAATCTGAGTCTTTAAGAGCATCGTTCTTTGATCCACTATTCTCCATAACGAAAATATCGAGCTTTCAGAATCAATACTATTCAAGCAAACATCAAAACAGCACAAATCATTTTCTAAAGCAAGCAAATTATAGACAAACATATACAAGGGTACATAAACCAATACTTTAATTAGTATAATAAATAAAAATTATAGAAAACGAAATTAAAGTGTGAAACAAATTTTAATTAGAATCAGAAAAGTAGAAAAATATCAGAATAATATTTCTAGAAAGATATTGGAAATTACTCTAGAAAGATGTTAGAAAATATATTTATTTTCGAATTATATTATTACTACAAAATACGAGGTGATAATTCGTTGAACACAAAGGCAGTAAATTTGTATCATTTAATTCACATTCTAGCGAATGTGAGTAAAATGAGTAAAAAAATATTCAAGGTATCGTTGCGGAAGGAATCACACGATAAAATCAGTGGTGAATTAAATTGTCTAGTAGTCCGCGAAACTTCGTTGTTCGTTGTTTCGCGTTTCAATTCTATTTCGAACGCGTTCGAAGCGATTTATAACACGCCGGCGATCTTCGAATGTCGCGTTTTATACAGAATAGAAATAAATACATCCGAATGGCGTCAAAAAAGAATACCGAGAAAAATTGTGAATATTTCTGTCGCTAAAATTAAAAGAAAAAGGATTGTCAATTTTTATGTATATACGTTTATATACTATTTTAAATTTTAACATCATTGTTCATTTAAAAGAAAACAACTCCAGTTTTACTTAATCTTCGCTCAGAGTTCCAACCCAAAAATTTTATGCTTTCCATAAATTTGTATGAACATGCATATAAAGCAAAATCTAGAGATTCTGTTAGCATATGGGTATTGCTTAAGTTAAGCTTACAATTAGTAGGACTTGTAAAAAATAGAAAATGTTTTATCATCCTCAGTTTCATATTTCGTTTTGAACTTTATGTTTCACTTTATGTTTTCTAAGCTTTATATAAGCTTTTTTTTTTAATTAACTTTTATTCATCATTTTAATTCCTTTGAAGTTGTACATATGAATAAGTGTAATATAAATCTTGATAAGAAATATCAATTTTAGTATCAAAGATTACTATTGAACAGAAGAAAGATGACAAATTTTCCTTTTATATCCATAATTTCAATATATCGTATGATTTCATTAAAAATTAATTGAAAATTGAAAGTATCAAAAATATATGTGTTCTATGATTAGACTGCAGATAAATAATCAATATATATTTATTAATATAATTTAATTAAGTCAATTAACTTTATTAATACATGATAATGCATTTTATGTGTTATTTATACTTGACAATGTTGTCTCATCGCAATATTTAGTCAGTAGAACAAGTCTTTAACTATTCCATATACTTTAATTATCTAACTGTTCCATTTTTAAAATCATTTTCGTAAAAACATGTATTCCCATTAATTTATTATATTTCTGGCACATTGTACTGTTTCCATTCTGTTTTAAATAGAATTTTAAGATTAGAATTTCTCGATCTAAAAATACTTCCATTGTCTATTTACAATTTTGAATAAAATTCGCGTTATACTTCTATAAAAACAAAACTAAAAATTATTTATCCAAAATCACATAATTTCACTAAAAATATATAAATGAGTGTATTTATACTCTAATTAGTAAATATTGAAACAAATAATTATATAAAGTCACATGTCATCGAACCATGTCTTCAAATTTCTCGAAATGATGAATCGGTTATCAAGACGGACGGTAATTAATCATGGTTTATTTAACTTTACACAAAGAAGCCACAGCATCGATCGGACATTTTATTTTAGGTAGCGCTGCGTGTGCCTAAGCGACGTTTCGTTGTGTTCGTGTTGGTAACTTTCCAAAAAGATCTGTTTGCGCATATCATCTTTATTTTTGTATACTTTAGAATCCACTTAAATTGATCTTTATTGTTGCGGCCAGTGGTATGTCTTATTAAACTGTTTTACGGAACGATTTCATCTTGAACGACCTTTTCTTTCCCTATTGTTAGTCTTATAAAATTTTTCAATCTACGATCTCCATCTACAATTTTCATTTTATTATTATTCTTTAAAGTTTGTCGTGTAATTTTTTTCACGGAATTATAAGAGCTTAAAATATCGACAATTTTTCATCGAGTGTATGAATATTTTCTCTGAGTGTACAATATGTGATATCTGATGTATGAAATGTCAGATGATGAACATTTTAATCTTTAACAACAGGTCTTTGAAAAGCCATTCAAGCATCGTAAAAAGTACAATGAATATTGTTATGGATAAATATTTTCAAATATATGAAATCCATTTATGAGTAATGAAGTTTTACTTCATTACTCATAAATGGATTTCAAAACCAAAAAACCTGATAAAGTTTTAGTTTAAAGACTAAGCTTTCATACAACAGGAAATTTCATATAATATTTCCATAAGCGAAATGCAATTTTTTTATTATAAATAATATTTATATAGAATACATTCTGAATTATATTATTATATCACTATTTGTAATCTCTAATTACAATGTAGAAGTTTAGGTTTAGTTATAATTATTTCCATGAAAGAATAGAAGAATTGTCTTTTATTACAAATATAATCTTTATTATATGTATAAAGTAGTAATAGGAAATTGTAACCACTCTGGTAATTGTGGTATTAAGAAAATGAAATAAGAGTTCTGTTTGGCTGAAAAAAGAACAAGGGGAATGACGTGTGTTCTGTTGTTCAGAAATTAGCGCAGCAGGTGTTTAATCTATCAGTCATTCTTAATTCTATATATATATATAAATCGCACCACCTTAAAAGCTAGCGAATTTACCAGTTAAAACAGGGGAGGATTGAAATCGATTTAATGCTTCACCGAATGCTCTTTATCGAACCAATTTTTCTCGTGCACTTTAACTACTCGTGAAAAGCTCTCAGCTTCGTTAACGCCTCGTTTTATTTCTTTCTCTTCCCTTTTCGTTTTTTTTTTCTTTTCTTTTGAAACTTTCATCTTCATAATTCTTCGTTCTCTTTTTCATTGTAACTTGAATGACATAGTACACATAGTGCTTTTCGTAAAAAGCGAGTGGAAATTAAAATGCGGTAAAAACTGGGAAAATGAAGCTCTAGAGTAAGCAATGTAATATTTATATTTCGCGAAATTTAAAAAGATCAAATCAATCTCGTTGGACATACGGACTCATATTTGAACAACTCCTATTATTTCTAACTATTGACTCTTACTGTGGAGTAGATTTTAGAATCTATTATTCGATTTGGAGTCTGTTATCTTTATTTCCCAATGTGTTTAAACTACGACATTGTGTTGCATCGAACTCCTAAAAAAAATACTCGATGACACAAATCGTGTTCGTTGGACAATAGAGAAAGCGTAGCGTAACAGTCTAAAACAAAGAACCGCATGGCAGTTGAATAGAAGGGGTGGGTGGTGGTAGTAACCGATTGCAGGTTCGGCTGGTGTTAAACGAGCTGCAGTGGCTGCGGAGCCGGCACCGCGACGCCCGATCGCAGTTGTCCTCCCGGTTGCGCGCGATTCGCGTGGCGCCTTCGCTCGATACCCGCTGCGGCAAAACCATCTGGTTCCACTGGTAGCTGGCAGCGTGGTGGGAGCAGCCTCTGTTTTATTTCTGTCCCGGTGTCCGTCTGCACTGGGAACCAGCCAAGACGCAGTCGTGCAGTTTTCCTGTTTTCGCGTCAGAAATCGTAGTTCGAGTTTCGCTCGAGCGTTCGACCTGTATCTTCTCTGTATTCTCCGTGTCCTGAGACATGGAGGACAGCTACACGGTGCACAGGCGGCGCAAGGCTGCGGCCAGGAAGCGCGAAAAAACGCCGGACCCTTCCTCGAGGAACCAACAGTTGGTGGAGACTTCCGATGACGAGGAGCAGGCGAGACGCGCCAAAATGGAGCAAATGGCGGAGGATGCTGAGCGAGCCGAGTTACAGGAACGAGAGAGAAGAAGCAAAAACCAAGAAGATTCGCAACCAAAGGTCGAAGAAAGAAAGAAGAGAAATCCAGTTAAGGTTGACGACGCTGTGGACAGAAAGGCGATGAACGAGAAGAAGAGTTCCCCTCAAAAGGAATCGCAAGCACGTGAAAGTGACGCGAAAGATGAGACCATCGCACGGTTGGTAAAGAAGGAATTGGATAACGGAAGTCCAACGAAGAGTGGGGAGGCTGTTACGAAGTATCAGGATGCTATACCGAGGTCGAAGGACATCGACGGTGATACGGATCAACCGGTTGAGCCGAGAAAGGTGGAGAGACGTTTGAAGAAAAAATCGAGGGAGAGAATAGAGAGGCATGGCCAGTCGTCGGATTCTAGCGACATGGAGGAGATAGAGAAGCATCCGAGGAGAACAAAATCACCGGAGACAGGAAAGGTCAGGGTGAAGAAAAGTTCCTCGAAAAGAATAAGTAGTAACACCGAAGTTGGGACGAAAGAGGTGGTGGAGAAGTCAAGGGAGAAGTCTAGTAAACAGAAACTCGAGGGGGATGATCCAGTGAAACCTGAAAGAAGACGTTCTAGGGTTCACAGTCAAACTGACGATACCGACGAAGATCCCAAAGTTAAAAAAAGCGAATCATTCCCTCGGCAAACGGAAGAAATCGTGATGAAACGATCCCCGTCGGACGTGAAGAAACAGATAATTCTTCTGAGCGATGACAGCCTCATCCAAGACTTCGCCAGGGCTCAAGAGGAATATCTAAAAAGAGAGAAGAGCATTCTCGATCCAGATACTCCAGACATGTTCGAGGATGCTCAAGAAGAAACGATACTGAGAAGAAGGAAGTTCAGTGTGCCACTGACGGAAAGCGAGCAAGAATCCATCGAAAAATCTATCGAACGATTGAAAGAGTCTGAGAGTAGAAAGAGCTGGTTCTCTTGGCTGCCATTTTTCGGTAAGAAGAAACAAGATAAAGAAGGCGGCGAACGAGAGAAGGAAAACGAGCAAGAACAACCAGAAGAGATCGAACCACCGAAACAAGAAGAAACAACCGAAGCTGAAGCAGCAGCTAAATTCTTGCAAGTAAGATTGGACCAACCAGGAAAAGTTACTTTCATGGACTTTTTAAGGGCGATGAAAGACGTGGTTCAAGAGTTCAAGGCTTTTGTTGCGCAGAATCCTAAGGAGGCAGATATTGTAAGAGAATTGAGAAATCGTTGCATGACGGAATTGATGTTGGTGATGATCTACTGCGGCCTGGGTGCTTTTATCTTCCGGTTCACGGAGGGCGCATTCGAGACGTTCTACAAATGCGGCGTGAAGCGCGTGAAACGAGATTTCCTCGATAGTTTGTGGAATTACAGTCACAATTTGAGGGAGGATGATTGGAAGAGCATGGCTCGCCGGAAGCTGATGGAGTTTGAAGAGCAGTTGCACACCGCTCACGAAGCAGGCGTTCATACATACAGCGGGCAAAGAAGTTGGAGCTTTCTCAATGCGGTCGTTTACTGTCTGACAGTTATAACCACTATCGGTGAGAGGAAATCGGGAATAGCTTGGAAATAAGGAAAAACGTGGAGGGAAAATGGAAGCTCGATATGTGAGGATGTGAAGCGATATAGTTGTCGTGAAAGGTTTTACTAGTTCTGTATTGATTTTCCAAACTGGCTGATATAGTTGTACTGACTGATTATGGGTATGATTGGTTGTCAAAATCTGATTGCGCACGCGTTTTGTGCTAGCGGCGTGAATATTTAAAAGACGAGTCTTAGGATATTTTGGATATTTTTTTTGTCTTTGTAAAAAGATTAAGAGTATTAATATTAGTAATGTATTAATTTGATTGACAATTTATTACTATTTACAATATTGATATTATTGGTATTGAGAATAGAAATTTATAATTCAGATTTTATGTTTAAATTGATAATAATTATAAAAAACAAAAGTAATTCAAGACCCGTATTTCAGGACACATTTAGATTGATAGTGATACTAAAATTTAGAAGATATTTAATTCTTAAATACGAGAGATTTTAAATTTGCATGATCTAGTAAGTTGGATGTCTAATTAGAAATTTGTAATTTTATGATAATAGGTAATAATTATGAAAATTGAGGGGAATTTAATTTAAAAACTGTATGTAATTTAGAAACTTGAATTCGTGTATTCTTTAGTCTAACTTAATAACGAATTTCATAATAATAAAAGAATTATCAATGGGACAAAAGTAAATGTTATTAATTTAAATTAATAATATCGATAATATACAGTTTGCATTTAAAAAATCAAGATAAAAGGTATACGATAAAATATATTGAACAGTAAAGAACAATTCACATGTTTTGAAAAAATATAAAAATTATGAATTATAATCATTTCAATTACTGTGCTAGCTCTAGTATTAAAAAAAAAAAAAAAAAACAAACCTATCAACATTATTAATAATCCAAAACAAATAGATTATTATATCAAAATTTAATTTTGTAAGCCCGAGTAACTTTGAACATAATTATTTTGATCTATGCTAATGAGGCGATTGCAATTATACATGTGACAATTATACATATGTTGGATGAAATACAAGTTATACACCTCGATTATATCGATTCAAATTTAATAAGCAGAGAATTATATTGGAGCAAATAATTCCAAAATTTCAAATCATAATTATTATGTTGAAGACATATTCAAATTTAATAAGTGAAATGTTAAATTGCTCAAATATTAAAACAATTTTAAAATCACATTTTAAATTATGATAAAGGTACATTGTCTCTCAAAAATTTAAAGTATGTTAGAATTTTAAAAGATATGCTAATTTTTTGATTAAATAAATATTTTATAATACTTATGATTTTCTTATATACAATGATAGATAAACGAAAATATAAATTTGACATTTTGAAATCCGACAAATTTGACATCCGTATGAAATAAAATTTATATTGAGTATTTTTTTCCTATTAAACATTTGTCTACTTTAAGTCATTCATTTACCGTCTCAATTATAATTTAGTTTTGTAAAATTAAAATGTTTTCCCTTTCTTACTCTTTGAACTTTCTTTTAATCGAAATACAATAGCTATACAAACTGTAATTAATTACATTTAAATATGAAAAAATTATAATTATAAGATTCTTATTTCCTAAAACATCATAGGAAAGGGTTCGTTTCATTGAAAAAGTGAATAATGCTTTAAAATTTTCGTCAAGAGTATATATTCGAATACAAAATAAGCAAAACATTTAATTTCTTAAACGTCGAAACAAACAGTCTCAAAATTTTGCGACAAATAATAGTCTGCTTATGTAAAAGGCTTATGCATACTTAAAAGAAAAGTTATTATTAAAGAATGCGACTAGTTTACGAGCAAACGACCGCCAAATTGTACAACTAAAATTGCTAAAGTTAGATCGAATGCTACCACGTATTTAGTATCTCCCAGATTTATTTTTGTCCCATAGAAATATATATATGTATATATATATATATATATATGGACGCGTGTAATGAGAGATTTGATCCTTTCGAAAATATCGATTCTCATTACCGAATGAGTGAATCGTACAATTCCAATTTACTACGATCGCTCAAGTCTTTCCATCTCTTATTTTAGGATACGGGCACATTTCACCGAGTACAAACACCGGAAGAGCCATTACTATAGTGTACGCTATCTTCGGTATTCCAATGTTTCTGATAATATTGGCTGATTTTGGCAAATTGTTTACACGTGGCATCAAGTTCCTCTGGGCGTTTGTCAGGAGGTTATATTACACCGGAAGTTGCCGTAAAGTTCGTCGAACCGTACCTGTTCAGGTAAAAATCTCTCTTTTTAGAATCGAAAATCGATTAATCGATTAGAGATTGAAATATTATTATATTTTTCAATATTTTATAATAATATTTACTATATTAAATTTATTAATTTTCTATTATTTATTTAAAATATATTTCTAAGATACTTTTGCTGGAAGAAATTTGGGAAGTTTTCTTCGAGAAAGCTTAATAATAGTACTATAATCCATTATGGATTACAATACCTTGTATATTTTTATAATTACTAAATATATATATATATCTTTAGCAAAAGCAATCGCTCTGTCAATCTTGGTTTTATTTCTAGTTTTTTTTTTATTGGAATTTACAAAGTTTCTTTAAGAATTGAATTTAATGATACTAACTTACTACAGATTATAATACTTTCCATATTTTTCTATGTCTTCAGATATATTTTTAAACTAACAAATTAGGTTTAATGAACAATATCTCATAAAATCGGAGCTTCTAGAATATTCTAGAATAAGTTGAAATAAGTTATTTAACAATAATAATAGTTGTTCCTTTTTATACGAGTACCTTGACAGTCAGCCATATTTTGAAGAATTTAAATATTTCTAGCTCTGAGCTAGTCTAACATTATCTTACTCTCGCAAAGTTTGAAACTTAAAAAAAAATTTTTCATTTCTAATTGTTTATTGCATGTTTTACACTTTTAACACACACACACACACACACACACACACACACACACACACACACACACACACACACACACGCACACGCACACACACACACACACACACACACACACACACACACACACACACACACACACACACACACACACACACACACACACACAC